AATCATGAAAGTGTCAAGTACAACAGACAAAATAGAACTGGCAGAGCTTTCGAAGTTGATTAATAGACGTAAGGTATGCGATGTAAGAAGGTATAACATGGAGAGAATTGAACACGCTCTGAAAAACGGAGGAAGCGTCAAAGCAGTGAAGAGGAAACTTGGGATAGGCAGAAGTCGGATGTATGCACTAAGGGACAAAGAAGGCAAAATAACTACCAGTATGGATAGGATAGTTAAAATAGCGGAGGAGTTTTACAGAGATCTGTACAGTAGCCGAGACAACCACGATCTTAATACTATAAGAACTAGCAGTAACCCAGATGACACCCCACCAGTAATGATAGAAGAAGTCAGAAAAGCTTTGGAGGGCATGCAAAGAGGCAAAGCTGCTGGTGAGGATCAGGTAACATCAGATCTGCTGAAAGATGGAGGACAGATTGTGTTAGAAAAACTAGCCACCCTGTTTACGAGGTGTCTCCTGATGGGAAGAGTACCAGAGTCTTGGAAGAACGCTAACATCATCTTAATACATAAGAAAGGAGATGACAAGGACTTGAAGAATTACAGGCCGATCAGCTTGCTCTCTGTATTATACAAGCTATTTACAAAGGTAATTGCTAACAGAGTAAAGAAAACATTAGAATTCAATCAACCAAAAGAACAAGCAGGATTTCGAACAGGCTACTCAATAATTGACCACATTCATACTATCAATCAGGTAATAGAAAAATGCTCAGAGTATAACCAACCACTATACATAGCCTTCATAGATTACGAGAAGGCATTTGATTCAGTTGAAATATCAGCCGTTATGCAGACACTGCGGAATCAGGACGTAGATGAAGTATATATAAACATTCTGGAAGAAATCTACAGGGGATCAACTGCTACCATAGTGCTTCATAAAGAAAGCAACAGAATACCAAGCAAGAAGGGTGTAAGGCAGGGGGACACAATCTCCCCAATGCTATTTACCGCGTGCTTACAGGAAGTTTTCAGAAGCCTAGAATGGGAACAGTTAGGGATAAGAGTTAATGGAGAATACCTTAGTAACCTGCGCTTCGCCGATGACATTGCATTGCTGAGTAACTCAGGGGACGAATTGCAACTCATGATTAAGGAGTTAGAGAAGGAGACTAGAAAGGTGGGTCTTAAAATTAATCTTCAGAAAACAAAAGTAATGTACAACAACCTCGGAAAGGAGCAGCGCTTCGAGATAGGTAATAGTGCACTTGAAGTTGTAAAAGAGTATGTCTACTTAGGGCAGGTTATAACCGCAGAGCCGATTCACGAGATTGAAGTAACTAGAAGAATAACAATGGGGTGGAGCACATTCGGCAAGCACTTCCAAATTATGACAGGTAGATTGCCACTATCCCTCAAGAGGAAGGTATATAACAGCTGTATCTTCCCGGTACTTAGCTACGGAGCAGAAACCTGGAGACTTACAAAGAGGGTTCAGCTTAAATTGAGGACGACGCAGAGAGCAATGGAAAGAAAAATGGTAGGTGTAACCTTAAGAGACAAGAAGAGTTCAGAGTGGATTAGGGGACAAATGGTGGTTAAGGATATCATAGTTGAAATAAAGAAGAGGAAATGGACATGGGCCGGGCATGTAGCGCGTAGACTGGATAACTGCTGGTCATTAAGGGTAACTAACTGGATTCCCAGAGAAGGGAAGCGGCTTAGGGGGAGACAGAAGGTTAGGTGGGCAGATGAGATTAAGAAGTTTGCGGGTATAAATTGGCAGCAGCAAGCACAGGACCGGGTTAACTGCCGGAACATGGGAGAGGCCTTTGTCCTGCAGTGGACGTAGTCAGGCTGATGATGATGATGAAAATGTTCATGTTGCTAAAAATGGGGGGCTGATGGCGATGAAAATGATTTGAAAGTAATGAGTCTCAAAGCTTGCTTCTGTAATCGTTCTAGATGATTTACATGTGACCAATATGTATTTCCCCATGTTGATATGCAGTATGATAGGTGACTATGAATGAATGCGTAATATAAAGATAAAAGGATTTCAGTGGAGAAGTAAGGTCATGTTTTGATGATCACGTGAATACCGAAAGACACCTTTTGAATTGAGGCCTGCGCATGCTCGCTGAATTTCAAATGTTTGTCTAATACCACACCAAGAAATTTTGTAGATGAACATGCATGAATGAAGTGTCCATCAAGTGTCACTGCTAATGAAGCGATGTTTGGAAACAACTGCGGGGAATGGAATACCATGAAATTAGTCTTTGATGGATTGATGAGTAACAGATTCGATATACACCATGAATGAATGTTATTTGAGTCGACATTTAGTGATTGTTGTAGCAAAAGTGGATCCTTGTGTGCGGTAAAAATAGCAGTGTCATCAGCGTAAAAAAGAGCGTTAGTGTGATTCAGACGAAGTGGTAAGTCATTTATAAATAACAAAAACAAAAGGGGTCCCAGGATTGACCCTTGAGAAACGCCAATGTTAGTGGTTTTTGAAGATGAAAAACTCTGGTTTATGTGAACAACCTGCATCCGATCACCAAGATAGCTTTTAATGAGCTGAAGGGGTGGTCCAGATATACCGTAACAGTCAAGCTTATGAAATAGGATGGCGTGGTTAATTGTATCGAAAGCTTTAGTAAAATTAATAAACACCGCTCCGAAAAGAAGACCTTCATCAATTGTCAATTTAATCCTGTCAGTGAAAGTTATTAAAGCAACTTCAATCGACCTTCAAAGACCTGGACGAAAGCCAAATTGGTGATCAAATAATATGTTGAATTTAGATAGGTATTTCATTAAACGGTTGCAAATTAGTTTTTCAATGACTTTACTAAAGAAAGGTAAAATGCAAATCCGGCTATAGTTGTTCTAGCATTCGCAATCACCTTTCTTAAAAATGGAAATAATTTTCCCTGCTTTAAGACCTTTAGGAAACACAGCAGCCGCGAAAAGCTTATCGATTAAATAGGCTAAGATTGGGGAAAGTTCTTTTGATACAAGTTCAATTTTAGAAGAGCAGATTTGATCAAGACCTGGGCCAGTATTCTTTACTGATGAGATTATATTGTTAACTTCATCTGCTACCGTGGGATACAAAAAGAAAGATTGAGGAGTACGTGGAAGTCTTGACAGTGAGAGTTTCGACTGAGTGTTTGTATTGCTGGATCTGTGCTTGTTTTAGGTTTTCTAATAGTGCTTATGCTTTCATCCTGCACTTCTGGCAGGACGCTGCATAAAACATTAAGTGTTCAAGGTTACTTCAATTTATGACTTAGGCTAGTGGTTCTCAGCTATGGATGTGTTGGGGACTCCTTGCTGTGGAGGGGAGGGAGGCGGGTACCTAGGTAAATTAACACAATTGGAGCACGAAACAGGTATATTGCTACCAAAAATATCAAACAAACATGCCACATCACTTCATTTTGAACAGTTCATCAATACTGTTATGCAGTCGAGCCTAAACAGACTTTAGACGCGACTGCATCCCCAACATTTTTTAAAAAAAGTTGCGCCTAAACAGACTTTAGACGCGACTTTTCTAAAAAAAAAAAAAAATGGTGAAGGTTTCGTGGATCATAGAAACGGCTTCGCGGGCCCGTTAGAGTCTGTGGACTCTCATTTGAGAAACACTGACTTTGGCAATGGTTTGTTCATCAGTGATAAAGGAAATAAGTAACAAAATTTACAAGGAATAATGACATTTATCGTTGCATTTTAAGTAACTGTGAATTGGTTTAACAGCCTTCAGTACATTAGGTGGGCTTAAGACGTATGCTTGGTATTGCCACAGCTAGAACTTTGCAACTGCATTGTGCATTGCATTCAACTGCATTGCCTATGCTGGCAGGTGTCCTGTGGAATGCATGAAAAGCATGTAAAACTACAGAGCGCCCTTGTAGTTGTGTCTGTATGGTTCTTGCTCATAGCTCAACTTTTTTTTTAGTACACTGAGACATTACAACAATGTTGCATCATACCAGAAAATAAGTTCATTATATAAGAAAATTTATTATAAAGGTTATTCCTAACACAGTATTTATTTCAAGACTATTGCTCATCTGCTTTATTATAACTGATATTTTGTTATATCCATGTTCATTATAGTGAGGTTTGAGTGTAGTTCCTCTATTTCATTGCCTATGATAAACTTGTAACTTTTCTGTGGAAATTATTTTACCTGCTGACAAAGTATATAGGTTTCCATTGCTTTTACTAGACTCTAATTAGAATCTGCTGCATGCGACCAGTAAATAGTGAGTGCCACTAAGTATGAAGCTGGAAAAGGTACTGAATGAGAATGAAACTCTTAGCTATGGATTTATTAACATTAGTTTTTTTTTTTATTTTCTAAGTTGGACAAACTGAAGTGACATGTCACAATACCATAAATACATAAATTAATGTTGGCCATAAGTGTAGAAACTACAGCTTTTTGTTTTCTTTTTCTTTTTTTTAACCACTGGCATTGATACAGTGGTCATAGTGCTTTTCTGCTTACTTGAAAGATGCAGATTTGATCCTGGCTGTGGCAGTTGCATTTTCAATGGAGGTGAAAATGCTAGAGGCCTGTGTACTGTTCCATTTTGGTGTGCATTGAAGAATTCGAAATAGTTGAAACTTCTACATCCTTCCGCTACATGTGTGGCTCATAATCATATCTTAGTTCTGGCATGTAATACCCTCAACATTATTTTTTTAATCTTCCCCTAACTTATTTGGACTTGCTAATTGTTGAGACTTAGATGTCCATTTTAAATTTTTTCGTTATATACTGATTGTATTTTTGGGGGTAGTTTAGCGTGCTTATTTCTTGCATGTTTGATTGATTGATGTTTGTGTGAAAAGAGAAACTGCATCAGTTTTTCTTAGCAATGTGGCGAGTTTTATAACATGAGTGCAGTTCACTTGAAGGCACTAATACACCTGAACCAATGCCATGCTTGCATGAGTAGTTATAACTTTGTGCCAGATTGTTTTCAGCTCTAACACATTGCATGCCTTGTGTGCAGGGTTGTATCGCACCCCGACTGTCTTCCTGAGGTCAAAGATGCCTACATCAACTTCCTATCACACTGTTTCATTGACACGGAGGTGGAAATGAAGGAAATTTATGCATCTCACCACATATGGACACTTTTCGACAACTTTCTTGTTGATGTGGCCATGGCATGTATTACCTTTCAAACATGCTGATTTTCTGCACATGCATTAGGAGTGTTTTGAGACCAGAATGTAATGCTTTGCTGTGCTGCCCCATGTTTAGCACTGTGTTTCTTTTTCCTGACTCATTGAATGCACTAAGCTACACATTTTTACTGCATCTTAATTACCAAACTGCGAACTTGTGACCAAACTCCGAATGTGGATTTGACTGGCTCCCGGGGAATGCACTGTGAAATAAAAGATGAATGAGGGTGACGTGCTTTAAGGTAAGAAAAAGCTGCCCAGCATTTGCATTGGTCAATGTATCTTTGTTGAAAGCATGCTTAGTTTGGTTGACTTTCAGCTTAGTACGAAATTGCCACTTGGTTTGACAAATTCGAAGTGGGAGCATATTCATATGACTGTATCTTGCATGTACACAAGTAAAATTTTTCTTATTTAATGTATTTTCGGTACGGCAAAATGACTTTTCTATCAAAAGCACTACCCAAGTGTTTTAAACCTTTTGGTGCTTACTTCTGCTCGAGTAATAACTAAAACTTATCTCACATACATTTCTCTTCTAATGCTCTGCACTCGTTGCTTTCCTGTCAGTGATGGTATGCCATGCTATCACTAAGGGTGTGGAAATATTGGAAACTTTGAATATTTTTCGAATAGTGCTTGCTATTCGGTTCGATTTGAACTGGAATTCTTACTATTCTTCGTATTCGAACTATTCGAATTTCTCAAAGACAAATGCAGTCAATGTCCGATTGAAAGTGACTTTAAAATCTTCCCTTCAAATCTTTAATATGTTTCACATCATAACAATTTCGTGTTGCAGCAAAGCTGCCTTTCAGCTCTGTTACAGTAGAACTTTTTAGACTGATCAACTAAAAGTAACCCCTTCAGATTTTTTTTTATGCTTCACCTAATTACACTACTGTACCAGCATCGAAGCTGTCTTCCACACTCTGTTACGGTCGCAAATGTATTGACTCGAGAAAATGCTGGTTTCAACATAGAGATGACAGATGTGGCAGAGTTGGAGTTCTTGATCAATGCTGCTTTGGACCTGGAATTTGAGCAGGAAGTTTGATAAATTGGATGTCCGTAGATTTTCAGCATCCAAAATTCAAATGTTCATACATGTTGACATCCACGAGGCATATTTGTCGCTCCTAGTTCGAAAGAAAGCCGAGCCTTGTCTTCCACATCAGTGTGGCTTCCACAAAAGTTGAAAGAAGTGAAAAGATTGAGGAAATAGCATCTTTGTCTTTTAAATGCTAAAGTGTTGTTGCCAATACTTTAGTTGCACCAAATAATTACATAAATACGATTTGGTCTCTGTATTGCCTCATTTTTTACAAGACCATGAAATACCACCTTGCCAGCGCTTCATCAACTTAACAAAAAGAAACACTTCAATGCTGCTATATTTCGTAAGAATTGCTCGGGGATTCTCTCTAACTTCTTTCCCCATAATTTCGCTTCGAACTATCGAAAAATGTTCAGAAATATTAGAAAAATATTCTGTTTAATTCACACTCACACCGCAATATTCGAATTCACTTCACATCCAAAATTTCTCTATTCGCACAGCTTTAGGGGGTACTGTTAGGTGGTACTTTACATATATGCAATTCATGACGTACAGGTGCTGAAAGCATTGCTGGAAAGGAAGTGCATGTAAGATAGACAATTTTGGGAGAAAGATTACCTTCACAAAAACGGAAATATTTTTTCAAATATACAGTGCAAATTTTACATTAGTAGCAAGACCTGCTAGACAGCTTTTTAGTGCTGCCTATTCTTGTTACAGTAGAGGTACATTTGCCAACATCTTCAACTATCTTTTTGGTGTACCTTGCCGTATAACGGAATTAAGTTTGCAAAAGTGGGGGAAGGTGCGCGCCCCCACTCTTTTGGGCCACAAAATGATTTTGTTACCATTCTGTCTCATCGTGTGACACTTATGCAGAGGAAAATCACTGATATGCTTGATTTGGGTGACTGTACAACCGATTAGTGCAGGAAATGTCAACTTCTTTGTGGCACTATTGATGCACACATGCAGTGTTGGCTTCTAAAGACACCTAAGATGACTGGGCCCTATGGTAAACACTTCGTTGGCCTTTTGGCCTGCTTCAGATTGTACTGCTTCCTATCGCACACTAGCAAGTTGTGCCAAGAATGCAGTCTGGGCTTCTCCAAGAGCTGGACTAGCCACCCTGACCTGTACGTATAAAATACTACCCTGCAAATAACAATTTCAGCAAGGGCAAGACTCACTGCTATTTAACAGGAATGACTACCAGTGCAAGAAAGCTGCCTTAGAGTTTCCAGTTAATCTACCTATACTTATTTTTTTGCTTGTTTATGTGTCTGTCACTGCTGTTGCTCACCTGTTGCATATGCAGAGAAGTGATATTGGAATATATTTTTGCTCACCTGTAATAGGTCTGCAATGCCACCCACGACAGACGTCATGCTGACCAGCAGTTGGAGAACTATGTCACGAATACCGTCATGAACATCATTACTACTTTCTTCAACTCCCCTTTTTCAGAACAAAGTGCGACTGTGCAGGTGAGATTTTATCTCCCTGAAACACTGGCGACATTGTGGTAGGAGGTTGTTACGTTTCCCTAAGAATATTTTGTGGACGCAGATGCATAAACCTAAGTGCCTGATATCTTTCTCTTTTTACAGCCTGTTCTGGTAAAACTTACTATAATTTCCTTTGAAGATGGAGCAATTCTTCTCAGATGGTGCTTGTGCAATGGCAGCTATGTTGATGAGACTTGCATGAACACAGTTTGAGCGAAATGTTGCTAGTATTTTCACATATACTGTTGTTGAGATCACGAAATTCTTGGCTAGCACGACGCTGTACTGCTGCTTCTGAAATCTGACCTGATTGAAGTTCGTCAAAAAGCACGATTTTGGTGTAAGTTTTTGTTCTGGCCTACATAACTGCTACAACATAAAGTAGGTTAGTAGTAATTTTCTTTAGAGGACATTATGTAGAAGCTGGTGTAATAATCTTGCATAATGGTACCTGTTGTATTGATTATCTAGTCACACTGTGTTTTTTCAACCATTCTGTGGAATGGAAACATTTGACAAATATACGGTAATGCTTAAAGGCTGCTTCACATGCTGTTTTATGTAAGGTAAAGCATATCCTACCGTAAAAATTAGAGAAGTCCCATAAACTAGTACTGTGGCATCTTGACCATAAACATGCATGGAACTGTAGGAGTGTTGTAGCCTAACCTGTTCTTTACTGTGCCTGTCTGTTTTTCTCTCAACATGCTGCTTTTACAACTAGGGACAAGTAAGTGATTTGACAATCGCGACTGAGGCCCGCTGCTACGAGCAGATTGTTCAGCAAAAATTTCTTTTTTTTTAGACTCACCAACCAGTATTTGTGCGGCTCCTCCAGTCAGCTTTCCGATTGTCCACCTGCACGTGGCTTGCACTTCAACAGCGAATGAACGTTGAAGGCTGCATACGCACCCTGGCAGAAATAGGTTAGCACTGGTTTCTGTTCATTCATTTGTGTTTTTATACTCTTGAGTTGTCAATGGTTGCAATGCACATTTGCTGTGGCATGTAGTTTTGAGTGCGTTCACAAAATGAAATCACGGTATTGCAGAGAAGTAGAACATTTTGGCCCAGGCTCACGCAGGGCCTGTAGTCATGTAATCGCAGGACCTGTGACTATATGAATGAACGTACAGAATATGCAAAATAAAATAAATTTTTATTCTACATATGTCTGTGCACGTGCTAGATGTAAACCAGTGCGTGTATAAGTAACATTAGTACATCTTGGCTTGGTGATCAGCTTCTGCTGTGACTAACAGTGTGTGCTTTAGTAGCCTAATTATTCATTACTGTTTTCATTGTTAGCAATAAGCAAAAATAATTTTATTGAAGTTTATTCAAGGAGCATTCATTACTCTGCATTGGACAAGAGATGGGAATGTTAACAGCAGGGCTTGCTGTTAACATTCCCACCCAGCGTCTCATTTCGGGGGGGGGGGGGGGGGGCAGTCATTTGAAGTAACACTGGAAGAGAGGAGGGTTTCTGACTTTTTTTTTGTTTTTAGTAGCTTGAAAACCCAGTCATGTAGCACACATATTGTTAATGTGTGCTCACTGTGGTCCCACTTATTTGTTCTAATTGGTAATAGGAAGTGAATAATAAGCACTGAAGAGAGGAGGGGGGGAGGTGCTGACGCACGCTTTGGGGAGGGGCAATTGCCCCTACTGCCCTGCCCCCCCCTCTGAATCCACCACTGGTTCACAGTACTGTTTTAGTACGTTCATCATTTACATCTCTGTGTTGCTTTTTATTTGCTATAAATCCATGCAAATCTTTGCTGTCTTCTTGAAGACATACATTGTAGTAACAGAAAAATACAATAATAATGGACATAGCAACTGTGCCTTAATGCTAATGACTGCTGCTGGATGGTCGGTGACTGCACAGTAACGGTGGTTACCAACATTTTTGTGCTCATATTCGTTTTGAGTGGTGTAGGAATGGTTTGATTGGAGCAAGTTAGTGGAAGAAATCTTATTCATCTTCAGATGAAATGAAGACAAAAATTAAATATGGCAGGCTTTCCGCATGGTTCCTTTAATGTGTGAGGTGAGTGCCCTCTACAGTGTCACATTGTTTTGCCTGCAGCAAAGAGCCGTGGCATTGCCATTCCTGTGGACCTTGAGACTCAAGTGACAGCCATGTTTGACAAAACTGCCCTGATCAGCAAACACACGCGTGCCTGGCTTTCTTCTGCTCGGGCACCAAAGCGCGAGCCTGTGGAACCATCACCACAGAGGCCTAACGTATGTTTTTTTAAGGTCCAGGTTGATTTTACCATATATCTTGTACAACTTCATGAAAACATTTCAAGTTTTTTTCTTGCCGGTTTAATGTGTTATGGCAGGATTTATATCGTGCTAAGCTTGAACGCTGCCTAACTCTAAACTCAACAAGATTAATGTTTATTACACTCATTTTTAATGCTTTGCTAGAAAGCTGTTACCTTGATACATAGACCATTGGGCTAAAGCTGTGTCACCTTGATGCATAGACTATTGGGCCAACTGTCCTCAGGCTGGATGCCGTGCATGCCATTGTAACTACTGTAGTAGTAGTAGTAGTAGTAGTAGTAGTAGTAGTAGTAGTAGTAGTAGTAGTAGTAGTAGTAGTAGTAGTAGTAGTAGTAGTAGTAGTAAGTAGTAGTAGTAGTAGTAGTAGTAGTAGTAGTAGTAGTAGTAGTAGTAGTAAAAAATCGTCCCAGCTTATCACATGAGCGGCTGACGCGGCAAAAATAGCATGTCCTTTTCCGAAAATGGACAAATTGAAAGGCAGCTTGCTGCATCTCTATATCTAATCGCGCGACATCATGTGCATCTACAATAAAACCTAATTTATTCAAACTTGGTTATTTCAAAATCTCACTTAATTTGAAATGTTTCTGCGGTCTCGTATTAAGTCTGAGCTGTAAGTCTGAGCGGATAATTTGAAACGGGGGTCAGCACCATCCCGGTTAATTTTAAATCTTTGGGTGCCATGCGCAATTCCCGATCCCAGTTTCGCCGCAAATCTGTGGGAACGGCGGAGCAACAAGGCAATGCAATGTAGCAATACTAATGAGTTACATGTGAATCACCTTTGCCTCGCTGCTTCCAGCAAAAAAAAACAAAACAAAAAAACACAAAACCAGTCTCGTGATCAACTGACATGTGCACTTGCAGAAAAGAAATGTGCTTCACTGCAACACAGTTGTGCTGCGTGGGCAGCATGTTGCATGTTTTTTGCAATGTCAGCGTCTCATAATTTAACCATTCTTTCTGGGAATATAGCGAAATAATAGTGTCTGGTGTAATTCTCAATGTATGCAAACCGGATTGGCAGCTGCTCCAGGAATTTGAGCACTTGCACTGCTGGTGGGGTTCTTGCCTGCAACGCCTACTTTGAAAATAGGTTCAAAAACTTCAATGATCATGCTGTCCAGCCAAAACACATTGCGAATTTTGTCGCACTGACCAATATTAAATTTATTATTTTACCAGAAAGAATGGGCGAATGGTGGCATCATGACTTCCCGACACTACAAGGAGCAGGCTACTGGCTGCCCACGTGTCATTACTGTGTTGCAGTGAAGCACATTTTTTTTCTGCAGGAATACATTTCAATTGATCACGAGGGTGGCACAAGCAGGGCCCGCCATTCCTCCGTATTTGTGGCATAATTTGGACTGGGTATTGCTGGAAAACAAAACGCTTGAAGCCGCAAACTAGCCGGCACCGCAAGCAACCACCCCTGATTACTTTGCAAATTTTCTGCATCCCACTTTTTGTATATTCTTTTAATTAAAAAACCTGTTCGATTCGAAGATTTCTCACAGTTACAGCGACTTCTGGTTAACGAGGCTTTACTGTATATGCAATTGCCCAAAATAAACACTCAGTTGTTAGTTTAGTGCAGTGTTCCGTCTTGCTCTGTCATTGTCTGTGTGATTTTTTGCCCTACTGTTCCGAGTTATGCACTGCCAACTAGCCCACCAGTTTGTCCTTTTGGTGAATAGCATCATGGGTGGTATTTGTAAAAGATATGTAACTCTGCTGATAAAAGAAGCACATTTTCAGGAGTTGCTTAAAGGACATTGTAAGTGGTACTTTGGGCCACATAAAAAGTATTTACACAACCTGATGCTGTAAAGCAGCATGTAGGCATAGTGTTCTGTTTGAAATATGTGAATGCATTGAAAAGCCGGCAAAATTATTATTTGTTTAATACTGAAAGTGGGGTTAAGAAAATGCTGCTACATCTCACCTGAAATGATAGAGAGCCCAAATTGTCAAAAACCAGCACACAGCCCCTTGACCTAGTCTTCACATTGTCACGCACGACGATACACTTGATGACAGGCAACCACGCCCACACAGCCATTTATTCTCCATGCCACATCCCAGCAACCCGCGTCCCGCTTTCCTCCTTGATGATGATCCGAGGAAAGAAAGAGTCCGTGAAAAGATTAGTGCGTGTAAAGTAAGGTTCAAGAAAGTAAACATGTGAACGTCTAGTCATGAAATTTAATCTCTTATGTAAGTTTCTGGACTAATGTTAAATTTACGAAAAGAAAGCGAGTAGAAATTTCAGCCGGGAAATGTGCAAATAAAGGCTTTTACTGAGACAGTAAAAGCCTTACTGAGAAGACAGCCTTTTACTGTTCTTTTAATAGTATTTCAGTTGCATGGGCTACAGTTCAGCCAGAAGAAACGCTTGCTGCTATTTGCCTTTGTTGGGGGACCGTCCTATGTACGGCTGACGCAGAAGCCTATAGCTAATGTTTCAGCCGCACACAGTCGTTCCGTGCACGGTTAACGTTCCCCAACCGTAGCTTGCCTCATTGCAGCTACTACTACGGGTTCGGGCGAATAAGGCAACTGGCCAGATCAACAACAAACACTTTATTGCTAAGCGTTAGCAATCGCGCGTCACTGTCGCGGGGAGATACTACAGATAACAAAGGTGTTGACGCTTACACCTCGGTCGTGGACGTCCTCGGCTCGCAGGAGGGGTTGCGGGTTCGTCCTCCTGGGATGGTCGCTGGTCTCAGAGAGCGCGAGCGCCCGTTTGCCCGCTCGTTTTGTTCCCCGACCCGATTTCCCTTTCCCTGACGAGAATGGTACCTTTCCTCGCTGAGGGAGAGGGGAACCTGTTCCTGGCGCCGGGAAAGGGGGGGGAATCGCACGCGCCGGCCGTGGGGGAAGGGGTCCCCGCAACCAGGCGCGTGCGCTGCCCTAAAAGGGAAAGGGAGGCTGGGCGCACCTGCTCCCCACATCTCCTCCCCCCTTAAGAAGGCCCCCGAACGACAGAGACTGCAAAGAGGGAATAATTCGTTTTATTCGTCCTCTAGATAGGCCAGAAGGGCCTGGTCTACGTCCATGCCCTCGGACCGTTCGGTGTCTGCCGCGGGCACCGCCGGAGCCCCCACCGCTCTCTCACCCGCCTCCAAGGTCATTGACGCCACCTCCGGTGTCAATGCAGCCGCCACCAATGTCTCTCCCGGCCCCGCCGCCCCCCGCTCTACGGTAGCCGTTATTGATAGCGGCGCAGGCGGACTCTCGCTGGACGCGTGGCCTGAGGCAACTCTCAGCAGCCACTGCGCGAAGTCCGCCTCCTGGGCCGCCCGCGCCAGCATGGCCCGAACCGCGGCGCCGGAGCGCTCCTGGGATGATTCGCGGCTGGATGGTTGGGTAGCCTGGGTGCGGTGCCGGTGTAATTTCCCCAATTCGTGGGAGTTATGGATCACCACGGCGCCGCACTCGCAGAACCGCGTCCCTGCGGGCACTGGAAGGCAAGCCCCGTTAGCCCTCCGGTCCGCGTCCTCTACCGTGCGCCCCTGAAAAGGGCGATACAGGTGCGCTGGGGCGACCCCAACTCGGGCCCTTTCCTGCCGGCGCCAGGGCCTCGAGGAGACGTAAGACACCGGAGGGTCGCCTCCATCCTGGCTGGTCCAGGTTGCCACGTCTCGGTGGTTGCGGCCGTGAGGCGATGCGGTCGGCTCGCCGCGTTGGGACCCTGGTCTCGTTCCCTGTGAACCGGCGGGTCGTGATGGTGACGGCGAAGCCGAGAGTTGGTGACCAGGCGGCAGCGCGCGCGGACCCCCTCGGTGGCGGCGGCTCGAGTGGCTCTGCCTCGGCGTTCGCGGCCGGGCCGCAGTGGGGTAGGGCTGCCATGTGGACGTTGGTGGGGGTGGGGGCTGGCCGTAAGGAGGTGGTCTCCTCTCCTTGCTGTTCCGGCGGTGCTGTTCCCAATGGCGCTCCATCTGTTCGGTGAGAGTGATACAGATAAAGAACGACAGGTTAACAATCGCACATGTGTTGCGCGCTAACCCTTGCACCCCGCGTCGAACATATCAAACGCGGCCTACCGTGCATAGTTGCCTCCGACTGTTACGCAGGAAGTAGCGCGGTTCTGGGCTCCTGACCCGGTGTCGAATCATCTCACCCGCCGCGCGCGGCTTGGAGGGGGACTGACCGTAGTCCTCATGCGCCTCCCGTGCTATGTAGCGTTTCAAGTCACATACATGCACCGGTCCGCCGCTCGGTTTGCCTTTCATGTTCGCGAGTCGATAAACGAGCGAAGAAACTTTCTCTCGCACTCGGTACGGCCCGGACCATTTCGGTGCCAGCGAGGCAGCAAACTGTTTGCTAGCATTACTGAGAACATGATGGCGCCGCATCACCAGATCGCCCACTTCGTAGTGTACGTTCCTACGCGTGCGGTCATACTGCGCCTTCTGCTGTGCCCTCGCAGTGCTGAGATTATGTCGAGCTTTATGTAAAGCTTCCGCTAGCTTCTCGCGCAGCTGCGTTGCGTATTCAGCGCGTGCTGATGTCGCCACTGGCACTCCACTGCGGTCCGCGAGTACGGTCTCCATCGGATTCGGCAGTTCTCTCCCCAAGTTCAGAGAAGAAGGCGCATACCCAGTCGATCGGTTTACGGTCGATCGTAATGCAAAACCGATCTCTGGAAGATAGGTATCCCAGTCCTTATGTCTTTCAGAGAACGCGACAAGCATGTGCTTGATGTTGCGATTGACTCGCTCCGTGGGGTTCGACTGAGCATGGTAGGTGGTTGTTTTCTTGTGCTTAATGCCCAACGCGGCGCACGTGTCAACAAACACCTTCGCAGTGAAATAAGACGCGTTGTCTGTAATCAACTGCTCGGGGAACCCGAACCTGGTAAAAACCTCCATCAACTTCTCTAAAATCACTCGAGCCGTCAGCTTCCTAAGGGGAAAAAGTTCTACCCATTTAGTGAAGTGATCCGTGATCACCAGCAAGAACTTATTTCTGCTAGGAGTTGAGGGGTACGGGCCCATTACGTCACACGCTGCGATTTGCCAGGGAGTCTGACTGTTAATCGGTTGCATGAGGCCGGGCGGACGTCCTCCTCGCGGCTTGACGCTTTGGCACACACGACATGAACGGGCGTAGCGAATCACATCCCGCTTCATACCTGGCCAGGTAGCGAGGCGACACAACTTAGCGTAAGTCTTAGGGCCGCTCGCATGCCCACCAATGCACGAGTCATGAAAGTAGCGAAGAAGCGCTCCTCTCAACGCGCGCGGTATCACGACTTTAAATGACTCACTTGTGTCATCGTCGGATGGAATGTACCTCAGCAGGACGCCGTCAGAATCTAGCAGATATGAATCCAGCGCGCTCACAGCACTACCAGCTGTTGCCGAGCGCTCCGCACCGACAGCAATACCAGCTGCCCCCTTGTGCGCGGTGGCCTCACTACCACCCGGCTCCCGGAGCCCGTCGAACACCTTTCGACAAAATGGATCTTTCTGCTGAGCTTCTAACAGCTCCCTTCTGCTGAAAACAATCCCTGCGCTAACGACAGCCTCTACGTGGTTCACGCTCTTAGCTCGAACTAACGTTTGCTCCGCTGTTTGCGTTAGCGCGAGTGTCTCGCTCTCAGTTCGTTCCGAATTAGTCGCGTGACTTGCCTCGTGTCGAACTGGAGCACGCGATAGTGCGTCGGCCGCGGCATTGTTCTTACCCTTGCGGTAGCGGACGGTGAAGTCATAACGCTGCAGCAACAATGCCCAACGCGCCAATCGGCCACTTGGTTCGTTCAAACGCCTCAACCACGTGAGCGCCATGTGGTCCGTTTCAATCACAAACGCAACTCCGTCTATGTAAAAGTCAAACTTACGGAGAGCAAAAACTATCGCCAGACACTCTTTCTCGGTTACTGAGTAGTTCCTCTCCGCCGGTGTCAACGTACGGCTCGCGAACGCAATCGGTCGGAGGGAACCTCCATGCTCCTGAAGCAAAATTGCTCCTAAGCCCAGGTCGCTTGCATCGGTGTGAATAACAAACTCCCTGTTCAAATCGGGTAGCTGCAGCTGAGCCGTGTTGGCCAGCAACTTCGTGAGGCGACGCAGTGCGGCCTCTTGCTCTTGGCTCCAAGCCCAACGCTCACCATTCCTCAAGAGCTTCGTTAAAGGCGCCTGCACTGCCGCGCAATCTGGAATGAATTGGCGATAAAAATTCACCATCCCCAAAAAGCGCCTCAGCTCACCGACATTGTTCGGCGATGGATAGCTCACTATCGCTTCAAGCTTACCCTTATCCGGCAAAATGCGACCCTCGTCAAGCGTAAATCCCAATAATGTTATTCGGGTCGCCGCTATCTGAGCTTTGTTTGGGTTCAAAGTGATGCCCGCAGACCTCAGCCGTTCTAGAACGTCTCTCAAGTGGCGCACGTGCTCTTCGAACGTTTTCGAGTAAACCACTATGTCGTCTAGATATGCGAGTGCGTGCTGCCACTTTGCATCTCCCAAAACACGGTCCATTAGCCTCTGATACGTAGCGGGAGCGCCCACCAAGCCAAACGACATTCTCCTGAATTGGAAAAGTCCTCTGTGGCACGTGAAAGCTGACTTCTCTTTATCCCGCTCGTCCATCTCAACCTGAAAATATCCGCGGCTAGCATCGAGCGTTGTGAAGTACTTCGCCCCGCCTAGATTGGATACTAACGATGAAATGGAGGGAAGAGGATACGCGTCCTTCTTCGTAATTTCATTCAGCCTGCGGTAGTCTACACAAAGGCGATACGTATCATCTTTCTTTGGAACTAGAACTACCGGGAAACCCCATGGGCTGTTTGACCTCTCAACTACGCCTGTTTCGATGAGTTCGTCCAAGGCGGCGTCTAGTGCTTTCCGCTTAGCTAAGCTGATTGGTCGGGGATTGCATTTCCAAGGGCGTGCATCACCCGTGTCAATTCTATGCTTAACCAGCGTAGTGCGGCCGGGACAGTCAGTAAACATCGCGTCATATTCGTACAACAGCGACGACAGCTGCGCTCGTTCCCCCTCTAGTAGGCTCTGTGCCTGTACCAAAAGCGGGTGCACTGCCCTTTCCTGCAGCGCAGCACATTGCTCCGGCGGGGCGTTTACTCGCTTTCTCGGCGCGCTTTCCTCCTCGCGTACTCGCGCCTCTCCCTGCGATTGGCATGCTTTTGTCAATGCGGAGGCCTTCGAGAAAAGCTTCAGCGCGTCTCCGTCGCGCTCTCGGTAACCACCGTTTGCAATGTCAATGACAATACCCGACTTAGCGAGGAAGTCTCGACCCAGGATTAGAGACATTGACAGCCCTGGAAGATGCACGAAACGTTGTCGCCTCACGCGTCTGTCCCAGCGGATCACTAGCCTAGCCGCGCCGCTCGATTGTGCTGTGCCCGTAGCTAGACGGAAGATGGTGTTGCTTTGCCTCAAGCGGATGTTGTTCTCGCGGAGATGGTGCAACACATCGTCACCGAATAAAGAAGCGCTTGCCCCAGTATCCAAAAGTGCTACGAACTTTTTCCGAGCTATCGTTAACTCGATTAGCGGCGCGGGCGAGTCTACGGCATCACCTGCGCGACAGACCGACGGTGCAAGTGATCCGAACGCATCGGTAGGATTACTAATCGCCGCGCGGGGTCCCATGTGGATCACCGGCGGCGCCGTCCGTTTCCCGAACCGCGCGTTTGCTCCTGACCCGGCGTGCGGTCGCATTCGCGAGCGATGTGCCCTGGCGCGCCGCACCGATAGCAAGGACCGCGGACACCACGCCGGTTCGCTCGTAACTCGCCTCGATCAGGTGGTCCTCGCTCTGGATTGCGCCGCTCGTTAGGCCTCGCGTCAACCACGTGCTCCTGCCTTGGAATGTCACGCGCAGGGGCGGCGTGTGCCGTACGGAGCGCGTAAGCGTAGGGGTCTAAAGCGCGGTTTGACAGCTCCCAACCGCGTGACACGTGCTCATCAGCGTACGATGCTGATGCGTTACCCCTAAACGCTTCTGAAGTCACTGCGCCGCCGTTCCATGCACAGCGAGGCTCGATTGACTGCGCGGCGGGCGGAGGGGGGCGATACGAACGCGCTGCGAGGATGTCCCCTTGTATGCGCTTCGCCTCGGTGGCGAGCTCTTCGAGGTCTGCGAACCTGCATCCCCTGAAGTGCGCCGCGAAAGTCGGGTGCGCCTGTCGGGTAACACGCTCGACCTTTTCCGCGTTGGTGGCGTGAGGGTTCGCGAGACGATACAATTCGTCCATCGCCCGTACGTATTCCAGCAAGGATTCGTCCGGATGCTGGGTGCGCAGCTCCAACTCCCTCCGCAAACGCCACTCATAATTAGCCGGTAGGAATTCGCCGCGAAAGCTTTCGCGGAACTCTTCTACCGTACGGGCGCGATGTCCGGTTAGTCGGAACCACCGAGCCGCTTGCTCCGTGAGCGACACCGGGACCACGCGCTCGAGAAGTTCGGCATCAGAAAGACCCGTCGCCTGCTGATAATGGAGCAACCGGTCGAGATACTCGTTGGCGCTCTTGCAGTCGTGGTAACCCGTGTAGGTCGGAACGTCTACCTTGACACGTGGTCGCACATTTTGCACGGGGGCCTGCGCTGTGTTCTGCAGGGCGCTCGCGAGGCTTTGCATAACTGACAGCGCATTCTGTAAGAGTACCTCGCTCGAGGGCAAACTGTTGCCCGAAGACTCGCCTATAGTTGAGGCGCGTGTCGTAACTTGTGGCGGCGCCTCTCTGTTCGCGTCGCGAGATGCCGGAGCGCCATGCGGGCCGCTCTCCGTCGTAGGCCTACTCTCTGCTAACGCGGTCTCTGCACCCTCCTGATCATCCCGCGTGAAACGACCAAGCTCTACGCTGTCGGAAAGTCCTAACAGTACCCCCGCGTTAGCCAAAGGATCGCCACTCTGCGACGCGACATCCGACAACATTGACAAATCTTGGAATTCCGACATGCCTATTATCCTACGTGTGGAAGAGCGCCCTGGCACTTGCTCGCGTCCACAGAACTAGCCGCGTTGCCAAATTCGCCCCACGTTGGGCGCCAGATGTTGGGGGCTGGCCGTCTCAGCCGCACACAGTCGTTCCGTGCACGGTTAACGTTCCCCAACCGTAGCTTGCCTCATTGCAGCTACTACTACGGGTTCGGGCGAATAAGGCAACTGGCCAGATCAACAACAAACACTTTATTGCTAAGCGTTAGCAATCGCGCGTCACTGTCGCGGGGAGATACTACAGATAACAAAGGTGTTGACGCTTACACCTCGGTCGTGGACGTCCTCGGCTCGCAGGAGGGGTTGCGGGTTCGTCCTCCTGGGATGGTCGCTGGTCTCAGAGAGCGCGAGCGCCCGTTTGCCCGCTCGTTTTGTTCCCCGACCCGATTTCCCTTTCCCTGACGAGAATGGTACCTTTCCTCGCTGAGGGAGAGGGGAACCTGTTCCTGGCGCCGGGAAAGGGGGGGGAATCGCACGCGCCGGCCGTGGGGGAAGGGGTCCCCGCAACCAGGCGCGTGCGCTGCCCTAAAAGGGAAAGGGAGGCTGGGCGCACCTGCTCCCCACACCTTTAAGCACTGTGTTGTTGTCTCCTTTCAGGATGTGTCCCGCAGCCACCCAAGTGATCGGACGGTGATTGAGGTCCTGCAAGAGCTGGTGCTGGTGCTGGAAGAGCAGCTCAGGCCACTAGTACAGAGCGAGTTGTCTGTGCTGGTGGACGTTCTTCATGAGCCACAGCGGCTGTTCCCTTCACGGCCACAGGCGCAGGCTCGCTGTGCCTCCTTTGTCTCCAAGCTGGTGCAGCACACACAACGCCTGTTGCAGGAGCGGGAGGAGGGGCTTTGCGTGCGTGTCCTGCAGACTTTGCGTCAAATGATGGCTGACACAGAACACGGAGAAAAGGTGTGTGTTGACTCTCTCTCCTTTCTTTTTTATATTTTATTATATTTGCTGTGGGATTTGTCTTGCTATGATTGCAAGAAGTTTGCCGAGGAAGAGCTAACCTGACTGTGCTGCCCACAAATTGAATGGAGTTAATATGCAAAAATACTTGTGCTCTTGGGTTTAGGTGCTAAGAAGACTCTCAGTAAACGGAGCTGATGATTAAATAGAACAAGTGCTTCAGACAACATTGGTTTCATTTTTGTATTCTGCACTCCTGGTCATCTCTCGATAAATGGAACTCCTGTCAAACAGAACATAATTTCCTGGTTCCTTCAGGTTCCATTAATGAGGGTCTGCAGTATGTTAAAGGAGCTCTAAAGAAAAACAGGAGGTTAAGCTTTGATGATAGACTGTCATACTACAATTACAGCTGTACCATGTGGGATCTCTTAAGGAGGCACCATGCTCTCGGAGCGAACGGAGGCAGCAGGTGTGGTTGAACCGAATCAAACAACACATTTATTGAACTACTTTCACCTCGCTGATATCTTCAGCCGAATAAAATACATCAGTAGTGATCAAAGGCTAAACAAATCTTAAGAAATAGTCCATTGTACTCAATCAAGCACAAGAAGAGACAGAAAGTAGCGCGAAGGTGGCGTCGCCAATGCTAAACTTGCCACGAGGGGCCCACAAATTACGACCCGTAGTCACCGCACCCAGCGGGATCACGTCAGGAGGCGACCATCTGCGCCAGCCGCCATACGACAAAGAGGCTCTCCAATCTTTTCTCTCCAGCAACCTAGCATTGCTGCCAGGCGTCACTGCTGGCACTACTGCGCGAACCATGGTGATAAAGATTGCGTGCGAGCGCTGCACCACCTTTCGCTCTTTGGTTGTTAACCCCAAATGCGGCCTATTCGCGAGACACGTGTGTGCAATGAGGTGCAACTGACTTTTTAAGGGGATAATTAGTACTATGAATGGAGCTTTATTAATAGAAAAAAATTGTGAAAAGCTCAAGGACAAGTGTTCAAGCTCCTTAGAACTTCTTACATTAGGCATTAATGATGTCGGGGGTAACAAATGAAGTCCAGCCACGATTGGTTGAGAGTTATTCATCGCTGTAAATAAGAACTCTACTCTGCATTTGTATGCAAAAAGCATTATACAACTGGATGCCTAGTCTTTCGTCAATGAAATTTCGCTTCTGTCAACGCGAGTGGTGATTGGCCAGCGGGAATGCCTGTTGTGTGAGGAAGAAGGATAATTTAATGCTTGAGGGAAGTCACAGAAATGCAGTCCTGCTTCCCTGACAAACACTTATTTCAAGGCTCATCATTAGCAATGACATGCATCCTGGCAAACAGAAGCAGTGGCTATGTAATGCCACTTACGTATGTGGCGATGTATCATGGCACCCTACAATTCACTGGAGACAATGAATGCGATGGTTACTCTGCTTCAGTATTAAATCTAGGTTGAGAGAAGTTGAAGAAGAGAAGCTTGGTCTTCAAATATAATTTCCCCACTAGTAAGTCATTTTTTTTGCAACAAACAAAAAGTGCATGCATTCATGAAGGCTCCTCTCTTCCCAGCTCAGCTCAGCTCAGTTTGGCCCTGCTTCTTTCAAGGAACCCCTGTCAATCAAAATCTGTCCAATGTATTTTATAATTGCGTTACTCACAACCAATGCTTCCCATTGCAGGACATTAAACCCTATAATTTTTGAAGAAGCTTAATTAGTGCCCTCTAGGCAAATTGTATCTGCAGAAATTCGACAATAAAAAGAAAAAAAAAAAAGGGAAGGAGGTGAGAGGGGGAGGCAGTAGGAAATACTGTCTGTCAAACAGCGCTATCAGACAATCTTCCCCTTGCATCACAGTGCACAGCAGTTTGTTCGTTAGTGCTGCGCTCTAAGATGTGATTGGTAATGTCTCATGCTGAGATCAGGAGAAATGGTGTCGGCCTTCAGCACAGTACAGGTTCTAGGTAGTAGCACTTCGTATTTGTGCCAGTTGCTATGCAGTGTTTACATCCTGACTGCCACAAAAGTGTTGCTGTCGTGTAGCTTTATTTCCTGTCTGTCTATGTTTGTCAATGTGCGCTGGTCTTGTTCACTTCACCCATGAGCAAGTGTGAGAGAATTTGTGCTGGTCAAGAGATTGTGTGCGTGCAATAAGAACCAGGCATGTTTCAGGAGAAACATTTGCAACTAGACAGTCTTAGGACATGTTGAGCAAACAACTGCTAGCTTTTAGGATTTGCCCTTTTGCCATCGTTCGTGACTATTGGAGGTTTAGCTTGTACATGCTGAAGATGGTTGTCTTTCCTTCCTTGATTTCATTATTCTGGTCTTGTCTACTTCTGTGTGACATTTTTAACCACATCTACTGCCGCATACCTGTCCTGCCTGTGGCGACACATCTTTGTCTTACGTTCTGCCTACTGCTTTAGGATGTTTCTACGTTGTCATTTCTCTCGTAGATTGTTTGAGGAAAGAATTTACACGATCATTAACTTGGCTTTGCCACTATGTCAGTAAGTGGACAGTGGCACAGGTTCGATATCTTATTTTTACCATTAGTAATAGATCACCGCAAATTCAAGATAATTTTGTGTGGGCATTAGTCATAAAAATGATGTCAAATGAATATGTTTGATTTTTATCATAAGTATTTAGCACTTTGAATTTTTCACAATGTGTTGTATGGGGAGTTATGTTAGACTTGAGTAGTATTCATTTATAACCTTAGGAATTCAATTTTGGTGTACTGCTGCATGATTTCAGAAATTTGAGCCTTTAAGCACTATCCTTTGCAAATCTAGATGGCCATTGCATTTAATGTTGCCACAACCCTATCAACACTTATGTCCAGATTTAAGCCTTGCACCTTGCTGATTGTGGATGAAGGTTTCATGTTCACAATCATTTTGATAGGTAGCGCAAAGTGCTCCCAGTCTTCAGCTTCTGTGTTCTGCTCATGTACCCTTTGGTCTGTTCTTCATCGTTGTTCTCTACAGCCACTGCTCCTCTGCACATTCTGTGCAAGTTTTAAGCTTTTTCATTTTCTTATCTGCGCGGCTACCTTCATTTTTGCCTTGGCTTCCAAATGGGCCACTGTTGTCTCTCTTGCATACCAAGTGTTGCACAGCCACTGTGGCATGTCAAGGTTAACCTCAATATTACCAACATAACGTTTTCAAATATCACAACTTTTGTTTTGTACTTTTCATAGCATTTTATCAAATTTCTATGTATTAATTATAAAATGGCACTATGTGAGCCAGACTTGAAACTTAAAGTCTGTACCTTCTTCAAAAAAACTTGAGGCATTACATATAATTATGACTCAGCGGCTGGCATTGTGCTACTAACTGCGATGTCACACATTTGATCCCTAGTGACAGCAGCTGCATTACAATGCAGCAGAATCTAAGAGTGCTTATGCATCCTTCTTTATGCACTTGTCCACAGAGTCGCAGAGTTCACGACTCCGTAATGTTTCTCTCATAACCCATCTGTCGCTTTGCTATGTCGAGCTCGGTCGCACTCGATCTTTAAACATTGATTTGCAATTTTGTGCACTTGGTATACAAGTGATGGTTCGTGTACTTCTCATTTCAAGGAGCATTGCCACCTTTTGCGCAGCTCCTTTTTTCTCATTGCTATGCTTTTGTGGTGTGGGTGGTTTCTGTTGCTTGGCCCATTAATGCGTCCCTCCTACCCTTCCCCCCTTTGTGGTGGATCTCCTTTGAGTGAATAAAGGGAGGGGGGTGTCACCTCCCCTCGCTGGGAGGAGCCACCCCCTCCTGTGCTCACGCTGCACTAACCACCTCAGCTCTCTGTCTTCCTGTGCTGCTGCTGCCACCTGTGGACTGCCATCAGATTGATGCCAGCTTGCTCACTCAGAGAGAAATCTCTGACCTTGCGCGGGTGAGGCTCATTTTGTTATTCCTCTTCTTTCCGGGTTCATGTTCTTATGGATCTACTTGTGCTTTCAATGTATTTATTCTTTTGGCAGTGTTATGTGTTGTTTTGTGACAAAATTCTGCTGTTTACACACTTCTGGCCAGTTGGAAAAGTGCTGAGTACAAACTCAAAACGAACTCTGAGGTTTTTCATGGCCATCAAGAAACGGTACAAGTAGTGTCGTGTTCAGGAATTATATATTTTGAACAAGAATATCGGTACAGCAACCAGCCTCTAGAATCTGTGTAAGAGTTTACCTAGTCCTATTACTAACAGGGGAGCCTGTAGCAGGTATTTACAAATTGTGACTAGTGGCTTATGTTGTTATTGGCATAGAGAGAGAACAAAAATGGACCTAGGCAGGCTGCACATTGCACGAGACAAATAACCAGTGGTGAGAAGTGATGGCTCCAAATCGGGATGTCCAGCTGAGGATGGCAGAAAGTTAGGTGGGCAATCAAATGATAAATTTTTCGGGCATAAAATGGAATTGGCCTGAGGAACACTGAGTGAATCGGTAATCATTGCTTTCATGTTGCATTGTACATGCATATCAGGGTGCCCCAACTAACTTTAGCCAGAGTTTTAAAATATACCAAGGAACTCTATGACGACGCAACCAAAATCATGTTGCTGGCTACTGCATGAAGTAAGTTACGCCACTTTTTCTTGGTTCTGCTAAAGTGCCTAATTTAAGTTAGCAAATGAACCAACTTCTGAAGTAACAATGCTGAGCAAAAATTTTAATTCTCTATATCTTAGGTATCACATATGTATTGAATTTCGAAGTAAAATTGAGAATAGTGCGACTGCCAGTCATTTGCAAAAAATAAGTGTGGTACATGTTTCTGTGATAGTGACTCTTGAAATGGGTTAGGCTGATCTGGCTAGATGCATCTAAATTTTATTGCAGTGCATAAAACTGAGCTTTTGCAAATATTTTTCATTTTAAAACGCTATATAAGATTTTGATTGTCGACATAAGCAATGCCTGGAATTTTAGTATTCAAAGTTATCAAATTGGTGAATGTGTACATTTCCTGCAAATAATTCGTATGAAAAAAGGGTCTTAACCCATTGGCTTTCATGATCTCGGTGGCCGTTCCCGCCTGGTATTCCGCCGGAAAATATTTGTGCACACCGACGGCATGCGTAGTTGGTGTGCCTAAACCGCAATAAAATTAGTAACATACGACATAGAATAACAAGCTTTGTGTTATTCGCTTAACGATATATTTAACTGCAACAGGTGCTTCAGTATGATTTTCGTGCGTGGAAAAGTTCAAAGCATGCAGACATGTGAAAAACAAATTCACATTTTCACACGCCCATCGGCCCTCGAACTTTTTGCCCCGTGCCTTACAAACTAAGCAAAGTCTTGATGGATTTTGCTTGACTTTGTTTGCCAGGATGTGGTGAGGTTGCTTGACGGCTGCTTGCAGGCGCATTGGTGAGGCCGTGACAGGCGGGTTTCTTCTTCGTTTCTTACGCCATGCCATGTTTAGGAAAAGCCAGGATAATGCACCCTTTGCCGTCAAAGAACAAAAAACCCCATCTACAAACAGCTAACGAACATGGACAACTATGTCCATCTGGCGGATAATAAACTTGGCAAAAGGCAAACACAAAATGCTGTACTGCCCTCGGTGAGATGATGTCAAAAATAAACATTTTCTAGGCGGACAGCGATTCGCTGGTCAAGGCGCTTTTGGCCTTGCAACCCGGCAGGCGGAACACTGGCCACGGAATCCAATGGGTTAATGCCACGTGCTTCGTGTTGCTGTGAAGCTGCCTTTGACACACAATGCGCATTGCTATGCAGTCACACTTTGAGATGTTCCCATATTACCCAGACACAAATGACAAAAAAAAAAAATTCAGAGCAGATTGTACATGTGAACTGTACGTACTTTTGAAATGTATCATGTTTTACCACATATAGCAAAGCTATATGAACTAGCTATTTGTTCTAGTATTATGTCAAACTATACTTGAGAATGAAGTAACTTAATCTATTAATTCATGACCTGAACCATCATTTACAAATGACCAGGAAAAAAGATCCCTTTTTATAACCTCTAAAAATAGTGACATACATTTGTCTGGATGACCAAAATATTGAAATAACAAAATTTAATAACAAACTGACTTAGACCTCACTGTTTTCTTTGGGCAAGTAAATAATTGACTTTATAAATATTTTTCAACGTCTGGCAATAGTGTCAACGTGATATGCAAATCCTACTAATTGAAGTACTCACTTTGAAATTATCTGACACTACAGGAATGAGACAAAGGGACAGCGCCCTTGCTGCAAGTCAGCTGTTCGTTATCTGACCTCCTCATTCTCTTCTACCTCGAGCTAGTTGAGCTGGCGCCAGTGCCTGAGTGCTGCTCTTGCTTCCTTACACTGCATTGATTTTACTTCTAAACAAAAAAATTGGTATTTGCATAGGCCTATTATGACAAAACCTTTAGCACAGCTTTTAGATATTTCTGTGGCTGAACAATCTTACTTGGATTACATCGTGCAGGGTGAAGCACTGAGGCAGAGCCTTCTTGTGCGTTATTTGGGCACACCACCTAAGCAGCCACAGCCGAAGCGTGGCTCAACGGAAGGCCCACAGCTGCCGCAGCAGCAACAACAGCCGCAGCAGCTGCAACCCCCGCAGCAGTCGCATCAGCCACAGACACCCCTGGGTCGTCCACACAGCCCACTGGCTGACGTCCAGAACCAGCTTGATCGCGAGGGGGCCTCGGACCTTGTAGTGGAGCTGATTATGATGAGCCCCAGCCTGGCCATTTTTCTTGAGAGTGTCGAGCTTGGCATTGCTCTCCTGCGTGGTGGAAACCCTGTCATACAGGTGGGAACATTCTACCTGCTGCAACAATGTGTATTATTGCAGGCAGGAAAGAGTAAGCAGTGGTACTGTGTTATATGTGGCCTATCTAGGTTTTCTTTGAAGTAGCCATCGTGCAGTTACTTTTAGTGCAGGTTGTTGTTACTCAGCAATGAACTATAATTGTCTGACCAGACAAGGTGACATAATAGACACAAGGTCACCCAAAAGGAAATCAAGCCAGAGGTATAACTAAAGCTGTCACATGTTTAAGACCTCTATGTTAGAATGACATTCGTTGGCATTCCGCTGGCAATGAATTGTTGGCATTCCGTTCAAGTTTCTGTCATATCTTCATAGAAACATGCACTCCCCACATCTAAACACGTCCTTTATCTGTGCTCTGCTGGGACCAGAACGATATCTGCACAGCATTGAGACGATGTGCACATACTGTACCTTTCTTCTCTGTGTGTTATGTCCTCATAAGGATTCTGAGTGTGCAATTATGCAATGTGATGTATTTCTGTATTCTCATGCAGAGGTCGATGCATGCAAAGCTGACTACTGGCAACAATGCGGAGAAGTTCTTCAAGGTATTTTTTGACAAAATGAAGGCAGCACAACAGGAGATAAAGTCCACTGTCACTGTCAGCACATCTGACATGGCTGCACGAGCGACCTCGGAAGAGAAAGATCTGGTGCGCAAGGACAACCTCCGGGAATCTCGCAGCCGCTCTCGAGGTGAGTTTCCCCGTAGGCTGTTATTTAGGTTGATTGTTATTGTAAGAACAGATCTGTTGGCACAACCTTGAGGGCACTAAATAGAATAAGGAGATTCATTTATTTTCTTTGTTATTTATTTCTATGTTATGGCTGTGGAGGTGACTGCATTGCTTACTTCATCGCCTTCTTACCTTGTAACTTACGTTGATGATGACATTAATTCTTTTTGGAAAGCGAACTTTTCATGGTATTATTGAAATGGTGTGAATAAAATACTATTGTTCGGGTTGCATAGAATTATTACATAAATTTTATTACAGCTCACTTTGGGTCTCAGTTGTTAACTATGTTGATTTATCTTTTCAACATTTATGTTTATCGCAATTATTGTGAATGTGTATATATAAGTGATGTTTATTCTATTTGTCTAAAGTTGGTTGACTAATATAAAATATCTGATTAGTGATTTTGCCATTAAATGCATACTCGCAATAAAAATGACTTTTAAAATTCCATAGAATGCTGATTATTTTCCTCATGATCTGGAAACAAGGGAAATATGTGGAAATGTGATCTGCTGCCTTAACCATATTAATCACAATGCTGCTCAAGAGAGCTGAGACTTTACATAACTAGTGAATTGTTGTCACTGCGCTCACAGCAGTCCACTAACATTTTTAAAAGCACGTTCTGCATGAAGGCTTTATGAATGAGGTGATAGTGTGCTCTGTTGCTGTTGTCAAAAGGGATGAAGCATAGTGTCGTGAGTGGAAGCTACCGAGGTAATTTGATAGCTCTAACAGCCCTCTGCAATTCTCACCTGCAATGCGAGAGGTCTGTAGAGAATATGCCACAGTGACTGGGGTCAAGTTGGTCTTGTAACATCCACCAAGTATCGCTCAAAACTGGAACTGAATGTATGTGTTAATTTCTATGTGATTTATCAATTGAGACAGAGAATGCCATGAAAAAAACATTAACATTGATTAGTCTTCTGTTTAACTTTCAACTGTTGCAGTTCTGTATATAACGTATTGCTATACTTGCCGTTGAATGCCTTGGAAGCTAGAAGATCAAATGCATAGAAAACTGAGCATGTTGCTGTTAATTCATAGTTATAAAGCAGTACAATTAACAAAGATTACCCCCCCCTGCCACTAAGAAAAAAAAAAGCAGTTTGATACATTGTAGTTGGAACTTCAGCATTTGTCCTGTTTCAAATTTTAGTTGTCATAGTAGAGCAATTTTTAGATGTGTAATTATACATATATATATATATATATATATATATATATATATATATATATATATATATATATATATATATATATATATATATATATATATTTTTCCATCTAGTTTGCTCGTCATTTGTGCCGTCTGTAGCTACACAAGTTGATAGGGTATGCACAGTTTTAAATATGAATGATTGTGTTCTATTTCTCTCACAGGAGCGAAGGGGAGCCTGGTGGTGTCTGAAGAGCTGCGTGCCCAGTTAGAGGATGCAGCGCAGGTCACGGGAAAAGCCTATGCCCATGTGCGATCCACAGTGGGTGGCCTCAGTGGCGACGCTGTTGGTAAGCATATCTGTGTAAAGAGCCAATGAATCTTTACATTTTGATACTGCTATGGGCTTCATATGTGACGTATGTGCTGGCTTTGTTTCTGTAGTAACACGTAATACTTTTGGTGTAATTTATGAGTTATTATTGAAGTGCAAGTGAAGTGCTTGGGTAAATAACATAGGTTCATACTTATTTATGAGAAGGGAAGCCCTTGCACTGATAATTTAGTGTAAGTTCACCTTGCTGCTTTTCACTGGCACAATCTGATGATTAATCAGTTTGTACTCTCTATGGTAGAGTACTTTTCAATTAAGTTATATTATCACCACCTTTATTTCGTTGCTTACTTGTGTTGACTTATATGTGTCGGCTACTTCAAATTTCTTGGTATTTTTTGTCTTGTTTGTAAGGTAATCTGTTTTTGCATCTGCTGAGAGCCCTGCTACAGGATGTTGGCAGACTGTGGCTGGTTAGGGCTCATGATACAATGTGCGAGTGCACAAGTGTGTGTGTGCACAAGTGTGTGTGTGTGTGCGTGTATGCGTGCGTGTGTGCGTGTATGCGTGCGTGTGCACGTGTGTAATTTTTTTTCCCTGTCCTTGTCTGGTCTTGCTGCACACACACACGCAGCACTGCATGCATGTAGCTTTTCCTCTGTTCTCATCTGGTTGTACTTCACATAGTACCATAGAGTTGCAGTATGTTTAACTATGTAAGTAGGTTAGGTATTTGTTCTTGTGCCTGCGTTGCATAATATTATTTTATTTTGCATCCCTGAAGTTTAGACAAATGCGCTTACTTGTAGCTGTGATTGTCTGACTGCAACTCTGACTGTGCAGCTTGACTGTACCATTGTGCCATAAGGTTGCAGTATTTGTAGATAGGTTAGGTCCCATTGCCAGATTTGCTATGGTGTCCTTGCTGCATAATTTTTTTTTTATTCCACACCTTGTAGATTTAGAGAAGTGCACTTTGAATAAGGCATATAATTGAGTTGTAGCTGTGATTATTTAACTGTGAGCCGTTTTTGACTTCCGACTGTTTTTATTGTAAATTTAGAATAAAAGTCTTCAGTGAGAACATGACCGCATATACGTGTTGAATGTGCCTGTGCATTAGCACTTGCTCTGATTTCTTTTTAAGTTAGTAAACTGCATGTGCACTGTTTACTTGGTGTTACATTATGTGCTGGTATTCTAGCATAAAGGTGTTAGTATCTTATAAATTGGATGTCCCTAAACCTCCATAGCTGATAAATTGTGGGCATATTACCCTCATGCAATCTATTTGAACAGGCACTGGCCCTTTGTCTCCAACTGAGGAAAATGAACGACCCCAAGAGCCTCGCTTGGCACCCGAGGTGTTGGTCATGCAGCCAGTGCTACGTTTTCTTCAGCTGCTGTGCGAGAATCACAATCGAAGCCTGCAGGCATGTATGCTTTGTTTGGCTTTGTTGCATGAGTGTGCAGTCTTTGTCACCAGTAGCAGCATTCTGGTGGCTAGATCCCCAAATCATTCATATATTTGCCAGGGACCACATTTTTCCACAAATGGCCATTTTCGTGACCATCTATTGCGTGGTTTAATTAAGAAAGTATGCATCTTGTGCAAGTTTTTGATCTTGACTGGGCCAGGTTGCGGGATTCGAATGGAAGCGAGAATGCTTTAGACACCTGTACTTAGATTTAAGTGTAGGTTAAGGAACCCGAGATGGTCAAAATCTCCAGAGTCCTTCACTACGACATCTCTCGTTAATCATATGATAGGTTTATGACATTATACTCATGAATTATTATCTGGATGGTGCATTTGTGCCTGCCTATTATTCATGTTCATGTACTGCTCACATTTTATTCAGCCAGTGCAAATATAATTGATGTAATTCATGTTAGCTATTGATAAAATTGTTTTAGTAAAGAAGTCTTGGCTGACCTGGTACAATGAAGGTGGAGATTTGTAAAGTACACGCGCTGTAACCATTGTCATTCATTCACTGCGAAGTGTTCATCATTTTTGTTTGTTGCTCTGATTGGCTTTCTTATATCATTACTTTTTTATATTGAGTGAACTTTTGTTTTTATCCTTCAACTCCGGCTACCTTGTTTATGCACAGGATTTCTTGCGCAATCAGTGTAACAAGAACAACTACAACCTGGTATCCGAGACGCTGCTGTTTCTAGACTGCATTTGTGGCAGCACCACAGGTGGCTTGGGCCTGCTTGGCCTTTACATCAATGAACACAATGTGGATCTTGTCAATCAAACCCTCGAGACTCTGACAGAATATTGCCAGGGCCCCTGCCATGAAAACCAGGTGATGTATGAAAAATCGAAACTTGAAGTGCCGAATAGTACTCTCGAAAGCTATATTTTGCTTTTTACATAGTGTCGAGCCTATATATATCAAATTAAAGTTTTCTCTATCGAACAGCTTTAACATCTACTTGGGAATTCCATTCTAAAGTATGGCTTTGCGCTACGCTTGTATTGAATTTCCTTACATCCACATTCAATATATCAAGTGTTCTGTTCCAGCAGGTACCTAACTGGTGTCATCAGATATATTAATTTCAGCGCAATTTCTCCATTTTGTTTAGCTCTCTAGCACCAGAATTATTTCGAGAAAAATGTGCGAAATTCCCAGTATTACTCTGTATAATATTTCGTATGTCATTATAATGCTCAAAGTGAATTAATTGATTAGTCATTGGTTATAATTAAGACCAAATCTAATAGTTAGGGGTGTGCATATATTCAAACTTTAGAATATTTTTATAAGAGTGTTTGCTATTCAATATGATTTACACTGGAATTTTGCTATTCGAATTATTCAATCTTTTCAGGACCAATACAGTTAACATCAAATTGACAGTGGCCCCTTCAGATTTTTTTTTATGTGCTTCACCCCACCGCACTATCGCGTTGCGATGAAGCTGCCTTTCAGACTGCTACAGTCAATGAAGTATTGACTCATAAAAATGCTGATTCCAGCATGGAGATGATAGATGTGGCATAGCAGGGGGTTCAATTAATGCCGTTTTGGACCTGAAATTTGGGTGGAAAGTCTGAAAAATGAGACGCCAGAGCATTGTAGCACCTGAAATTACAGACGTTCTTGTATTTAGACATCTATGGGGGCGGACGAAGACTAGGAAATCGGTTGGGTCTCCACAGAAGTTGAATGAAGAGAACATGTTGAGGAAATAGCATCTATTTCTTTCACATGTAAAACAATGTCACCACCACATTGCTTGCACCAAATCATGTAAATATATACACTACGGCCAATTGCCTCATCCTTGCTAAAACAACTAGGGAACACCATCTCTCCAGCACTTCACCATTTAGCCAAAATATACACTTCCATATTTAATCCAGAATATCAGTGCAAATAAGCACACGACAGTGACAGATCAAGACAGGACTCAGTGATGTGCCCCATCTTGATCTGTTGCCATCGTTCGCCTCTTTGCGTAACTTTCTGAATTATGCACTTTTAACTAGCCCATCAGTATCTTCTTTTGATTTCTAATGTTCCTATCTGTGCTTAGGTATCCTTAGGGAACCTTTTTTTCCTGTAAACTCACTTTAAAGTGTACAAAAAGTATGAAATTAAAATGTCGACAACTATTTGAAAATATTTGATTTGATTTGAACTCAACCTTTAATATATTTGAATCCACTTTTCACCCAAAGTTTTGCTATTTGCACAGCTCTACTACTACTACTTATAATAATACAGCTTCTAAGAGAAGCATTTTCTCACTACATGTCGTAGGGATTATTGATACATGGAACTGTTTAGTGATTCCTTTCAAGTTTGATATTTGGGTTTGTCTACACCAAGACATGCACTGGCTCACATCCATATTGACTTGTCTTTGTATTGATAAGTTGTTAAGCTAAACAAATTGCAAAATAACACATGTGTTCATAGCTTTCAAAGTTCTTTAATAGCTGTGTGGTGCGAGTTCTGAGGTGCAAGTACTTAAGTTGCTGCCTTTCTCGCTAATCTCGATCCCAATTGAATTACATACTTACAGTATTGATAGATTAAAAGCATGTTGCTCACACAGTTTACTTTCTTCCTTGTTTTAGAACTGCATCGCCATGCATGAAAGCAATGGGATTGACATTATCATTGCCCTGGTTCTAAATGACATCAACCCACTTGGAAAGAAGCGCATGGATCTTGTCCTAGAACTGAAGGTAATAGAACTTAATTTCTTTACATGCTTCTGTAGGCCTTCAGGGCCCTTGGTTGCAGAGTTAAATATAGCTTAGAACTAGGCTTGTGCGAATATTTGAATGCTTTGAACATTCGAGCAAATATCACAGGATTGGAATTTAAATTATTGAAAACTTCAAAGTGTTTGAAATAATCGAATCGATGTATATTAGTCTACGTATAATCTTTGTAAAGTGGTTTCACTGCAGCGAAGGAGTGCTAAGTCGTGAGAACACCTATTTTTTCGACATTAACATTGCTGCGAAGCCCTACTTCAAGGTTAAATGAACTATCACATCGATTCATCATTTTTTACATTTAAAAGCTTGTTAAATGTTCAACCAGCTTATATGCTATAAGTATAGTGAATATTGAAATGTGGCATATTTTACAGGTTATCATTTGCATACTACCAAAAGTCAAATCCTGCTACTATTCAAAGTCGTTTCCACTTCCTTTGAACAAAAAATATGGCATTTGCACTGGCCTTGTTTCAGTTAAAAATGTATACATACTGTGCAGGTTGGTGAGTTCATGAAAAGTATGCCCATTTTTTCTTATAACACATAATAAGCACTATTCAAATTCTATTTAAAATCATTGAACCAAGATCATTATGTGCTTTGAATTCTTTCCGAATCTAAAATTCACTATTTGCACAAGCCTAGTGAAAACTTTTTTTCATGCTTATAGTGCACCACAAATTATTTTTATCAGCAACTAAGTATATTTCATCAATTGTTACATCTGTTAAATTGTTCCTATCAGTTGTAAAAGACTCACCCATACTCTGAGCAAAATGTGGGTGATGACAACTGAGGTGGGCATGTAGTATGTATGCTGCTTTGTGAATCTTACCGAAATTGCATATCTTACCTCCTAGCATATTTGCCCCTGACACAATGCTAACACTAATTTGAGATGTCGTGAACTGTTGGTACTAATGAATATTTACTACAAGGGCAGACATGGATGAAGAAAGGCTTCTGCAATGTCACTGGAAATTAGTATTCTTTCTGTATTTATCATTCTGGAAATGAGTATTCTGTATCAAACAAAATGTTTGTAATTGTGTGGAGAATAGGATTCCAGGATTAAAGAAAATGGTGGATTATGCCAACAATTGGTTTTTATTATGTCTGAACTGGGCTTGTATCTTTGCAAGTAATGCTCCGCCTATTCTGTTTTCCTGTACTCGCCTCTGTCATTTTGGTAGGGTTTTCGTTGGGGCTGGCACAACTGCTAGTTCCAGAATGAAAGCTTTGGAGATCAACAGGCGTGTCGCAACATTAGTGCTAGAGAAAAGGCGCGTGCACCATGGCATAGTAAAAAAAAGCGAATTGGGATCTTGGGATACATTATTCTTATGGGGCTATATTAGAAATCCGTGCCACAGATCACCTCGATCACATGTTAATGACTCCCATAGTTACTTTTTAATTGTCATAGCCACAAGGCAGCTTGAGTGTTCTTCCAACATGAATAGAGAAGTGCAAGTTTGTCAAGTTGTCTCTTAAATGTCTTAAAAATTTCTTAAATCCCTCAATCTGTTCAAAGCTTTACTCTGGTTAGTTTAAGCCATTGAACATTACGAACAGAACTTGGTCTTATGTCAACCTGGAGCCTTAGTCCTCTATGTAGTGGTGAAAGTATTATAAGCGCTTTTTTGTGCTTGGTTTCAGAACAATGCAAGCAAGCTGCTGCTGGCTATCATGGAGAGCCGAGGGGACAGTGAGAATGCCGAGCGTATCCTCTTCAACATGAGCCCCCGGCAGCTAGTGGAGGTGGCGTGCAATGCATATCACCAGGATGAGGACGAAGATGAAGATGATGACGATGATGATGACACTGTTGGGGACAGTCGGGGTATGGGTGGGGGAGACGGTGTGGGTGTGTCTCCTAAGGAGGTGGGTCACAACATCTACATTTTATGCCACCAGCTTGCCCAGCACAATCGAGACCTGGCTGGTCTGCTGAAGCCGCATGAAAGTGCCGATTGCAAGACAGCCCAGGCTCTACAGTACTACGCCTCCCATACAGCACAGATTGAGGTACAGAAGTTGAAAATTGCTTGAACGATTAATTTTTGTGAGTGCTAAGCGTGCTGCAGTGAAGGACTCTAAAACTGTAGAACAATCTCGATCACCTTGTGTCTAAAATTTTGGTATTCAGTCATTTTTGGCATTCTGTCGTGTTTGCACTGTGGGGCCCTGGTACCATTTGTACTGCATGCATAGTGCTGAACTTGGTAGTGGGCTGTACTGGAGCATGCTTTGTTCTCCTGAGCTTTGCCTCATACACTTGTATGGTACTAGTTTGCGAGTGCAACGAGAGGCAATGAGAGCTCATGCTTTCTGTTCTTACACAGCATAAAGATATACACTTTGAGTGGAGATCATATTCATTAACTGGCAGCTGTATTGTTTCTGTAAAGTGCATTTTCTGCATTTTGCATCGTGAGTTGTTATTGTATATATTGTAGCAGTATGTACATATTAAATTAAAGGATCAAATCGTTAAGTTATTGGTCAGAATCTTGGTAGCATGTGATACATATACGATGCGGCCATGTGTCCATTTGGTAGCTAACATGTATAGTGTTCCCATTCTATTTCCACCTCATGTAATGCTTTGTATTATGTTTATGCTTGCTTTTTCTTGTTATTCGTAATATTCAAACTAACCCCATTTCACCACAATTGCTCATAATATGTAATATCCTTGTGTAGACTCTCTATTCCCTCTTTTTGATGTTTTCTGCAAGCATACTAACGAAGAAAACAAAAGCTGAAATGTGAGACTTCAACCATTTTATTTTGTAATAGCAGCAATAATGGAGTGATTTTGAAATGCTGTAGTAATTGCAATAACCTAATGTAACATGCTTCATGATACACAAATAAGCATGTATAATGTAGTAGTATATGCTACAATGCCTATGTACTTCATACTAAACTGTGATGTTGTCTATTCTCTTTTGCATGCAGATCGTGAGGCATGATCGCACAATGGAGCAGATTGTGTTCCCTGTGCCACAAATTTGTGAATTTTTAACGCGGGAAACCAAGGTTAAAGTGTACAACACAACGGAGCGCGATGAACAGGGTAGTAAGGTAAGAGCTACACATCTTATTCTTGGCTTTTGTGTTCAGTTGATGTTCATTTCAGGTGTCGGACTTCTTTGAGCGAACAGAAGACCTTTTCAATGAAATGAAGTGGCAAAAGAAACTGCGAGGTAAATTTTGCAACACTGCAAGCATAGCTTATGTTTTAGCGATAGTGTGTTCATTGAAACGAATTGTCTTCAGGTCAGCCAGTGCTCTACTGGGTGAGCCGGCACATGTCAACATGGAGCACTGTGGCCTTCAACTTAGCTGTGCTGATCAATGTCGTTGTGGCAAGCTTCTACCCATTTGAAGGTGCAAAAGGTACAGAAATTTGATGCTTTCCACTGTGTGTTACTTTTGAAGAAGTACACTACCTTTAATTGTAAGATGAACAAACTTTCAAATTTTGTAGCCTTGGCGCTCTGGTCTTATGTTTATACATCAAGAAAAAAAATGTGCAATACAGAAACAAAAACATAGACATGACTTGTGTGTGTTGTCCTCCATGTTGCATAGGTTTTTTAAACCCAGTTTTCACTTTTAATTATGACAATACTGCCTCAATGGTGCATGTGCCTCACATTACCTTAAGGGAACACTGAAACCAAATGTTAAGTCAACGTTGATTGTTGAACTAACGTTCAAGAAATCTTTAGTGCTTGCTTTGTGCCAAGAAAGTACTTATTTTGAATGAAAATCTCATTTTAGTGGTACACACAGTGTTAGCGCAATTAAAATCACGTGCCTGAAAAAGGCTTCTTGAGGTTGCATTTGCCTTGCCCAACGTTGCCCATGTTTACTGTCCTGCAGCCAATGCTGTGGTTTCAGCTCTGAAGAACACAGTACAGAAAATACCTAACATGTACCAGGCATTTTGTTTAACTTTTCGTGAGAGCAACTTTAATGAGCACACAAGGCACATGAAGCAATATGCGATCACAAAACTACCACCGAGACACGACCGCGTAAACGGAGTGCAGCCTGGCGAAAATGAAACTTTTGCACAACCCGTGCCATTCTTCATTGTAACGTTGAAGGCTTTTTTCTATGAATCAAAGAGAAAGACACAAGCAGCATTTTATTATGCCTTGTAATGCTCATAATGCTTTTTTTTATTATGAGTAGCTTGAATGCCAGTGATAATTTGTTCTCTGAGCTCTTGGCTTCATCAGGCTCATTCCAAAATGTCCCACTGGCGGCGCATGTGGTGTCCTACATTTACCTTAATACCTCGACTAGTAGAACACTGCTGTTGATAATATAGGCATTTTAGATGTTCTCAAGCGTTGGACCTTTAACTACGAGATAAATTTTTATTTGCCTTTATTATCCCTCTATGCACTTCCTTTGTTTTTTTTTTATGGCGTGTGCTCATGGCAGGGAGCATTTTCACTACATTCATTTTATAAGCCAGTATTCCTGTTGTCCTCCTTATTTTTTGTTCGAGTTGCTCGCTTCTCCAGCCAGTGCAAAGGCGCAGCTAAAGCATTAACAGCCATCCAAATAATTTTAACTTTGGGCGGTAATTATATTTAGAAAGAATGTCCTAACTTTGTTACATTTTCAGTGCAGTTTTCATCTCTTCCCTCTTTGTCACTTCCAAATCGCATTGGTTTTCATCACTGCTTGTAATTTCATAACTACTGTTGATCTGGAAGAGTAGTGGCATTAGATAGAGAACCGTTTTCTCAAGAGACACAAGCGTGGCCCCTGGAGGAGTGCACTGCATTATCACAAGTTAGCTCACCGTGTATTTTAAATGCTTGCATGATTTCTGGTGGCAGCACTTCTTAATTGTTGGGCATGGTTTGTGCAGAACTGGACCCACGGCTGAGTGGCTTGAGTTGGGCACTGATGCTGGTATCTCTGGCAGCGGTGGTTGTGGCACCACGACCATCGTCTATAAGAGCATTGTCCTGTGCCTGCATTCTACGTCTCATGTCCTGGCTAGGCCTACAGCCTACACTGTGGTTACTGGGCACAGTAAATGTGGCCATCAGGTTAGCCCTCATCTCCTATATGCCATGAACAATAAATAAGTTTTGGCATTTAGAATGTACACTTTGTTAACCTTCTCACTTAGAAAAGCAGCTTTGAAGAGCAGCTAGACTTTTTCATAACACGCTAGTGCATTGAACCTTGATGACTAAAATCTTTTGTTGAATGTGACTTACACAAGAACTCTTAAAGGCTGCGTGCTTTGGTTATAGTGTGTACAAATGTTTCTAAGGTTCCATATTTGAGGAACTCCTGTTGGAAGCAGTACATTTCTGTAATGTCCCTCATTCTTTTGCTCTTTTTTTTTTTTTTTTCAGCACGGTGCACCTCGTAAGCATAGTGGGAAATCACGGGACGTTTGCACGCAGCCTTGGCCACATGCTGTCCGACATGGAGCTTCTGTACCATGTCTGCAACCTCGTTTTCTGTGCGCTAGGCCTACTTGGACACCCACTGTTTTACAGTGTGCTTCTGTTAGATGTGCTCTACCAGGAGGAAACACTCCTTAATGTCATAAAGTCTGTGACACGTAATGGCCGCTCTATCATTCTCACGGCTGTGCTTGCACTAATTCTGGTGTACTTGTTCTCCATTGTTGCATTTCTGTTCTTCCGTGATGACTTCCTCATTGAAGTTGACAGCCGTGCTGTTCGGAACGTACCACGAGGTAAGTCAACCAGTTCTGTGTTCAGTCTTAATTTCAGCAGTGCACTGAGAGACAAGGACTAAGAAGAAGTTTTCTGTTCAGTTTTTTTTACCGCAATATTTGCATGCTTTTTCCTAATGAAATTCAGTTTTCTTCTCATCGTCTACCAGTCTACTGCTAAAATTAAAATGGATACGTACCAACTTGCTCAAGTTTCAATTCTCATTCTGTGTTTCGCGTTGCCATGGTGGTGTGCTTTTTTATATATTCTCACGGGGTTGTGACGTGGACGAAGGGAGCAGACTCGACGCTAAGATGAAACTGTTTATTCTGCCGAACGTGTAGCCAGGAAACTGAAGGTCAGATTACCGCAATATACGGGCACTGATAGCGGCGAACAGGGCATCAGCTGTCGATCAACTGACAAGCGGCGAAGCGCGGCGGCATTTATACATGTGTCATCGAACGCTCCAGCCTTATCACTGGTCTTAACGCAAGATCTGGAATAATCTCGTGTGTCCACGCCTTGTGAACAATCGTATGTTGGATCAATGTGGCCTCATGACTTCAGTGCCACTATTAGTGCTCTCGATGTTCAAAGAATAAATAGTGCCTGGCTCTGTATGCTGTTTCACTAGTTTTGCAGTTAATGTCCGATTTTTGTAAGCTTCTTACATTGAGGTAAATTCAGTGTATAACAAAACGTCATAAAAGACATTCAGTAAAATAAAAAGAAAGAAAAAGTTTCGTAACTGCATTATGGAGCATCTCGCCTAAATACACACTGCTGTAGCAAACACCCATCTTTATAACCAATAGTTATTGTAAATGTCACTGCAAAACTTCTAATCTTGGGTTTTTTCGCATTCAGTTTAGTGGTATTTCTATATAGTTTAAATGCACTTATCACCTCTCTCATTTGTCAGTTTCAGGCCCAGAAAGTGAACCACCATGTCTTGAAGGTTATTGCGATGTATCCGAGCGGCCTAAGGATGCCAAGGAATCTGATGATGATGATGATGACACAACAACCGAACGAGCTTGCGACTCTCTCCTAATGTGCATAATAACCACAATGAATCATGGTTTACGGAACGGTGGTGGTATTGGTGACATTCTACGACCACCTAGTGCTAAGGTGTGTACTTTGCCAATGGCATTTTTGTACTTGTCAGGAATTTTATTTGTGTTTACAGACCCTGATTCACGGGGAATGCTTGTGGGTATTATTCAGAGTTTGTCGGCACATTGTGTATTGTAGTCATATAGCTTGTATCACAGCTGCTTTTGTGAACATGTGTGTGATGCGCAAACAAATGTGTGCTTGTTTGTACAGGAACCACTGTACTTTGCTCGAGTTGTGTACGACCTGCTCTTCTTCTTCGTGGTCATCATTATCGTGCTGAACCTGATCTTTGGTGTCATCATTGACACGTTTGCTGATTTGAGAAGCGAGAAGCAGCAGAAAGAAGAGACCCTGCGTAACACGTGCTTCATCTGCGGTTAGTTAAGAGCTGACACTACTGTCAGTGCAGTTTCCTGCTGATGATACTGTCTGTTAATTGACAGAATTTTTTGGGATATTGATCTATGAACAAAAGAGCAAAATCATTTTGTGTTTTGTCATAGTGGGAATTTTAAAACAATCAGTATAAAACAGCTTGTGCTTTCGAATAGAGACACTAAGGGTACACATCTAGGACATACCTGACAGAAAAAAAAAAAAGAATGGTCAATTCAGTAGGCATAAGCTGTGTTGTGTGATAGCTAGTAAGAACCTGAAAGGACATTTTTACTTTAGAGTGCTCTCTTTACGTGTTTTATTTTGAGAAAAAAAATTGTGCTCCTGGAACCTGAAATCCAGTGTTGACAAAATATCTTTTCTCACTGCGACCAGGTCTCGACAGGTCAGCTTTTGACAACAAGAGTGTGTCATTTGAAGAACACATTCGATGTGAACACAACCTTTGGCACTACCTCTACTTTATTGTGCTGGTGCGAGTCAAGGACCCAACAGAATTTACGGGTCCTGAAAGTTACGTGGACTCCATGATCAAGGTTAGCTGTACTTTCCTTGCTGCTTGTCACTGAACCCTTTTTGATTATGAGGACATTTTAAGACTTCTGAGCTTAACACAGGTCAGTATGAGTCAGAGGAAAGTGCAGTCGAGTAGAATCATGTGCAAGTTGTGTGCTTACACTGTGAATGCGCTGGAATTTTTGGGGGTGTTCCTTATACATAGATTCTGCCATGCTGTTTTACCACTTGAGGAGAAACTGCGCTAAATTAATTGTTCATAACCTGGTTGATATGGTACTTCCCCAAACGTATGAAATACTAAGGCAGCTGTAGAACAGGTAGTTACTGCTCATTACACTAAGAACATTGATTAATTGATTGATTAATATGTGGGGTTTAACGCCCCGAAACCACCATTTGATTATGAGAGACGCCGTAGTGGAGGGCTCCGGAAATTTAGACCACCTGGGGTTCTTTAACGTGCACCCAAATCTGGGCACACGGGCCTACAACATTTCTGCCTCCATCGGAAATGCAGCCGCCGCAGCCGGAATACACTAAGAACATTGAGGTGCAGAGGCCTTAAAGCTTCAAAAGGTTTTGAGGAGCCTCAGGGAAATATTGAGCCCAGCAGGGAGAAAATAAGATGTTATGATTCTGTATTACATAAACTATAAAATAAATTGAATCAAAGTTGTTGTGGTGGCTTAGTTGTTACGGTGCTCAGCTGCTGACTTGAAAGACTTGAGTTCGATATTGGCCATGATGGTCGCATTTTGGTGGAGGCAAAATGCTAGAGGCTTATCTACTGTGCAATGTGGTGCACATCAAAGAATTCCAGGTAGTTGACATTATCCAGAACTTTCTCTGACATTGCAGCATGGCATCTCTCATAGCCAGAGCTGCTTTGGCTTAATTGCCACAAACCAACCTCCCAAATAATGATAATCATCATCATCAGCCTGACTACGCCCACTGCAGGGCAAAGGCCTCTCCCATATTCCGCCAATCAACCTGGTCTTGTGCTTTCTGCTGCCACGTTATACCTGCAAACTATTTAGTCTCATCGGCCCACCTAACTTTCTGTCTCCCCCTCGTGCGTTTGCCTTCTTTATGAATCCAGTCAGTTACCCCTAATGACCAGCGGTTATCCTGCCTATGCGCTACGTGCCTGGCCCATGTCTATTTCTTCTCGATTTCAACTATGATATCCTTAACCCCAGTTTGTTCCCTGATATACTCTGCTCTCTTCTTGTCTCTTAAGGTTACACCTATCATTTTCCTTTCCATCGCTCGCTGCGTCGTCCTCAATTTAAGATGAACCCTCTTTGTAAGCCTCCAGGTTTCTGCTCTGTATTTAAGTACCGGTAAGATGCAGCTGTTGTATGCTTTCCTCTTGAGGGATAGTGGCAATCTACCAATCATGATTTGAGAATGCTTGCCGAGTGTGCTCCACCCCAGTCTTGTTCTTCTAGTTACTTCGGTCTCATGGTTCGGCTCCGCTGTTACTACCTGTCCTAAGTAGACATACATTTTGCAACTTCAAGCGCACTATTACCTATCGCAAATTGCTCTTTCCTGCTGAAACTGTTGCACATTATTTAATTGTATGCATATTATTTTCAGACCTACTCTTCTGCTTTCCATGGCGAGTTCACTAATCATGAGCTGTAAATCATTCCTTGAGTTACTTATCATCAAGGCATTGTCATCAGCGAATTGCAGGTTACTAGGATACTCTTCATTAACTATTATCCCCAATTCTTCCCAGTCTAGTGCCCTGAAAACCTCCTGTAAACATGTGGTGAATTGAAGAGATTGTGTCTCCCTGCCTTACACCCTTCTTTATTGAGATTCTGTCGCTTTCTTTATGGAGAACTGTGGTGGATGTGGATCCACTGTAGATTTATTCCAATATGTTTATGTAGGGTTCGTCTTTGCCCTGATTTCATAGTGCCTGTATCACTGCTGATGTCTTGACTGAGTCAGATGCCTTCTTGAAATCTATGAAGGCTGCTATAGGGGTTGGTTGTATGCCATGAATTTCTCTATTGCCTGATTGATAGTATGATTATGGTCTATAGTGGAGCAGCCTGTACGAAATTCAGCTTGGTCTTTCAATTGACTGAACTCTAAGGTCACAGTTTCTCTGCCATCTTTCGACAGGTCCGCTGTTACCCTATCCTCACCAGTGGCTTTGCTGTTTGCATTCTTCCTAGCGCTTTCATTACTTCCCCTGGCATTACTGGTAGGATGTTGAATTTCTCTGGGCTATTATATTGCTTTACGGTATCATCCTCATTGTTTTGGCCTCTGTACAGCTCTCTGTAGAACTCCTCCGCCACCTCAACTATCCTATCTCTATTGGTTATGACATTGCCTTCCTTGTCTGCTGACACATACATCCAATTTTTGCCTATGCACAAGTTTGCATTCGCAGCTTTTAGGCTTGTGCCGTTTTTTTAAACCCTGCTCGATTCTCTTCATGTTATACCTTCTGATGTCGGCTACCTTATGCCTATTGATTAGCTTCGAAAGCTCCACTAGCATGATTTAGTTAGGTTGAATTTGAGGCTTTCATGGCTTGTCGTTTCTTGGTGGGGCCCTACAACACGTTTTGAGCATGGTCAGAAAACTCTGCCGATCGGTAGTAGAGGCTCCCAAGAACACGCGAGTCAAATATAGCGGAGCACGCGGCTTGAACTTCACAATAAATTATAAAAGTCAGCTAAAAATTGCCTTCTCTTTTCTCGACAAATGACGCTCGAAAATCGCTCATGGAAGGCCTTCTATCAGCCATAGACTGATTTGAACATGGCGCGCTCAGTTGTTACAAGGATCGCCACAGTAGGCCGCTTCTTGTACACACATGCATGCGCGATGACACTGACAAAGCTGCGTTTTCGAAGACAAAAAAAGTGCTCAAGATCACGAGGCGCGCGTGATGCACTTTTTTTGCCCATGCCATTCTCCCCCCCCCCCCCCCCCCCCCACTCCCTCTGTGCTTAGCTTCCAGCACTTTCGTTGGGGCGAAAGGAGAGAGAATGCAACTGCAGCGTGCAACCAATCTTTGTAACTCCGCTCGTACAGGACGGATTCTTAAAATTTTTGCGGAGTTGAATTTGTGAGGTAATAAGCTCTTTTAGTGAAATTCCATGCTTCCTTGAAAAAGTGTTTCAAGACCTCTTTAATAAAATTTTTTGTCTCCTGAGATGGTCTGCCAGTGACAAACCAAATAAATGAAAGAAAATCTTGCAGTCATGAAATGACATTGTTTAGTTTACTGCGTCCACAGAACTGCACAGTAATGTTGATGCCATATAGCACTTCAGTTGTAAGGAAAAAATGGTGAAGAATCCCAGACCAAAATATTTATTGCGCGGAAAATGCAGTTTGTTGGCTTCCTCTCATCTTGAATGTTTTTTAATGAGCAAACAAACCATTGTAATGATGCTCCACTTATGGATCATAATTATTATGTGTATTGAAGGGCTTTTAAGGAATATGAACTGGTCAGGTAAAACCTTTGTAAAACTAGCAGCATGGTACTTTTGCAAAGGTTACTTTTACAAAGGTACCAGTGCTCTTATCCTGTGTACTCTGTTTCATGCAGCCCTGCAATGTGTGTTCAAGAACGCACAAACTGTATCAAATGAAAGCTTTACTGCACTCAACAAAGTTGAAACAAAGTAACATTTCGTAGTGAATAAGTTATGTATGGACAGTGAAACATTTTGTTTTGACTGTAGCAGGTGACTTGATTCTTCTGTCCTAATGATCTCTATGCCAAATGTGTACTTGAAGGCCATCTTTCGTAAATTGTACTAATGCTTTATTTCTTCAACAATTGCACTATGTTGACCTAATACAAGGATCGGGTAAAATGTGAAATTCGTGTAGAAGAGCACTGTGCAGTTGTGAAATAGCTGTGCCAAAAATGCATGTGTGGAATGGCCATAGTGGAATGGCCTAGTATTCCACAGTATCCTGTGGCATTGTGTGTACCTTGTGGTGCTGCAGGAGAAGAACCTGGAGTGGTTCCCACGCATGCGTGCCATGTCACTTGCAGCAGATGAAGCAGATGGGGAGCAGAATGAGATGCGCACACTGCAGAACCAGCTTGAGGACACCCAACGTCTGGTTACCACCTTGTCTCGGCAGCTGGCCGAGCTCAGGGACCAGGTAATGTGCTTGCTCACTCTGTTGACGAATTGCTAGTCGTCACTTGTGCACCATCTCCTGCCTCGTAAAGCTTGCAAAAGATTTTTGTGGTATGGATGTGTTTGTCCTCCTCCTTCATTCTTATTCTTTTTGAACACATTACAATTGTTCATGTGCAGAAAATGCCTTTAAATACAGGTGCACGTTAAAAAACACTAGGCAGCTGAAATTAATCCAGAGTTTCCCACCATGGCATGCCTCATAACCAAATTGCGGTTTTGGCACGTCAAACCATGAGAATTATTATTATATTTGTTCATGTGCTGGACCAGCTAGGCTGAATGTCCACCTTTGGCTATGTTTTAGGGTTGTCTCAGTGTTTTTTGTTCAAGTTATGCAGTCGTCAAGTTTGCCTGTGGACACGTGGAAAAATAATTCACGATGGCAACCAACCCTTGCAGTCTATGTATAAGAATACTATGTACCTAGGTCAACTACTGATAGGGGAGCATACACAATAAAAGGAAACCCACTGAAGGATAAAGATGGGCTAGAACGCATATGGCAAAAATCACTGAATTCTGAGAGGCAAACTGCAGTTGTGTCTAAAACAAAATGTATACAATTATTGTGCATACTTCAGGCTGGATTGAAACTTGGACTAGAACAAGAGAAATTTCAAGAACTTTGCAGCATACAGTATAACAGAAAATGTATCAGAAGGCAGTAAATTGGTTCAGAAAATAGACAAGTGTAGCTGATATTCAAGACGATATTAGGCAAAAGAAATTAATGTGTTAGTCGACAACCGGTGGTCAGTTAGAGCAATTGAGTGGATAAGAGAATGAAAAATAAGCCAAGAACAGCAGTGATTTAGATGAGTCAGGGATCAAACAGAATCAGTTCATGGTAGAGAGCGCAGATTGAAGATTATGGGGGAGGCCTTTGTTCTGAAAGGGACACAAGATAGGCTGAAAAGGCACTCTCAAAAAGGGCCACCTAGATGCTTCAAAGTTATGTTATGTTTCATTTTCAGCCATGGCAGAGCAGTTTACCATGCTACCGTGTTAATTCATGTGCAATGCAGATGACAGAACAGCGGAAACACAAGCAGCGCCTGGGGCTTTTGGCTCATCCCAACTCTGTGCCATTGGCTGCCACTGCCAGCCTAAGTGTGCACTGACTCTCCTAACTGCCAACCCACAAACAGCTCTCCTCACAAAGAAGGTCACCACGCGCACAGTGCGAGCCTGGATGGGCCACCAACCTGAAATGTGCTTGCTACATCACTGCCTTGGTGGTGATCATGAGACTGGGCCAAGCAAAACGGACCATGCGTCTTCCATCGACACGACACGCAAGCGCCATTAGAATCACTCTGCTCTCTCGTTGCTCTTGGAACATTTGTGAAGGAAAGGGACCACATTTTCCTCCTGCTTTCCCACGTGCACACAAAATATTCTGGATTAGTCTTTCAGCAGTCGCTTCAACACTTTACTGCCACGATTTTTGTGGTGTCTTCTTTTTTTTTTTTTTTTCAGTATTGTTGCTAGTAGAACTGCATGTCAGAGATGAGAGGCAAGAGTGGCACTGATTGAAAATTGTGTGGCGGTTGTATACAAACTTCCTGGCAAAACATTGACGTCAAGCAGACAGTGGTGCCTGCATTGAAGCACAAGGTGATTGGCTTTTTCTTCCTTTCCCTTTTTATGTGGGCTTTTCCCACCTCTATTAACAGGAAACAGAATTTTTTTATCATCAAGTGCAAAAACTGCATTGAACGTCTTAACTCGCATTATCTTAGTTTTTTCACTGCATCTTAATTTTTGATGTCGAGGTAGTTTTAGATTGTCTTTCACAATGCATGTGCATCTAAACAAAGCTTCTTGCTGCAGTCATCACGTAATGCAATATTTTTTATGTTCTGGTGACAAGCCGTATTAAGTAAAGTGATACGAGTCAATTTTTGTACTTCGAGATTTTCGTTTAGCACTTTTCACTGTGATGGCTTGAGCTGCAGCACTCCTAAAGTGAAATTTACACTAAACCTGTGTCGAACCCTCAACAGTGGCTTGGCCTTTATTTTAGAAGACTGCACTACCACCGAAGCTTTCTATCACACACTTCTTGAAGCAAAGTGGAGAAAAATGTGTAGCTGGTATTGCTTCACTGACCTTCTGATCCTCTTTCTTTTTATGCTTCTGCTGATTGAAGGTTTCTTGCATGCTTTAATGACTGCAGTTCTCTCTGCAGTGTTTACTTGTCGGTGCTTTCAGTGTTTCAGATATTCAATTCGATATGTTGTGTTCTAGCTTCCACTTGTTCTTTTACTGCACATCTACACTTTTCAATGCGAGAATTTTAGACTGTTATAGCATTTTATATATATACATTGCCAGTGCATTTCCACATTACTATTAAGTCTTCACTTTTAAATGTATTTTTTCCCCCAAGGTTGGGTGCAGATATCCATAAAGTTTTAACAAATTTACGAACAAATATTTTTCTGGGATGGCTCTAGACATGTGATGCTACTCCTAATGGCTTAGTGCAATTTACAATCGTAAGAAATGGCAGTATTGCACAAGAGGTGCTACTCCGGCATTAACTACAGTGAACTGTGATAGCAGATCACTCACAGCTACCTTTTCCATTGTCTTTCTTAATGAATGTGTGGTTGAAAAAATGTTGCTATAGGCTGATTTTTGCTCATCTGTTTGTTTAAGCAAAGTGAAGCCTATGAAAAAGCCTGTTAGCTGCATAACAAAACCGTATGTCATGAAATCTGGGCATGATGAATGAAACTTCGAGTTGTCACATTGATTTAAAGTGGCTGCATTTTCACAGAAGTCATGGGCGGTGAATTTATGCCTATAGTGAATTACTCCGTGGCATCTTTCATCCCTGAATGTTAAGGTCAGTGTCACCCATGTTTTCAGCTTAAGTATGCACATTTAGCGGCCATAGGTTTTCAGCTGTATATTTTGACTAAGTTTGTTACAACTGTGTCTCGAATCGCAGGTAATGAGTGTTTAGTTTTTGCAGTTGCAAAAAGTTTAACACATATGCACATGAAATGAGTGCTCCACTTTGCAACATATTCTTTCCTCCACTAGTCAGTGAACACGAGAGAGTGGTATTTATTACAGCACCCTGATCAAAAAATACTTTTTATTGTCTTTTACAAGTGTACAAAGCATCAATATATACATGTATGTACTATGTATGTCCGTGCTCTCGTGTGCTACTTAAAATGTACGTTGCATTCATTTGTTCACAACACTGGTTCGTAATGTAGTTTAAAATGGTACACGATAACCATAGATGCTGTACTGAATGACACTGTACACCGTATGCTCCACGAAATTGTCAATACCATCTTACACAAAGAATACAAAAAGTGATTGAGCCCCTATGCTCACTTCTTGTTAGTGAAGTGGCAGCTATTACTTTAAATTAAACCAAAAATTAGAGGAATGCATTATCAACAGTCTTCACTTAAAGAATACTATCGCTACCTAGGTGCACTTCATGGCAATACAAATACGATCTAGAGCTTCAGCCATGCACGCTGAGAAATTCCTGGCGTCCCGATGTGGGCTGTAAGCACTGACCAGCGCTCCCAACTTGTCATCAACCATGCCATAGCCGATGCCGTAGCCGTCTGGCACGACAGGTGCAAAGCCTCCACCACTGAAAGCCACACCATGTAAGGTGGATGTTGAAAGGACAAAGTGGTTTGCTTTTTCGAAGCATTTGTCTCTGTAAATTGCGGGCATAGCCCGCCCCTTCTCTTCAGCCAGGACTCTCAAGGCAAACAAGTGGCGGTCGAACCCCTGACCTGCAGTAAAATAATAGCCATATCTTTGTGATTTTGGGTAGACCCACAAAATGAAAGCAAAGCAAGCATGATAGTTTAATACTTCCCTTTTCTTGTGGGCTGCTTTACCCATAAAGTTCAGTGCCCTTCTCAAGCCAGGTCTACAGTATTTATACGAGCTGCCAAACATGGTTCAACTGTGGCAAGTGTTGCATTTAGCAGTCCAGCTTGATGTACACAAGCACATAACATAGCAACTGATCACTCAAAATACATCTGCCACAATGGTCCAGTAGTGGTGATGGCACCCAACTGCTAACCTGAAGGTTGCAGTGTAAAATCTCAGTTGCAGCTGGCCTTATTTGAATTGAGGTAAAAGGCTAGAAGCCCATGTACTTGGATTTAAGTGCATGTTAAAGAACACCAGGTGGCCAAGTTTTTGCAGACCTCCTCTACAGTTTTTTCCCTCACAATTCTATTGTAGTTTTGGGATGTTAAACCCCAACAAATACAAATTATTGTTATTGGTCACCAAATATACTAGTTACTCCGATAAACAAGGCAAGTGCACTCAGATGTAATTAAATCCTTGAGGTGATTTTGAGTATCACCTCGGTTTATTTCTACCGACATACCCTGCTTTTGCATTCTCCAAATTATTGCATGGCGCCTGCAATGTTACACAACTGCATTTTCATAAAATTTTCACAGCATTTGCACTAGTAGTCTTGCTATGGCAAGTTAACAGTACTGTACCCATGGCGGCCTCCTTTGTGAGCTGGTTGTGAACTCTAGAGCACTCCTCCAGCAGAGGTCTAGCATGCTTGAGGTCTTTGTTCGAACTGAGTGCGTTTACGCAACGTTTTGTGGCCATTGTTGCGGGCCGCACTGTTTCTGTTCGCCCGTGCTTGAAAGCAGACGTGCTGCACGATTCATAGGTGGCCGCAGTGCCTCCGTGTGCCAGGAAATAGGCCAGCTGCACAAAGTGTGAGGAGATGCAGCACTCTCATTAGTACTTGCATTAGGGTCTATGCTTGTATTGAAAGCTCCTAAGGGTTTTTCTGTAAGCATGCGCATTAGTGTGTACGGTAGTGCCAAATGATTAATTTACATAACTGTGTTGACTACTCCAAGAGATGCTTTTTAACAACTATTTACAAAATTTTCTGTAGCAGTTCAACCGTGCGTTGTCTCCCCTAAGGGGGAATGCAATCTTTTACAGCTGCCTGCATGTAGGCATGCTTGTGAAGTTTCAATTATGGTAAAGGCAAGGTTGTTAAATGGATGGCACTCTATCTTGCTTCTTTCTGCTCAAGAGCTTTTGGCTGGAAAATAACACCTCCCCCATGCAACATTGTTTTCCTTAAATCATTCATGTTGCAAAAGGCATACGCTACTTGTGTGCAAGCAATTCTTCTGAGACTCGGGTGTACATGATAGCAGAAAAGCAGATTAAAGTATCTTTGAAGGTGGGGCATTTTTGGGCGTACCTGAAAAGAGAGCTGCATGACTGAATCCGGACTGAGCTTGCTCTGCTTGATAAGCTCTCTGCTAAGGCCTGAGTGAACCATAGCAGCCAACTGGAGGTTGCCTGTATTTTCCTCGTAATTTTGCTGGGCTTTCTGCACATCTGCCTTCACAGAATCATTGACGATAAAGTCTGCACATAGTAAAGAAAAATGCTACATCGCATTTTGTCGCAGCCTGGGTGAAAAAAAGTTTAGTACGATTCAGGAAGTAATCATGAATAATTCTAGCTGAACCGAATGAAATGCGTCTGTGACCGGTCGCACAGAACCTGGGTGCTTGGAGGCTCATTGTACTGACTAAATATGCACCTTGAACTTTGGCCATAATTTATAATTCTATGCAATATCTTTTCCTTTCGTGGTAGGCATGAACGTTTTACAATATAGCCTTGAGGATTTAACTCGGTGCATGGTGCAGCCATAATGACATGCATGCCACATTATGGCTACATAGGAGACCCACTTACCGAGCCGTTGAATGTAGGGCTCAGGATTGATAATTGCAGACTCTCCGGGGTGAACGTAAGGCCGCTCAGTGCTGTCAGTGAATACGTCGTTAAAGTAGCGCAGTACAGCCACTCCATCACCCCACGAATGCTCAAAGTTAATAGCTGCATGCCCTTCTGCTGTAAGAAGCAGTGAAAAAGACTTGTCGAACCACCTGAAAGAATGTAAAGCCCGTTGCACTAAACAGACCTGCAAACTGGCTACGGCTCTCCTATGCTAAAGACATGCAAGAAAATTCGTTGAGATGTTTTCATGTTAATTCTAGACCTGTAGCTTTGTCACAATCATTTTTTTTTCTGGCTTTACCTTTTGAACACTTTCCAAAATAGTAATTCGTGTACCATAAAAAAAAATAGTGCAAACCAAGCATTTGTGCCAAGGCAAGGAGCTGCCACAATATGGCACATGACTACCCTGTGATACGTGGATGGTGCATCTACTAAAGTAATTGTCATTACAGTGAACCCACCTGTTGTGAACTGGGCCATGTAGAAAATGGTGAGCTATCTTCTCTTGTTCTGTGCCCTGAAATGCTTCACTGTCCAGCACCAGCACGAACAGGGCGCTGTCAATTTGTCGTAGTGTGCTCTCATTTCCAGCAGCCAGGAGTTCACTACGCGCCCTCGCCCAGTCATCCCGAGGTCCTGCTGTCAGCGCAGATACGGGAACAGTAGGTGCAGGCCGACTGTCGGTCATGATGTGACTTAGGCATGCTTGGTAATGTCCAGGTCCAAACAGGTTGCCTGCAACGAACCATCTGTTGTGCAACAGGAAAGGGCAAATGTCTTGTTCATGCACACAGCAGACTATAGACTGAGTAAGAGATGATTAGAAGTTGGTTTATGATTGCAGGAAAGTAGAAAGATCAGTCTGAGATATGCACTATTCCTTTGCTTAATACACGTAAATGAAAAGTGGACACGAAGATATTGACAAAATCACCACCATAAGCTAGCTGCTGGCCAGATACTAGTATGAAATAAGGGAAATGTTTAGGGGGCTCGTCTATTTGTTAGACACAACTAATAAAACCAACAAACAGTTAAGCTAAGGAAAGCTTGAGGAACATTTGTTTTTTTGTTTTTTGTTACTATAGTGTAATGACTTTGACTTAAATACAAGAAAATTAAAGAGGACAACAAATCGCTCTTTCCATAGGTAGAAAGACTTGAACCTACAATCTTCGAAATGGTGAGTTCAGATCTCACTGTTACTGTCATACTCGACAGCTGAGCAGCAAGCAATGCAAGCTGCAGTGTCGAGGAGGGTAGCTGACACCAGAATATTGCTGCAGATGACTGTCTCGAAAGCTTACGATGTGCTTTCAAAAAGCTGTAGAACTGCAGAACTTAAACAGCTTCTAGCAAGGACCTTGTAAACTTAATGTGAGCTATTTTTTTACATGCTTTCAATATGGTATGCTAGGGAATTCTATCAAGAAATTTTTTTAGCCCTGGTGTCTGAAAACAGTACTCACAGATAACATTCTGGAGCAATGGATAGGAAGTAAAGACAAATGGTGTAAGTGAAAAAAACAAAAAATGAGGTAGAGCCATCAAGTTGTGCCTTGCTATTTATTTTCTTTTTTTTTTTCATGTTATTCAAAAGCTTTACAAACAATAGTTCACCAGCAAGCTCAAACTCTTTAGTCTGTGAATAAAGAAAAGCTACAAAGACAAAAATGCAGTGTGTTTATGATAAAGCTTTCACATTCTTACTCGCACTGACTATGCTGGCAAAGAAAACAGATAAGCACCTTATTATAGCAGCAAAACAAAAGAGCATAGCACAGTGCACTAAATATATTTTTCTGCTTTTATATTTCACATTTACAACTTCGAGGTGTCAACTTTGCTAGACTATTTGGCATATACTTGCACAGGAGCTTCACCCTTGGTAATTTTCCCTTTATGGGCAGCACAGCAGTGTTTATTTATTTCTTAAAAAATTATATGTTTATGGAAGATGTGCAACAGCTGAAATAAGATTAGGAGCAATATTTGGAGCAGCAGAATGTTGCTTTTGGAGCACCACATCCATGTTTGGCAGCAGGTTATGAGAAAAAAAAAAGCAACTTTTTAGCACCACATCCCACATTTAAAGTAGTATAACAAATAAAGTTTACTTAAAAAAAAGTTGAAATTATTCAAGATCAGCTAAATCATGTACAGCGCATGTCAGCGCTGCTATTTCTATGAAACCAGTGTTTTCAGCAACCCCACAATACATTGAATAATGAAGTCCACAGTGGCATCTACAGCGCCTGTTAAATCGTAGGACAGGCACTGCGAATACTAGTATGAACCTGGGGACATTGAAACTGAGGAGATTCATGAGGGTTGTGTAGACAAAATAAAACAGAATAAAAAAACTGCCATACATTTTTGTTCATTTTTGTTTTGTTATTATTTCTTAGGACCGCTGAGACAACGTACATATCTCAAAATGATTGCCAGTAATTTAGACATTATTGATTCTACTAGTGTGCGCATGATTAATTAAGGAAAAGAATGTGTTGTGCCCCATGACAACTAATGCTTAAAGCCCCTTCAAAATTGTAGTATGCTTCCCCACAAGGCATTAATGTACTGCGGCAAAAAAAAAAAAACGTTCTGCATGCGATAGTACAAGACCAGGAAATTAGAGAACCGTAGTCTAATGAATATAACCAAAGGAATAATATTTTTTGTTATAGAAGCACCCTCATCTTTCCGGGTTTTTAAGTTTTATGTGGCACTTAGTAACTGACTTAATGCTGAATAGAGCAGTGAAATCACACAATTTATGTTGACTCAAATGAAGGCAACATGTTGTGAGTAGATAGTAGAACATGTGATATTTTTTTAAACGCTATATAATAAGCATATCTCATTTTATGTGCACCTGCCTTAGATAATGTTGTCATTTAAATAAAGACCAGATGTGAAAACGAAACATTTCATTGCCAGTAGTAGACTAGCCATCATGTACACTTTTCAAATTCAGTTACCTTTGCATTAATATTATTATTAATTTTTGCACAGAAGCAGCAAACATGTTAATTACGCTTGGAAAACTTATTATCAGCAGTGCACTGTTGCTAGCTGCACCTCATGGATCTTTACTGGCCTGTGGAAAACTTTGTAATTCACTCACCTTTATCATCTAAAACCTGAAGTGCATAGAAGTGGCCATTGCGGATGATGAGTATATGCCTGGAGTTCGGAAACACCTCAATTTTGTCACGCACAAGCAGTGGTATCCGTGTGCTTGCAAAAAGGTTGTGAAACTGGCTCATGTCAAGTGGGTAGGCCTTCCACAGCAGAGCACTTGCATACCATGTCAAGGCTTCTGGCAGCATTCTGCAAACACAGAGGTGATAAGTTAGGGCTGTTTCAAAGTCCTTTCTTTTTCATCTGTGATCCTACAAGCACATTTCCGAAGAGTGGAATAATACAGGCACTGCAAATAATGTTTGGTTGTGACTAACAGTTCTGTTCATATTGATTGCGAGCCACGTTTTATCTGTTTCACAAGATATGTCTTTCTCTTTCTACTTATGCCATATCTAAAGACATCTACAGGAGGATTCATGTAGGGTAGTTCTATAAATGTTTTTAAAATGCTAAGATATATCATACTGAGCTAGGCCATACTTTGAATCAGTACAGAGAAACAGCAGTAACACTTCGTTAGAGAGCGCTCATTGTACATCCTTTCTAGCTTTGTTTTTCATGCTGATTCAGAATATGCATCTATTCCAACTTATCGAGCTTTCTACCTTAGTATAGTGAGCTAGGTCATTGCATTAAAATTCCAGAATAGCCAATGCACTCATCAAAAGTAAAGGTATGGTATGCTGTAAGATGACATTCAAGTGGTTGTGCAACCTTGAAATTTATGTGCGCGCTCCCCACAACACCACACATCATAACAAATGGACCAAGGAAACATATGAGCGACAAAGAAATGATTGCGAATCCAAGTAAAGCCTTACTTTTAGAAAGGAGAGATTAGCTAGTACGTCGGAAGCTAATGCAAGCATGCATTGCTGACAAATATTTCAGATACACTGTGCATATCATATACATGCAAATATTTTGCATCCGTTGACCAGTTTTCACTTTTGCACTATACCTGGCGACAGACTTCCTTTCAGTGCCCTCAGTATGATGAGCCCCTGACACTACCATACATTATATAAGCGAACAATTTGCACCATGAGTGCCACAACCTTTCTATACAGTGCCAATTTTCTACTTTACACCACCACATTGCAATGCCATTCATGCAACTGTGTGCCTTTCTATTCACATAGCAGCATTCTGGGTGATGTTGCATTCTTTCTGCTTGTTGTGCCCACACTAGGACCCATAAGCATGTACTACCTTGCTATGATGGCCCCGCCATCATAGCAAGAGGATTTAGGCGTAGTCAAAGAAGGCGCGTTGTTGGCTTACGCTGAGATTATTTCCATTTACTTGTACTTACACTGTGCCCCGCCGTGGTGGTCTAGTGGCTAAAGTACTCAGCTGCTGACCCGCAGGTCGCGGGTTAGAATCCCGGCTGCGGCGGCTGCATTTCCGATGGAGGCGGAAATGTTGTAGTCCCGTGTGTGCTCAGATTTGGGTGCACGTTAAAGAACCCCAGGTGGTCTAAATTTCCGGAGCCCTCCGCTATGGAGTTTCTCATATTCATATGGTGGTTTTGGGACGTTAAGCCCCACATATCAATCAATTACCTTGCTATGATGATCGATTCCTGAACACGATTAGTCCTTTCCAATTTTATGAGAAACTTTAAATAGAAAGTAGAAGGGCTCAAATGTATGTGCAATGTTTCAGCCTGATGCCTTTGTTCTCCTCTGCTTGTAGTGATTGTATACAAATAATAATAAAAACACCTCAAGCTGCTAGAATGAAAGTTTATGAAATTTCTAATTACTAACATTTCAGTGCACTTTTTCTAGTCTGGAATGCTATAGAGCACTGAGCTATGCACGACACTTGTGATGGCAAAGTGCCCGATGCATGATAACTGCACAGGTTGGTATGGCTTCATGGTCAAAATCAACAACATTGTGAAGATGAACGACCCAACACAAGCACTAACTATCAACTAGAAATTTGTTCTTGCTTTGCTTAGGCACAGGTGTACACCCATTCTTGAATGGGAAAATGGGCACCTGAGTGCATACTAATATCCCTATCGAAGAAAGCATTACTTGATGGTACGCCTGTATGCCTGTGTGTCACTCTTTTTGGCATTGAGGTGATACACCATAGGCTCCAGCTGATTTGTCTGCAGGGACCGCAAGAAGCGCAGAGAAGATATCACCATGTTGGATGCACGAACAGTCTGAAATGAATTGTGCAGTACATTTTTCAATTGCATGATCAAGTCTGTTTGTTATAAAAAAAATGAGTCCAGCTAACACTTAAAAAAAACTTCCTGTTTAAGTTGCAATGCAGAGACAAAAACAACAAATGCCATTCTCATATCGGCAATTTAAGAACTGTGGCTTATGAGCTACATAGTCCATGTATTATTTACATCTTCACCGCACAAACACAGACAGTTTCCACTTCCCTCCTGCCATTTTTTTCTTTCCTGAACATATATTCCAAATAGAGCAATTGATAGATGTATTAAAGCATATATGGTGAAATAAGTTGATTCACCTATGCATTTATGTATGACATCTGTTTATAGGCACAAAGTTGTTCTTTAATACTTTGTTGAGTGCAGCTATAATTTTTATTTCCTAGACAGGATTGTCTGCATAGTTGTGAACATGCAGATGTACTGAAAGGCACAGCAAAAAGAAAGATATGTTTGTGTCAAGGAGAATCTTCCCGATGCACAATGAACATTGGCCCCAGCGTTCAGACACCGTAATTTCACCGTGTAGCTGCAGAACTGTACAAAAGTAAAACTATTGTCATAGGTGACTCCACATCAACATTTCTAAAGCTTTCTTTTAAAGAAAGAATCTACCAGGAAGTCAAGAGTGTGACAAGAACAAGAACTGAGATTTATTTGCAGCTGCCGTCGGAAACATTAAGAAATACAATTCACCTGATCCATGTAGCCTGGCCGCTTGTCATCTTTCCATGCCATAAATGGATTGAAGTTGAGTGGGAGAGGTTTGCGAGAAGTCAGGTACATGTCAAACCAAGGAGCTGCAAGGGAACAGCAATACTTTTTTTATGCTAGAGATGAAGAGCTTGTGAAAAGTGAATTGTTCTACTGATAAAAGCACTAAAGGCACGTATCAAGCCATGCACAAAAAGCACAGTTCATGTAAAGACAAGAGCCAAGAATACAAAAAAAAAAAAAGCCATTTTCAACAGAAGTGAAAAGATTGCAGTATAAATGAAGACTGCATGCAGCCCGAGGCTTGCGTATTCAAGATCATTGCTATGCTGCAATTTTAGGCATGGTACACCAACTATCTCAACAGTAAGCTGTCCAGGCCTACTGCCTGTTCATGCAGCCTACAACTTTGACATGCTCTGCACTGTAAATAATGCTAACAGTATGAGGTCTTCACAAACCTGAGATGTAGCTGGTTTGCTTGTTGGCTTTGTCCTTCCTTCTCAGCAGGCTGTCCAGTTCTGATGAAAGTGACAATTAAGTGCTTGTTTATCCACAAGGCTTGCAAAATAAGTTGAAGCAGTCACCTTTTAACTTATCGTTGGTTTCAAGCGACAAGATTACATTTATACAAGACGAGCAAGAGGCATTTTAATGGTGTTTTTTAAGAGTAGCTATAAAAACTATTTGATATGTAAATGTATAAACATTTGCATTTTGTTGAAGCTGAATTGCAAGGTCAGGAAGTGTGTGACAATGCAACTTTTATGAATACACTCAAAAATATGACTCAATCAATGGCTCACACATGCCAAGTAGACAACATGCCAACTTCAGCCATATAATGTAACTTTCCCTTCTTTGATCCAATTTCAACCAGCACAAGTCAGACATTTTTATTTGCATGTTTTGCAACACTGTAAAATCAGCCATGTAATAAAGTTAAATAACATCATTCAGCTTGTGTGGAGATGCAATAAGGACCTATACTGATTACATGGGTGCGCTCAGAGTACATTAAGCTATAGGCGAGTTGGTATTAACGGATCATTAATATTAACACATAAACACATCAACAAAGAAAAAGAACAATAATGAAGTGAGCTCGGTTTAAGCGAATTAGTATAAATACAGTAGACTATCTGTAAGGAGAAATCTAGTAAACAGAAGTGCACTTTAACTACAGAAATTATTGGTTTCATACTTGTGTTCTGCACTCGTGTTCATCATTCAGTACGTGGAACACCTGTTAAATAGGACATATTTTTCTGGTCCCTTCCTTTCAAATTCTCTTTATAGAGATTCTGCTGTATATACTGACTGAACATCATAGGAAATAACCTTCAAGCTTGATTCATCCTTTTTTTTTTCTAGTCACATACACTTTGAAATGATAGATATATGGATAAAAAAATAAAATTTACAGACTTCCCGTGCCCCTTCCATGTGCTTGCCAAAAAGTATTAGCTGGCATATATGTGGATTTCAATGGTTTTGGTTTTCACAGTAATTGAAAAGGAGTATGCGACTGTGTTAGTATACTCACATGTGCCACATGCTGTAATAATGCTAGACACATTTCTAAGCAGACTGAGCTCAACGAGATGCACAAAATATGTGCGATACTGGCGTCATAGAATAAACAAAACACAGCATTTCTTTTATGGGCTCACTGCTTCGCTAGACGCAACTAAATTAATCCAATAAACCATTTTGCCAGGAAAAGCATAAGGGTCATTAACTCTTTGACATGCTCTGTACACAATGTATGTCACTTGCTTCCGATATTTGTACCCGCAGATCGCGGGTTCAAATCCCGGCTGCGGCGGCTGCATTTCCGATGGAGGCGGAAATGTTGTAGGCCCGTGTGCTCAGATTTTGGTGCACGTTAAAGAACCTTAGGTGGTCGAAATTTCCAGAGCCCTCCACTACGGCGTCTCTCATAATCATATGGTGGTTTTGGGACGTTAAACCCCACAAATCAAATCAATCAACCAATGCTTCTGCTATTTGTATCAACTAAGGGGCTAGAAATAAGGAAGATATATTGAGATTCGGTTCATTGAACCACCTGCAGGATAAATTTGTCTTCATTTAAATTTTATTTGCAGGGTACTGTTGCATATGAGCACATTACTCAAGGCATTAACGCATTTAACGTGATGCTTTGTGCGAGTCATGTGAAAAGTATGTCTTTTCTTAAAGTAGACATAACCAAAAATGAATTTGCACTTCATTTCTAGCCCAGTATTTCGCTTATGACAAAACAGAGCATGAACGACTTCAGCATAAATGAATAATTACAACCTAATGAGGATTAGTTACTATTACACACATAAATTAACATATTATGACATTATGTTTGTTGCAGTAGAATGCCGAGTGCCTTGAAACAATGTTGTATCAATTTGATTCATTTACAGGCAGTTAAATTCTTCATACAAGGTATCTAAAATGCTTAATTGTTGCTTTTAACTATAGTGCAGTAACTATGATGCAAGCTCGATTGAATTAAAGTGAAAAAAACAACAACAAAGAAACCCTTCTATTGTTGTGATTTGAACACGCAACGTTTGAATGGTGGATTTGGATTCAAGTACTCAATGTATACTTAAGTAACAAAACTCGAGTGGTTAGTTGGTGAAATATGCATTGAATAAAAATTAAACATTCAGACTTTTCTGACTCTATTATGATTCTTATCAGAGTCAGCATAATAATAGATGCTCAAATGAAAGCACATATTACATCAAGCTTACCTGCACCCTCATTATTCTTGAAGGCATGAACAAGAACACGAGTGTTCTCCAAATCTTCTGGAGAAACCAGAGGCTCCAACGCATTCAGGTAACGCTCGCAAGTTTTTTCCAGTTTTGGAATCGGCAGTCGAGGAAGGCTCTTCTGAAAACACATCGTGGGCAGGATACTGCGTTCCAGGAACTGGTACTCCGGTGAAGAGATGTCTACTGATCTGAAACCACACCAAACAAACTAATCTGCTAATGAAAGAACATTACAAAGGCTTGACTTAACCCTCAAATCCAGCAAACCGGCAGCTGATAGCAGGTTGAGATGCAATGCAGGCAAGATCAAGTATCATATCGGGGTTGTTTTTTGGTGTAAATCAACCTTGAAATTCATATATCGCTTGTCCTTCAAATCAAAGGGCCAGAAGCTAGCTTGAACAGCCAGCGAATCGGCGGTTCTACATATATACCGTACCGAAATGAAGTACGTTTGACCTACCCGGGTGTGCTGTTTGAATATGAGCGTTGCTTCGATGAGGACAGCAGCCGCACATTGGCTTGCAGGCATGCACAGACTGGCAGAACGACGTTCTCGTGAAAGGATAAGCGATGTGCACCGCAGATGCGACTGCAGGCGTTGGAAGCCCTGCGGAACTGGCATACTCGTTGCATTGCTGCCATGGTTCACCCGACTTTGGAGTGCAATGATGCAAAGACTTGCGTCTCGCTCAGACAAACGTCTGATACCGAGCAAAGTATCGCAGTGACCACGTCCTCACCCCAGCATGGATTCCTACGGGCGTGATTTTGCACTGGTTTCCTCGTTCCTACCACTCCCTTGAGCATGTACTACGATATCATTAGTCGCATTATGTGCATCAGAAACACTTGTTTGATTCCAGTGGCAAGCTGTCACAGTGTCGTCAAACGAGACACGGGCGCACCACCTTGGTTGTACCTTCCTTGTCAACCTTGTCAACACAAGCCCGCGCCTGGTCGTTGAGGCACAGAACACCTACCAGTACCGCTCTAGCAACGGCTCCAGTATCTCCAGTTTCGGTTTTCGATCTGCCAGCTGCAGGCTGGGCAATGCCTCCTAGATTTCCTGTGCATGCCGAATGAACGCGAAACGGCGGTCATCTATGGCGGCGCTGCATACGTAGGAATAAAGTTCTTTGTACTTTGCCTTTAAGATTGGCAATTTTGGCGTTTGCTATTAATTTCAGAGGAAGCTTTGTATTAAAGTAGTTGCTTGTTGAATGACGGCTTCACTTACGTAAAGTTAATTATAATTACGTTTACAACTTTTCAAAACTTTTTACGCTATTTTTATTGCATATAAGCTCCAAAAACGTAAAAACCTATTTAAAGACACCCCTACTTGAGTGGCGCCACCACTGTAGTTCCAACGACCGCTGCTTCCCAAGTTACCGCCGATAATCCGTCAGGCACAGGAGATCTAGAAGGCGTTGCTTTGGGTCACGGCTTGGTGGCGCTAGCCACCGCTCAATTTAAAGGGTACAGCCATATCCATCCATCTATTTATCCATTTCCTTCCTCCGTGCTCTGAGTCAACCCACGGGCCAACAATGGGCCAAGTGGATCCAAAAGCTAATCAAGTAGGTTTCTGAAGCCACGTCGAGCCAAGCCCAATGGCTGTGGCGCTGCTCAAACGGTGCTGTCAACTCTAGGGAAATTTCTTTAGATTCAAAAAATTTTGTTTGTATTTAGAAAAAAAGAGAATTTTGTCAACATCTAGGGAAATTTTTTGCTTCCACGTGATGCAAGCGCGTCGAGCCAAACCCAACGGTTGTGGCGCTGCTCAAACCATGGAGGAAAAAAAAAGAAAGAGAAAATAATTTTTCCTTCCTCCATGGCTCAAACAGTGATGTCAACTCTAGAAAAATTTCCCTAGATTTAAGAAATTTTGTTTGTATTTAGGAGAAAAGAGAATTTCATCCACATCTGAGGAAATTTTTTGCTTTTACGTGAAGCAAGCAGATCGACGGAGGCATAGAGTTTCATACAATAATACTTGTATTACAGTGTACTTGTATGTATCTCTATGGACGAGGGACGTCCCGCTCACAACTTCTTTTTTGTTCCTTCTTCCACCTTTCCTCTTTTACACCCATTCTACACTCACCCAAAAGCGCTGTGCCATGCCCAGTAGTGGTGCCGAGGGTTGCAAGGGGGGACGGGGCTGGTCACCGTCCTCAACGCTGTGTCAGCACGACGACACAGAGACAACTCGTGTCCTTCTTGTCTTTGTGTCGTAGTTCTGTTCTCGCGCTATAACTATCGTCATGTCATACCAACTAGCCCAAGCTGCCACACTTCTAAGCTGTGTCAGCGCTCTCCTCTCCCCCACTTCATTGCGGTTCATCAAGTCCGTGCTCGACTTCGATGGCCTGAATCCCGGTTCGAACCAAAGAATAGGTGCTCTCGCTCGAGCTCGCCAAGTATATATATGTTTTCCTTTACACCAACCTCTCATTTTCTCACCTTTCACCGGTGGCGTTATTTCTTTGGTTTTTTTTTATCGGTTTCTCTTTTTTTGTGTACGCTGTCATGTTGCTGGTGAGCTGGCCCGTGGAGCCATGTGATTCCGCCATAAGGCATGACGATAGTTATAGCGCTCGTGTCTTTCGTGTCCTTCTTGTCTCTGTGTCGTCGTTTTGTTCTCGCGCTATAACTATCGTCATGCCATACCAACTAGCCCAAGCTGCCACACTTCCGCCATAAGGTCACCAAGGTTTCTGCGAAAAGCGCGGCCAGAAGAGTAGGCTGCATGTATGTGGTTATTGGCACAGCTGAAAAAAAAGTTGAAAAAAAAAGTGCCTGGTGGAAGAATGCAAGGATATATTTGGAACGAATATATGGCAGTCAACATTTGTAATAAACACATATTTTCGTTACCGTTCAGCAGGTTGCGAGGGATAAACTGCCACACGGTATAATGTTTTTTGTCACAATATCCTGCATCAGATATCATGACAAAGATTGAGAGTGACTTTTTTCAATACATTGTTTATAATTTACGTAAGCATGCATCACTTCATGTTTTATATGAACACCACCGAGCATTTTCTGTGGGAGAGTTGCAAAATGGCAGAATTGTTTATTATTTTTGAAAGCTTAATTTCTTGCTGGAATACTTCACGTACTGTGGTTTATATGCTCGATATGGTTATTATTATTATTATTATTATTATTATTATTATTATTATTATTATTATTATTATTATTATTATTATTATTATTATTATTATTATTATTATTATTAATTTATAACTTGCATGCTATTACAACTGCACCGTATTGTACTGTAAGATTTCCGTGTTTTGCATTGAACAGCTAGCGGTGTTCCTAAGTGTTATTTTGGTAATTTCTTCCTTCTTGAACCTTTATGCAATGCCTTTTTCTTGGTGACTTGTATAAAATACTGCGATACTACATGTCCTCCCCTCTCCCTAAATCTGATGACCGTTTACTTTTGTGATTTCATGGGATAAAATGTTGTCTAAAGCTTTTCAATCTGTACTGCGACATTTTTTAACCTCCAGCACGGTGATTTCAGAGAATATTTTCAAACGAATGCACTAATATATTATAACAGTGAACATTAAAATCGTTTTCCACAGCACAAACACATATTAGTCTTCAAAAAACTGCTTTACATGAAAATCTAGAAAAATCTAGGGAATTTTTTCGCTATAAGGAGGGAAAAAGTGGCTCCGTAGGTTGGCAGCACTATGCACTGCCACAGAACACCTACCTACCGCGCTCAGAAGCATGCGCCAAACGCACGTGTACGGTAGAACACGAACGGGAAAAATGCGTACATCGTAAATGAAGATTGTGTTGTTTGCTAATAGGAAAGCGATATGGCCGACAAGTTGAAAGACACAAGTGGCTGCGTTCTTTCGAATTATGACTTGACCCGCGCGGTCTCTATTCTGTGTGAGCGCATCGGCAAACCGTGTCGAGGGCTGAATCAATGGCTTTGCAAGGAGGTGAGTCCTGACGGTTCCGTTAAAGAAGGAAATAATGATAATAACAGCGTGACTCAATCAATCAATCAATCATTTTATTTCCTTTAGATAAGGTAAAGCACAGGACTAAAAGCTCAAAAGCTTGACGAGGTCCTGACCCCGTTCACAAGTTGATTGATTTGTGGGGTTTAACGTCCCAAAACCACCATATGATTATGAGAGACGCCGTAGTGGAGGGCTCCGGAAATTTTGACCACCTGGGGTTCTTTAACGTGCACCCAAATCTGAGCACACGGGCCTACGACATTTCCGCCTCCATCAGAAAAGCAGCCGCCGCAGCCGGGATTTGAACCCGCGACATGCGGGTCAGCAGCCGAGTACCTTAGCCACTAGACCACCGCGGCGGGGCATCCCGTTCACAAGTTGACAAAGCAGCAGGAATGGTAGTCAATCATGTACAACAAATATGAAATAAACATACAGGTATAACATCACAAAAAAGTAATACAAAAAGTTTATGAAAACTGTGCTAAGATAAAAAGAGAGTAGTTCAAATGTATGGTCATGAAGTGGCATGAACATGAAAAGCAATAATAAAAAGGAAAGAATGGGCATAAATTCTGAGAGATGTATCATTGAGGATAATGTATCAGTTGGGCGAAGTGTTTAATCTGACAGTTTTGTTTAGAGGAAGGATCAAAATCTTCGCGGTTTCAAAAATTTAACAAAAAAGGTAGTCTGTAGGACAATGATTGTTTGTCATAAAAGGTTCTTGGGGTGGGTACAGTCCAAACTTCTTTGTGCCTGGTGAGTCGAATACTTGTGTTTACGCTAAGTTTAGCAAGATGTATTGTGGTATTGGTACAATGTTTGACAAACTCTTTATAGCATAACATCAGCCTGTAGTTGTACAAAAAGAAAACTGGAAGAATACCATATTTTAGAAAAAGAAGTTTTGTAGAGGACAGATAGTGTTCAGCCGCAATATGTCGTATGGCCCTTTTCTGTAGTAAGTGCAACTTGCGCAAGTTCGTCACACCGGTTGTGCACCACACTAAGCTACAGTACTGTAACAAAGATGATACCAGTGCATTGTATATCCTAATTTTGACCTTAGTGGGAAGAAGAGATCGCATACGTGCAAGGACACCAATGGCCGATGACATCTTAGAGTATAGAATATCAACATGTACATTCCACGTAAGGTGTCGTGAAAAATATACACCAAGAATACTAACAGAATCAACCATGTCTAACTGCTGAGAGCCCAGAAATAAGCTCATATTATTTATCAAGGTTTTTCCTTTAGGCGTGTATAAAATGACTTGTGTTTTTGAAGGGTTTAGTTTTAGTAAATTCACTGAAGCCCAGGTATCTATAGCAGACAGTGTTTCATTAGCCATTTCTTCTATCTCTGTTTCCATGCTCCCTGTAATAAAAACTGTTGTGTCATCGGCGTAAGAGACAAATGTTGCGTTGTTTGTGCAGTGTACAATGTCATTAATATAAATCAAAAATAAAAGTGGCCCTAAAATACTTCCTTGTGGCACACCTACAACGACCGGCTTCCTTGCAGATGTTTCATTGTTGGCATCTACGAATTGTGTCCTATCTGAAAGGTAGGATTTTAAAAGAGCATGCGCTTTCCCACGCACACCATAATTTTCTAATTTGCTGAGAAGGATAGAATGATTGATTAAGTCAAATGCCTTAGAAAAATCGACGTATATGCCAAATGCCATTTTTTTTACGACTAAATGCATTTATGATTATTTCTTTATGAGTCAAGAGGGCTGTTTCAGTAGAGCGATGCTTCCTGAACCCATGTTGAAAATCTTGAAGCAAATTGTGGTGATTAAAAAATGATAACAATCTGATATGCATTAATTTTTCCATTGCTTTTGAAAACACTGGGATTATTGAAATAGGTCGATAATTGTTAATGTTTTCTTTACTACCATGCTTGTAAACAGGAACAACGCGTGAAATCTGCATTTGTTTTGGAAATACACCTGTAGATAATATTAAATTATAAATATGGGTAAGAACAGGGCATATGATGTCAAGCACATGCTTTATGGGGCGAATCTGGATACCATCGGCGTCCAAGGAGCGGCTGTTACTAATAGTACTGAAGCAAGAAAAAACTTCCAGTGGTGTTGTTGGGGCAAGAACTAGAGTGTTACTAAACGCGTTTACAGGCAGGAACTGAGCATTGTTATCGAGGCCATCAACATTATTTAACCGAGGTTTTAATGAAAACAACTCATTAAATCTATCCGGTATCGCCTTTCCCGAAAGTTTTTGGCCATTGTGACTCAAAACGTCCGGAAGTACTGAAAGTGAAGTAGGCTTTAACAAAGCATTCAGTTTGCGCCACACCACATCACTTTTTTGATTGACGGGGTCACTAAACATTGCTACGAAATAGGCATTCTTTGCAGACCTAAGCTGACTTGTTAGACTATTTCGATATTTTTTAAATTCGCTTAGGAGGGCTGGATCTCTAGACTTGAGCATACAGGGCATGTTTGCGTTTAATCATACGAAGAAGCTCAGGTGTTAGCCAAGGTTTGCGTGCCCTGGATGCCCGTGCCACTTTTTTCTTGGGGAAATGATCATGGTAAAGTGTTTGGAAAGTGCGAATAAAAGCATTGTATGCAACGTCACTATCTTTCGATCTGTAAACGCTGTGCCATGCCTCTTGGGCAATAACTTTGCGAAATTCTTCAAGATTTGATGAGGTAATAGATTGAATAAGAACTGGCTTTGTAGTTTTACTAGCAATGGAGTGCATTTCATTTACCAGTAATATAATACCTAGGGGATCACTAATGTCAGTGTACACAACATCGGTTTCTAACAAGTCGATGTTAATGTTTGAGATGAATACATCTAACAGGGATGCGCCGTCGATAGTCACATGTGTTGCAGAAGATATCGTGTTTGAAAAACCGTAAGTTGTGATGAGTGAATGGAAATCTTTTTGTAACGGGGATGATGAAAGCATGTTTATATTGACGTCACCACCTAAGACCAGGTTGATTTTCTCTTCTAATGAATAGCTGAAAAGCTTTTCAAGGAATGCAAAAAATCTTGTTGTATCACCAGATGGAGGTCTGTACATAATGGAGAACATGTTACTGCTCTGCACTGTTAACACCTCATAATCAGGGGTTATATCAGTAAATTCGACCATGAGCTCAGCCAAGATATTTTCCTTGAGAAAGAGTGCGATACCACCCCCTCGCTTATCACGACGATTTCGGAGGAACGATTGATAGCCAGGAAGCTGAAACATGTCCGATGTGCGCGTTAACCAAGTTTCAGTTAACATTATTACTGAAAACGATGTTCCGAAAGTGTCGAGTAGCAAGCTGAAATCGTCTATTTTGTTTGGCAGTGAACGAACATTTTGATGAAAAAACGTCAATTTTGGTTTTTTAGCTGAGACTAAATGTTTTATTCCGGAAGGCACGTAACCCATTATCAAGCCAAGTCAAACTTGGTTAGGTCCCATTAGCAAATTTGGGACAGGTCCCCTGTGCTTCCAATGACACACACCCGACTGTCCTCCGTTTCCCTCGCCTTGATACGACAACCATCAGTCCAAAGAAACTTCCACTTTTCTTCTTTTTTCAGAGCTAATGCCCACGCAAGAAGGTGCTTGTTTTCAGGCATCAAGTGTTCATTGATATAGATTGGAACGGCCGGGGTCTGTGGGAGGTCAAGGTCTGCCGTAGTTAACCTAGCTTTCCTAGCTTTGCTGATAAAGTCAGCTTTCTTTGTTCTCACACAAAATCGGGCTATTATGTTTTTGTCCTTCTTGGCTGGTACACGGTGAACGACGTCAATGTCTGTAGAGGTCACTGGACACCCTATCTTGTCCCCAAGTTTTTGCAAGATGGCTTTCCAGTCCTCCCCTTGCACACAAGGTATACCCTTGATTTCAATGTTGTTGATACGAGAGTATTGCTCTGAATTAGCAAGTCTTCTCGCTAGGTCCTCGTTTTTTTTTCTCAAAGTTTTGTTGTCCAAAGCTAACGCTTCCTGATCTTGTTTCATTTTTCGTACAGTGAGTTACACATCTCAAGGCTTTTGCGCATTTCTGCCACCTCTTTTCGAAGTGCGTCAACCTCACGCGACAATTGAGCATTCGTGACCATGGTTCAAAAGGAAAAAAAATACACCGGGTTGGCAGCAGCAGGTGTGGCAAATATGAACAATGGAAAGTTTCAATGGAATAAAACTAACCTGCGTAGTGAAATTCATTGGTTTAGCGACAGAAAGCCTGTTGCCAAAGCCGCTGCTGCCAACCGTTGTGATGACATCGATGACATTACACCGATACTGTGGCAACAAGCGCGTGCGCTTTCCCCTCCTCTGCGCGTCGATCTTGTATATGCTGGATCATATAAGCACTAAACTTTGCACCAGAAACCCGACGACGAAAGTGAGGGCCCAGCCTATGTATGCGTATTTTTGTGGACGTGTTTCTGGCGCTAAGTCTGTGGAATATAAGAAGGTGCTATAAGTAATAGCACCTTCTTATATTCCACAGACTTAGCTTCCATAGACTTGTATTCCACTAAGAAGGTGCTATAAGTAATAATAAGTAAACTGCTTTTGAAGTCATGAGCGAAAGTAACAAAGTAACGGCGTCCTTGCTACACTGCTAAATTAGTTCGGTAAAGTAACTTTTTTTTTCCTATCTAGTGCACGTGTTGCACCTCTACGCTGAATATGCTCATGTTCAGTTTCACTCGTACTTGTAAAAAGAAAGTGTTGATGTGAACTACAACCGAGTCCTAGAACTAGCTGCCTAGTGTTTCAAATTTAACTACTCGACAAGCTTACAGGGGTACCTAGGAACCTTGTAAATCTCCTCTAGACGTGTTTACAGTTATTGTGCGAGTTACACTTCAAAGCATGAATATAAAGCATACAAGCTTGTAAATTAAGCTAGAAAATTACATTGGGTCTTAAGCAGCTGTTGTTGCCATTTATTTATTTCAAAAAACCCCTAGAGGCACTCTCTGGGAGGGTAGTACATAGGGGGGTGGGGTAAAAGAAAAAAATCTGATGCTATACATATACATCAAGCATAAAAAAATTGCAAACAAAAAATATAACATATGCATATGAAAAGAACAACACAATAACCCAATGTCTTTTGGAAATATAGAAAAAGAAATAACTAAAATGCAATGAAAGATAACAGAATTACATAACGATAGACCACACAAAGAAAATGAAATGAGTTAATGAGAACAGCACAAAACTCTAAACTTCGTTACCATTTTTTGAAAAGCTAATTAAATTTTGAAACGTTCCGTTCTGTTGCGGTAGTTCGAGACAGCTGGTTCCATTCAATGATAGTTTTTTTATGAACGAATTAGCGAATGATGAGGTACGGCATGTTATGCGTCTGACCTTCAGAGGATGATCGCGGCGAGGAAAGATTGCTAAGGGTGACGGGAAAAAATCGTCATGAAGCAATGGATGATGATAGATTTTATCAAAAAGAGATAAGCGAGCAAGTTTTCGACAATGAGAAGCTGTTGTTGCTGATAGCACTGTGCTTCTGATAAAGGTTGGTACTGTACCCGGTTCGCCCCAGTGAGAGCCGGCAAATGATATGGACACAGCTAGTTGAAAATTCAGAACTGTATTATTTATGTAAATAAAGTGATCATCAACAATTCGTTATATGCCCCCTATCATAACATTTGCCTTATAGTTACACTTCAATACATAATTTACTTGAAGTTTTTCTTTACTTCATTATTTGTTGACTTCCCATGCTAATAACTTCTTTTTGTGTGGGGCAGGACTGGAGTCCATCATCCCGTGCAGCACTGCTGGATCGTCCTGGCATCACTGCTGCACCAGCGCAGCTGTACAGACTTAGTGGCTCAGTTGTGTCTGCCTTTGTTGACTGAGCTCCTGGCACGCTCCACTCTGCGTTCCTATGACAAGGAACAGTTTTGTGTGGCCCTTGGACGCCTTGTTTCGAGGTACCCATCTGCTGCACTGTTTGTGGATGGATATCTTGAACAAGAATGCAACTTGCCAAGGCTACTGAAAGAGAGTGAGCTCGAGGTGGAAGGTGATGCTCCACCTGCCAAGAGGCCTCGCACTGCATCTGTGCCATTGAACATGGTGCGTTGTATCTGGCAATTGCTACGCCAGCAGCCTGGCCAACTTGCTCGACGCTGGGACTGGACACCTCTGCTGCCTTTCCTCAAGCACTCATCAACCCCTGTTCGCTGGTGGGTGCATTGATTACTTACATCTTCCTAGTAGGTTTCTTGTCTTGACAGGTTCCCCTGACCTTCTAATTTTTGAGGCTCTAACTCTGCTCATCATGTTCACTGATGGGGCCATAGAGTATGCACTGAGGCTTGACCTGCGAAGTTGCAACAGCATCACTGGGCTGCCACGTCATTTTGAAAATCATGAAGTATGGTGAAAAAACCACCATTTGTCTGTTCACTACGTGGTCTGTCCAGGCCCATTTCTTTCACTTGTTGCCAACTAGAATATTTGCTATTTGTGTTTGTCATCTATCTCATTATGCTGTCTTCTGATCTCTTCCATTTCTTGCCTGTCATTTTCTGTTTTGTTGTGTGGTGCATGGTCCTTAGCTTTCAGGGCGAAGCACCTTATAGTGTAGGCTTGTCGGCATGTCATGTAGTCATGGTATGTCACGTCATCCTTGACATGACATCACATTGACAAACGAGGCATGTGGTCATGGTCCATCATAAAAGCAGGTATGTTCCACAGAAATTGGGTAAATTCCACTACTCGCCCGAAGAAGGCAACAGTTAGCCCAACAAATATCCAACGACATCAGTGCAGCTGAAACACCCTTTCTTACATGCCATAGGGAACAGAAGCCGGGGATGTAGGGAACAAGTGCCTTAGGGTAAGCGGACTACCGATGCAGTTTTTTAGTTACGTTTGTAGAGCAGAAACAACCTTTCTTACATGCTTCGCCCCTCCCCAGTCTTCTTTTTTTTCTCTCTTTCTTTGTTGCCGCTAAGTTTCAGTACCTTACTGCAGAACTGGCAGTAGGCAATAATTTTACTTTTCACATTGGAGATAGTGACATGCAATCTGCTGTTGTCTCTATAGTAGTAAATTATCCAAGTTTTTAAATTTTCAAGCCTTCTACATCCAACTTAGTTTACTTAGTTGACTTGCTTCATCAAAATGAGTTGCAGCCACAAGAAATGCTGGTTATCTGGGTTGTTCCACATCCTGTGTTATACTACGTCCTGTATATTTCGTTGTGAAATTTCATAACTTGACCATGTTTGACTTGTCTAAAACATCATTTAATGTATATTATCATAATTATTTGTCTCAGGTATGCAGCACACTGCATGACTCTGTTGTTATCCATTGGAGAGTTGGAACAAAGGGCACTACTTCAGCAGCTGTTGCCAGATGCGGAAGTGCTGCAGACAGATTTAAGGTAAGTAGAATGTGTTGCCTCTGTTTTGAAGATTGACAGATGTAATGAAAGAAGGCATAACTGTAAGGTTCACATGGTAACCACATTTTTTTTCACGATTTTACTGTATTCAAACAATAAGATCTACTTTATAGGGGTTATTATAAAAACTCTCATAAATTTGTGTTTGTGAACCTGATTCTTTTCTGGATTGCACAGTGCACTAGTATAGAGGCAGTCACTGACCACCGCTTTCATAGCAGCTTTAGCAGTTTAAAGCTGTGACACCCTATACCGTGGTGCATATAGGGTTGCGACTGTGGCGGGCTTCAGACCAAGTGGACAGAGACAAGTCTATCAACTGAAAGTGTTTAGTCACCACATTTCAACAGCTCTGCCAATGGTAAAAGGTAAAAACAGCACAAACTAAAAGAGACGAATGAAGAAGTTCATCTAGTTTGCGCTGTTTTTGCCTTTTACCATGTTTTACCAACTAGCCCAACCAGACACACTTCTGAGGTCTGCCAATAGTACATCAAAGTTGACTCAAACATCTCAGTAGCAGAGCATTCCACATGACTGGAGGAAAAACAACAATGATATGAAACATACAGATTAAAAGGGTGATAACGGCTCAGATTGCCTCGCGTGGTTTCGCTCCAGTCCTGGGGTGATCTGTTACACTCAAAGGCTGGGGAGCAGTGAGGGTGACGACAGCAGGTAGCAGTCCCTTTGGCTAGACTGAGATGTGTTGAGTCCAACCTCTCAAGTTGGAAGGCACAGAAGCATCCAGAGAGTCGTGCACATTTCCAGAGCTGAGAAAAGGCGTCTCCCCAGAAATGTCGGTAGGAGGGAACAGATCTTCTTGGCTTTATCGAAGCAGTAGGATGGGAAAGTTAGGGTGAAAAGTGAAATGCTTTTTCTGATGAAACCCTCTTGCTAATGCACGTGTTAATACCTAATCAGTTGAGGTGCCACTGCTTTGAAGATACCTAAATGTGCATGAAATCCCACTATTTCCGTAAACATGAGGCTGCGGAATAAGTCTCGTTGGATTTGACAGAAAACTGGTCTGCAAAACACGCAGTGGACAACACACGTGCTTGAATAATAGGCCGCAAATCAGACATGCCTTGAAGAGTTACTTTGTGCACCAGAGACTGCTACACAAAGTATAGAATGTAACAAGCATGAAAGCAGCATCTTATCTTTGTACTTCTTTTTTTTTTTTCTAGCCTCATTTCGTCTGCAGTGTTTCTTTCTATTGTGTGTGCAGCTTCCAGCTTTGTTGTAACTTTGGGCTGCATGCTTCAGGCTCTTTAAATAGATAATTTCAGTGTTGTTTTTAAAAAGATTATGTCCAGAAAATTTCGAAGTGAACAGAATTGCGCTGGATTTTATTGATCACGCTTGTATTGCTGCGTGCAGGTTATCCACAGAGGTTGCCCTTGGAGCCCTTCGCCCGCCATCATGGCCCCCAACATCTGAAAAGCCCGGATGGCCACTTATAAGTTCAGATTTTAGTCCAGGTGTGGTCTGTGTCTCAGGCCTTCTACTGCAGCAGAGGGCTGCTCCAAAGAATGCTACTGCTCAAGTTTTCCATCATGTGAGTCCGACTGCATGTCAGTAAACTATGAAAATTCCAGTTTATTGTACACACCTTGCTTCTTACTGTATTCACTCGATTGTGACTTAAGGAGTGACTTTTCATTGCATCCAAGAACAAAAAAAAAATTCAACATTTGATTGTAACTACGAGGGTTGACTTCAGGGCAGCAAAAAAATCTGGAAAAATATTTTCGCTATATTTGAGTAAATGCGATAATAAATAATAGTGCCATCTTCACAGAGAAGCTTTCACTTTACTATTTGCCTAATCATTTTCATTAATGTAAAGCTGTGTGAATAGCAAAATTTTGGGTGCGAAGCAAATTCGAAAATTGAAGTGTGAATGTGAATTGAATGGTTTTTGACTATTTCTAGAATGTCTTTCAAATACCTTGAAGTGAAATTGCAGAAAGAACTTCGGTGACGATTGTAAGCATATTCTTATGAAGTAGCAACATGAAAGCGTTTCTATTCGGCTGGAGGGAGGGCGTTTCTTAGTTGTCTTATCAAGAATGAGACTATGCAGTGGGCCGAATTGTATTTATTTGCATTATCTGGTCCAACCAAAGTAGTTTTGACAGCACTTTACATGTGAAAGGCAGATATTATTTCCTCAGCCTCTCCTCCTTTTTCAAGCTTCTGTGAAAGCCCTACTGATATGGCGGACAAATGTGTGCTTTCTTTCGAGCCCGTAGTTGTAAAACTTCATCAAAACATCATTTCGGATGAGTTAGTTCATTGCAGCGCAAGGGAATAACAGTGCGAAAACATATCCACAAAGAGAAGAGAAGACACGGACACTGAGCATTGTATATCTGCCTCGTGGACATCAATACATAAGAACATCTGAAATTTTTTATGCTAAATATCTTCAGCATCCGATTTTTCGGACTACCTACCCAAATTTTAGGTCCAAAACAGCAATAATTGAGCCTCCACTTCTGCCACATTTATCTTCTTCGTGTTGGAATCGGCCTTTTCTCGAGTCTATACATTTAAAATTGTAGCAGAGCTTGAAGAGTACTTTGCCGCAATACAAGAATGTGATAGGGTGAAGCATATTGAAAATTTGAAGGGGCCACTGGTTGATTTGACATTGGCTGTATTTGTCTTCAGGAAGTTCAAATAGTAAAATTTTGGCGCGAATCGCATCGGGTAGCAAACACTATTTGAAAATATTCAATGTTCTGAATTAAAATTTTGGTTTAGTATTGTAGGGAGTGTGCGCACCATTTCCTTTAGTGTGCTGCAATGTTGTGCTGTACGGGGCTGTTGGTGCCAGGAGCTGACAGGTAACCCAAGAAAAATGCGCTATTCCTGTTAAATGCAAAGCAGCTCTTTGACTAGCCTGTGTAACGCTGTCCCTCCGCACACCCCCACTGCGCATGCTTGCGTCTCGTGCTGGCCCAGGAAGACACCCGCAAAACTGTCGCTCCCCGCCCCCTCTCTCACCTCACAAGGCCGATGCAGGCAGTGTCTGCTAGTAAAAAAAAAAAAAAAACTGCTCGCGCTGCACGACCGTTCACTGGCCACCCTGTCCGTATATGTAGGCACTGGATCACGCGTTCGGAATTCGGTTAAGGGTGTCTTTACTAGGCTTTCGCTTGTTGAGCACCAGCATCAACGTCGCTTCCAGTGTGAGCGTTAGCGCCCGTTGCTTCGCATCTACACATGGTTTCCTTTAGTGGGAGATGTTCCAAGGCTTTTTCATGCCATGTAAATTTTATCAGTAACCACACATAGAACAAACTCCACAGTTTTCGTGAACTCAAAAAAGAATGTAATATTACTTATCTGGGGGGAGGGGGGGGGTCATAGAACATACACTCGCTCATAAAATACTAAAATTCCAGTAGTGGTAAAAAAAAAAAGCATTCTGGTCACTTGCGTTAATTTTACACAATTGCCCACTTGCCAATTTGTCCACAGGCCACAGTGGTTGAAGTTCTTTTACCAAAATCATGCTTCTCTTCCTCCAATGAGCTTTGTTTCTTGCAGAATTCGTGTGTATTTTCATGTATTAACTTCCGGTGTGGTCCAACTGGGTTCTGGACTAGTTCATTTAATGTGGTGTCTTAGAGTGGCTCAAACTTCTGTGATTTGTAACAATCTCTTCACATCATGCATGTGCCATATTTTCTTCAGTCATAAGGTATGTTTAGTGGCAAATAAAATGACTTCTCAGTTTGGTCAGCTTTGATAGCGTTATTGAGCTTTATGTAAATTCAATCCAATGTTACAGTGTTTGTGAGGCTCTCTGAAATGAGCCATGTGCTGTCACACACACTTACTGGAAGCATTACCATGTTTAATGGAGTGTGTATGATGTGCACTGCCAGCAGTGGTGAAGAAAATCTGCTTTTTGCCCGTGTACTCTCATCCAGTCATTCATTTGTACGAAAGGATTCGATGCAATTGACTGTATATAATAAATTATTCTTCATTCACTCTGCATCTGTGAGTACATACTATAAAATGTAAGAACTAGAGCTGTTCAAATAGCAAAATTTTGGGTGCAAAGCGAATCAAGTATTAAAATTTGAGTATGAATCGAATTGAATATTTTTTTGGATAGTTGAAGAATATCTTTCAAATATTTTTTGATTACTTAGAAGTGAAATTACAGGAAAAAAGGTTGCAGGGGATTCCTAAGCACATTTTATGAGATAGGAATATGGAAGTGTTCTTTTGGCTAGGTTAGTGAAGTGCTAGAGGGATGGTGTTTCCTAGTTCTTATATCAAAGATGAGGCAATGCAGGGACTGAATGGTATTTATTTACTTGCTTTGAGGTAACCAATGGGGTTGTGCTGACAGCACTTTAGACGTGAAAGGAAAAGATGCTATTTTCTCTACCTCTTCCCTTTCAACTTCTGTGGAGGCCCAACTGGTTTGGCGGATAAGGGTTTGCTCCCTTCGAGTTCAAAGTTGCTAGTCTGCCTTTTAGTCATCAGTACATAAAACCATCAAACTTCCAGATGCTGAAAATCTTCGCTCGCTCGATTTTTGTTTTACTTCCGGGTTCTAAACGGCGTAATTAAAGCCTACACTTCAGCGGCATAGGTTCGAACCTGCGCTTTTGTGAGTGAATCCATTTACGGTTGTGGCAAAGTCCTAAAGGCAGCTTTTCTGCAATATCAGAGTGTATGCGGTGAAGTAAAAAATAAATTAAGGGGTCATTGTAACAGGGCAGGGCATCTCCATGTTTAGAACCAGCGCATGTCAAATCAACACATTTGCGCCTAAAGCAGAGCTTGAAATGTAGCTTCGCTGCAATGCGAGAACGTGATGGGGTGAAACAAAAACAAAATTTGATGGTGTCATTGTCAATCGCACATTCACTGTATTTGTATTGAGGAAGTTCGAATAGTATAATTGCGGTGCGAATGAAATCGAATAGCAAACACTGTCAGAGTAATATCTGAATATTCGCACACCCCTTGTAAACACAATGATTCTGCATCCTCGGCTCTGTAATAATGCAAGGAGTATGTAACAGCTAGGAATAAGGTGAGGTAGTTTTGATACATTAACCGCTTATTCATCAAAATTTGTGACTGGAAGATTTTGCAATGAGTTCTGCAGAAACCCGCAAGGTGGCAGAAGGGTTAGAAAAGGGCAAGAAGACAACCACCCGTTTGTAGCATGAAGACACAAGGAAATCCGCACAAACTTTCTTGTGGCTTTGTGCTACAAATAGGCGGTTGTCTTCTTTTCATTTCTTAACTGGAAGATTTTGCATTTTCGATGTGTGCAGGACTGGCTGGCACCATCGGCCAAGCAGGCTCTTCGGTGCCTCGGCTGAATGTGTGGCTCGGGGGCAACCCTGTCTGGTACGGGGTCCTGTGGGTGCAGGCAAGACAAGTCTGGTGCGCTTGCTGGCCTCCAAGCTGTGTCAGCCTCTAGTCACTGTTCAGCTCGGTGACCAAGCAGATGTGCATGCCCTGGTGGGTGGTTATGTCTGCTCTGAAGTGGCTGGCCAGTTTGTTTGGAGGGAGGGACCTCTCGCTCGAGCTATGCGCACGGTAGGTTCTGGTGGTGATTCTGAAACCCTCTTACTATAGCACAAATGTATTGCATGGCAAAATGAAAGCTGTGCTGCGAGAATGACATGGTTTTGCGTGGGGCAACTGGGCTTTATTGTCGTCACTGTAGCCCAGCTAAGCTGATGTGTTTTTGTACAGTCCTCACGAATTGAAATGCTGCAATATCGGGCTAAGAAATTAACATATTTTTGTTTCCACCCTCTTCAGTTCATGTCACTCAAACCTCATGATAATGAGATTGCATCTTACAAGCAAATAAGTTTGTTATATTCAAAAATCTGTCATAAAGGTTATTCCTAACACAGTTTCTATAGCAAGAGTATCTTTCATTTACTTCGCTATAACCTATATTTTGTTAGATCTGTGTTCGTTATATTGAGGTTTGAGTGTATTTACATTAGGGCCAAGCTTATCTTTAGCAGCCTGTTTCTCAACGACATAATGTAAACTACATGTAAAGGCGTGCCGTGAAGCGAACTTGTGCACCGGAATTCGTGTATAGTCGGCACCCTAAGTTTGGCTCAAATTTTCTGCATACAGTGTAGACCACTTATAATGTAACGGCTTATAATGCAGAACCGGTTACAATGCGGTCTTTTTCAACTCCCATTTACCCTCCCATAAAACCCCATGTATACACACTGCTTACTGTGCAGTCCCTCAATATGAAAGACCGGTTATAATGCGATTGCTCAGAAATATTTGTGACAAACGTGGTAGCGAGTGTGTGTCTGAAAGGAGGCACGCTGGGTGCCACTGAAGAGCGAGCGAGTAGGCCATTGCGGAGCAAGAGGAGGCGCAGAGTGAACTAACAAAGGGAAGGAAAAGAAAAAGATACCCCGGCACACTGCGCGTGCTCGTTGAGTAAGGGAGGGCGGATGTTGGAAAATCTTTGTAACATACGCGGGGTGTCTCAGCGGTTTCGTTGAGACAACTTGGAGGCTCAGATGCGGCTACAGTGTACTAGCATCACTAGCGTGACTGCGACCACGCATGGCTTAACATGGCACGTGCGATTCCGTCTTTATCAACTGTGTTAAACAGTTTCCTGTTGTGAAACGCATTGTCATTATCGAGCTTGCTACAGATCTCGTGTTTGCTACCTCGTCCGTAAATCTAAAACCTTTTGCGGCTTTATTACCCGAGCTTTCGCCTTCGCTGCAAGTGCACTGCCTTACATAAGCTTGGCAGGTTTTTGTCATGGCCAATCTCTCAGCCGCGGACTTCGTATAACACAGGTCGTTTTTGGTTCAGTGCAGGAGTGCTATCTTTTCGACGCCGGATCTTAATGTCCTGGACAAACTTGCCGCGACAACAAACCGAACGGCAGGCTAGGCCTAATTGGCTTTCGTTGCGTTTCGGTAGCAGTCACGTTATATCTAAGTTGCGGTTTGGTACGGAATCAATGAAACTATTTGCAGTGGCTGCAGCTTGAAGGGAAGGGATACATATCATTAATGAAAACGAGGGTGGCACGTGTAGCGATCGAATGGTCATTCGCGATTAGATTGCGATGTCTTGAAATTGGGTGCGTGCACGTGAAATAACGATCGGTGTCTTTCAGCACGTAAAATTCATGACACGATTCGACACAGTTTCTGTGTAATCGAGGTGGTCTGAGAAGTAGTTGCCGAATTTCCGTGAAGATGCTTTCTTTTCTACCCCCCCCCCTTTTTTTCCCGCATTCATTTTGGTAACAAAATATGTCTTAATTCTTCCTAAATTCTTTTTTAACATTAGAAAATTTAAATCGTAAGCACCACGCATTGCATGCTTCGATTCTTGGACACACGAAGCTGCATGCTCAACACGATTTGTGCAAGTGTGACCCTTGAAGGTTGTTTTGGTTATAGTGCGGTACTTCTTGCAGTGCGGATATTCGCAACTCCTGTGACTTACGTTATAAGCGGTCTACAGTGTATTTTGTGCACATTATATGCAGCAATATACTCTGTGTGGGGCCACCAAATCTTAGTTGGCGAGCGTTCATTGCATGTGCTTGCTAGAACCGAATGACGTCATAATCATCAGGTATTCTTGAATTTGTAATCTTCAGATGAAATTTTGTGGCAACGAATTCCTGCGAACAAACTTTCTTGTGAGTCTCATCTATTTTGTTGTACTAGGACTTGAATGTAATGACATTCTTATATTTATCGTGTCAAATCTGATTACAACATGATTTGGCTGTACTCCTTATTCTACAGGGCAGCTGGCTGCTGTTAGAGGACCTGGAGAGAGCCACCCCTGACGTGTCAAGCCTTTTGCTGGCAGTGCTGCAGTCGGGCACAGTGCCAGGTCTTCCAGTGAGGGCGGCCGGCTTCCAGTTGGTGGCCACACACCGGGGATCACTGCAGCCAGTCACTCTCGCCACTGAGGCCCTGTGGTCCATTGTCCACCTGCAGCATCCGTCTCGTCAGGAACTCTATGAGGCAAGCACTGCCGTATCTCGCGTCCATGTGGCTTTTCACTTGCGCTAGTAACTTGGAACCTGTGGCTTTTCCTGCGGAGCATGAATCGATGAGTTGTATTCCTGCTGAGCTAGTTGCATTAAAAGGTAGTCACCCAATCTGAATTTTGTTGTCCTTCTAACACGTACAATGATAGTTCATGAGGCCTGCTCAGCGTGAGATTTGGGGAATACAGCATTGTTTCTCTGTTAAATGACGCGGATAGTTGCATGATCATATTTTAATCAAATGCTTATCACTTCTCCCAGTCTCGAACAGGGTAGCACTACGCTGTGAGAACATCGTGCTGCTATCTTTGCATTTGGTATCTTCTTCAAACATCAAGGACATCTTAGAGTCAAATCCTGCTGCAGTGAAATTGAAGGGATGCAAGAAAGAATTTCTTGTCATGGAATTTTATTGCAGTGAAATTTTATGCATACACCACAAAAATTTTCAAGCATCTGATGATTCTAACTAATCCTGTGGCTCCAGCAAGCGCATGCATTATCTTTTGCATTGAACTCTCGCTAGCTCAGACATACTACTTAGCCACCCACCAAGTGAGTGTATTTCCTCGCATATACCATATTTGCTCACATAATCCTCGCACTTTTTTTTTCGTGAAAGCTGATGAAAAGCTGAGGTGTGCAAGAATAACAGGATTACAGGAGGAAAATTTTTCGCGAAAACATATGGAGCGGAGGGGAGGGGTTATGAAGTGGCTGCAAATCAGGTTTCTCATCATGAGCAGCTGAAAGCCATCAAGACACCCTGGGCATTCCGTGTGCTTAAGATTGGGATGGATAGCATAACTTTATTTTGTGAGAAGGTAACTACGAACGATTCCAGTGTTAGATGGCCATTAGCCCAAGGTTGACATAGTACGCTAATCTTTTCCGGGCTCGTGTTGAGTGACGAATGCTAGGGCTACGCTTGCAAGCTTTGCATAGGGAGCTACCGGATAACTGAAATACTTCGTGCCATTTTAGGACTTTATTGTCTTTAGTCTTTCATGTGCTAGCGAATAATCTTCCAGGTTATTCGCTCTCAATAAGCACCATGATAGTGACCACGGTTTCCTGCGATGTGGTGGCGGCAAATGGTAGTTACATTTTCAATTTGTGCATGCTGGCTGTGCGTGTGCCTTCATAAACTGCGTCGTTGTTTGGTGATCGCACCTACCATGGTTATGTCTTAGTGCTTGCGGTTAGTTGTAGCACAGTAGATCGTTGTGGTTGCGGCAGAATGTAGCCATGCTTGGACTAGATATGCCTTCATAATGAGGTGGTTGTCATTCATCATCCCAAATTTAGTGGTTAAAAAACATGGCGGAAGTTTTTGAAAAACGATCCTGCCGTTATCTGTACGCGCATCAAACTCGCCGGCAGCATCATGATGGACGGACAATCTGCTGCCAAGCATATCAATGGGAAAAAAATTTACTGGGATGTGCATGCAGTGGCAAAAAGCAAAGCATGTTTCTGTTAATGACAAGGCTCTGGTGATGAGAATTTGTCGAGTTGTTAGCAGAATTTTATGGCAATCCTAGGCTAGGCTCCTTCACTTATGTGGTAGCATTTTTGGAAACTTCATTGAAGCGAATATATCCAGAAAAAAATTTACATTGTGATGGGACATTTTTTGCAATGTTTATGATGGGCAGCTGATGGGGAATCAAAAATTATTTGTTGTGGCGGAAATTTCGGTGTAGCGGTATTCATTATAGTGGGTTCTAATGTAGGTGTGTTCCAGATGAAATTATACAAATATTCTAAAAATAAAAATGAAACCACAAACAGAAGTGCAGTTGCTGAGCGACATCCTTCCATAGACGCAATGAACTTTCAGTAATGTTGCGGATTCTGAAGCACAGGTGGTAATTTTCTTGAACAAAGGTCAAGAACTGTTGAATGAAAGTAGAAAGATAAAACCATAGGGATATGCCTATTGTGGGGCTGACAGTACAGGCCACGTGATCTGACTGACTGAGGAAGAAGATATAGAGTTCTCAGATTTGCCTTTGAAAAGCAGCAATTAGGCTGTCTTGCTTCATGTCTTCGCGGCCATGGCATGCTACAAAAGTGACATCTCATGTCACAATATTGTCCTACAGGTTAAGTAGTAATAGATTTATTACAGAAAAAAAAAGCATTTTTTATTGTGGTGGCAATTACTGAGTAAAAAGTAATGAAGATGGAAAATACCTTGAAACATAATTGATTCAAAGTGGTCAGTTACATGTAGCTGATTGTACGCAAGTGTGACATACGTGCATATAAATTGAAATATGTGGCGGGTTTTGTACACCCTGGATTTGCACTCCTCCATGCCTTTGCCCATGTTACATGTGAATCCTTGAAAGGGCTCTGCACTTATTGATGGTAATGGGACTTAATGACTGCCTCTGAAGGTTTTGTCACACTCTGTCTGGAAATGTTATACAGTCGACTCTCGTTAATACGAAGTTCACAGGGACCGCGAAAAACTTTGAATTAAGCGGAATTCCAATTAACCACAATGAACAAAAAATACATTTATTTCAAAGCAGTTTATGAGAAAACATCTGTGATTGCCGTTTGCTTCTGTTTGCTGAATCTTGCAGCAGAAAGCAAGTCCTGCAGGCTGTATATGTGCCCGAGTGCTTCCTCGGCGTTGCTCTCAGCAGTGAAAAACTGCTGTGCGAGGGCAAGGCCTGCGGCTACATCAGCAGCCCGCGGTAGGGGCTCACTTGCGGCGTCGTCGTCGTCAACCTCAGTTTCGTGACTAGGCTCGCTGGGCCGAACCATCTATACGATCTCAGCGTTCGACAGTGCACCGCACGTTTCTACCGAACTGTCAGTGGCAGTGTACTCCTCGAAAGGGACGTCGCCGAGAGCTGGCAGGAGACCATCAACGTCAAGCTCACTTGTGTCTTCTTCCCCCACTGTACAAGACGCGTCATCATCTGCACCACTTGGAATGAAGCCGCACGCCCTAAAGCAGTTCGCATATACAGTTGGGATATACTCCCAAAGCAGTTGGGATATACTCCCAAGTATTTGCGAAGCTGATTTTCCCTCCACGTATCACATGTTTCAGCGTTGACGGCAGCCTTTTCCCTGTTAACGCTTTTAAACACCATATCGTGGCGCTGCTTGAACAGTGTGAGCCACTCATCGGACGAAGCAAAGTTCTTGATGCCTAGCATAATCGCAAGCGATGACGCTTTCGCTGCAACGATATCGCCGCTGAGAGGAAGTCTGTTGCTTCGAGCCTCCGGAATCCAGATGAGGAGCGCTTGCTCTAACTCCGGGTGGGCGCCGGTGCGCATTGTCTTGCGAGACATCTTGAACTGGTCATTTTCGAATGCGTCCAGTACCGAGCGCTTGTTCTTCAGGATGTTAGACAGGGTATTGGGCTTGATGCTGTATTTCTGCGCAATATCTTGCTCGGCGGAGCGTCCTTGTTCAACTTCTTTCAAAATTTTGACTTTCGTCGCCAAGTCAAGCATCTGATAAGGCCCGCGAGTTGCCATAGTAAATGCATGTGGAGCTTCGTCGCACGTGGAAATGCTGAGTTCGCACACGACCGTAACGAGATCAACAATGAGGCCCAAAACCAGAACCGTCGGAGCAGCCGCTTCGTGATATGGGGCGCTGCATGCAACTGCGATGCCATCAGCTGACGCTTTGAGCTGCGGCGCTGTGGTCAACTGCGATGCCCTTGGGTGCCGGTCGGACGCACATTATTGTTTAGCACTTCGAAAATAGGAAATTTAACAAACATTACGATTTCCTCCGGGAATTCAATTGAAAATAAATTCAAATTAACTGAAATTTCATACCTTTTGCTTGCAATTACCGAGAGTTTCTTCCTGTTGAACTGCATGCAAAACTGACGGGACCCCCACTCCACTTCCAATTAACCGATAATTCCAATTAAGCGACTTCGAATTATCGGGAGTCGACTGTATGACAGTTTTTGTACATTTTTGTACTACAGTCGACTGTATGACAGTCGACTGTTGTACATTTTTTGTTTACTTTAGATCTTTCTGTCCCCATTATTACCTTCCTTATTAACTTTAAACCAATATAAATTATGTGATGAAAGTATGTTTTACATTTCCAAATTTTCACTGCTTCAACTTATGTTATGAATTTTAACCTTGCTACTGTGTTTTTTTTAATGTGCATTCTTTGTGGATTTTTATCAGTTTTTCTCTGTCTGTGTCTATCTTAATGTGACAAGAAGTAAAAGTACTTATCATGTTGCTGCTGCTGCTATTGTGTGGGGAGGCAGGACCAGTCAAGCTGCCTGTATGCAGTTTTTGTACATCCTGCCATCCTTGCTTTTTATGTATGTCTAGTACATATGTGTCAATAAAAAGAAACTTCAATGTTTCCATTTCTTTGTGTCTTATAATAAAATGAAGAGTATTGAAACATTTGATTTATTCCCATGTGCTGTTAATATTAAAACTGCTACTCATTTGCCTGTCTGTGTCAAGTTGTGTTGTTTGTGTTGTGCAGATGATTGTCCATTACTGGCCTCAGCTGGAGCCAATGGCAGCACGTCTTCTTGATCTCTTTCACTTTCTTCGTGAACCTGGCTCGCCAGTGCGGCGAACCATCTCTCAGAGGCAAGTCCTGCTAATGTTTCCAAGTCGTGGCAATGCAAGTTGATTATCATTTTTATTTGCCTGTGTTTGTAAATATCAGAGTCAAATGTCGCGCACAACTGGCCTTTGGGAGGTCTTTTGTCATTCTGGACATGCTGCAAGTCTCGATGGTAGAAACAGTATGAGCTGGGCTGTTCTTCGAGAGATGCATTTCTGCTCTCATCTTCTGCTGCACTTTCTGTGCAATGTAGTGCGGGCTGTTGATAGGTCTGAGTCGCTGCATTGTTTATTGGTAGGACGTCACTTTGTGCATACATTTTGTGCATGTAGTGGGCAAGAAGCATGCTTCATATTTAAATGAAAGGACAGAACCAGGCAAAGCACTAAAAACAGTAATAATAATCACAATGTGCAGCTTTATGTACTGACTGGTTTCCTATGTACTGGTTTCCCTGATATGAGTGACCCCTGCCATATTATTGGCACAGCTAATGCAGTCGATAGTGTGCTGTGTACAATATTGAGTGTTGTTCTGGGCCTGCACAATTTCATTCTGTGATAAGTACACGAAGGAGCCTGATGGGTGTGTGGTGGTATGCAGGGACCTGCTGAAGCTCTGTCAGCGCCTTGTGTTGCGTGGCTTCTCTTTGGAAGGAACGCAGGCTGCTGAAAACACATTTCAGGATATGATGGACTGCCTCTGCCAAAGCATCCGGGATCCCACTAAGAGGCAGGCTCTGGCGCAGCAGTGTGGAGCACTCCTTGGGCTCACGAAGTCGCAGGTCCACTTTTGCATAACTAATATGGAGAGGACGGTTTTTTTTTCTGATCCATTTACAGGCAGTCATTCTTTCATTCAAATGCAGTCTCTGACATTATTTTTCAACAAATGCACGCTGTGACATTATTTTTCAAACATGGATGGAGTAGCTAGATTGTTTGGAATGATCTGGCTGCTTGAAAATTATAACTTCAGTGATAATGTTGATGTCATTGCTTCTTTACAATGCTGAAAGTTTTGAAAATTTGTTTTACGCCACTTTGTTTTATATTGCATCTCATATTGCAGCCCTATAAGCAACATGTTTTGTCAAAATACGGATATCAAGTGTGCCTGGCCTTAAAAACCTTAACTCTGTGATGTCAATTCAGGCTGTGCTGTGCGAATTCAGTTTAAGGGGAGACGCGGGTCGAAAAGTCGCGGTTTTCCGGAAAATTTTCGCTTTTTTTTTTCCGGCTGTATTGGCATCCTTGGACTATAATCTATTACTTCTGAAAATATCAAGCTGAAATTCGCACGAGAAATTATCAAAAAATGCTTCCAAGTGGGCAGCGGTGACGCGAGAAATGCACGAAAAACGGCGAAGTTCGCATCGTCCTGTCGCGAAAACGACGCGTTGGCCGCCATTTGCAATCGTGCACGCATGCTGCGAAGGCCGTATCCTTCATAATCCACTAGTAGCCAGTCTCGTGCCTTCACGCAGAATAAACAAAAAACGAGAAAAACAACGCGTACGTCACGCGTTTTGAATATCGCGGCACACAGCGCGAGGCCGCCATTGGACAGCGGTGCGCTCCACGCTCCTCCCCCTCCTATCTCTCCGGCAAAAGAGCGAAGCCTCGGACGTCGCGATCGAGCTTTTCTGCGTTTCTCTGCATTTTTGCGTCATGGCAAGCCCGAAGAAGTGCAGTTCAGATAATCGAAAGTTCAGAACTCGCCACAAGTATCGAGGGAAACGGCGTCAGACGCTTCGCAAAGCGACAGCGAACCACGATGTCGCCCCCGACCAACGCCCCGACGCTCCGACTTCGGATAGGCCTAACACCGTCACCGAACCCTGCGACAGTGGTTGTGAAATAGCCGCTGCCGTGGAATTCGTCAGTGCATCCCAAAGGAACTACTGCTTCGACCGGGGACCAAAGGAACTACTGCTTCGAGACGTACTGCTTCGGCCGGGGACCAAGGAACGAGCGCTCGTTTTGACAGCGGCAGCTCGCGTGACAGCTTTGCTGTAAACGTGAAGGCAGTTCTGGCAGCACGTGCTATAGGCGCAGGCCACGACCAACTTTCACGATTTTGTGCGATTCTCGGTCTTCCGAGCCCGATGCATCACAAGACATTCAACGGCATTTGCAAGAAGCTCCATGGTGCGGCGATGACGGCAGTGAGCAAAAACTTGCACCAGGCACGAAACATCACGAAGGACGCAGTCGGCGGCAGAGATGTGCCAGTCATGTTTGATGGCACCTGGCAGAGAAGAGGTCATAAAAGCCGCAATGGAGTGGGCACAGTCGTGTCCCTGGACACGGGGCTCTGCCTCGATTTTGAAGTTCTTTCGAACTACTGCCATGCTTGCAGTATACACAGGGACCTTGGGGAGGATGAAGAGATATGGCGAGCTTTTCATCTTCCAGTTTGCCAAAAAAAAACACTGACTGCTCATCCCATGCAATGGAACCTGCGGCAGCTGTCAATATATGGCAGAGGACCTTGTCTTATGAAACTCCGCTGCGATTCACCAGCTTCCTAAGTGATGGTGACAGCAAGGCCTACACTGCAGTCTGCGAGGCAAATGTATACTGTGACACCCCCATTGACAAAGAAGAGTGCACGAACCACGTTGCAAAGCGCTTGGGAACTGCCCTACGGAAATTGGCAACGCCACTGCCACGAGGCGAAAAACTGAAAGATGCGACAATAATAAAACTACAAACATATTACAAGATCGCCATCACGAGCAACAAGGACAGTGTCCGAAATATGTACACTGCCATATGGGCATCGTATTTTCATTGCTGCTCCAGTGATGGTGCCAGTAGCCACAACTTTTGCCCCGCGGGACCAAATTCGTGGTGCAAGCACAAGCGTGCGGAAGCACTTGGGGAGCCTGCACCACGCCACACCCCACTGTTGACGAAGGCTCAAGGATTGGCAATTATGCCTATCTTCAAGCGCCTTACAGAGGAGAAACTCCTTATTCGGTGCCTTCATGGCAAGACACAGAATGCAGCCGAATCGCTGAACAGCAAGATATGGCTGCTATGTCCAAAAACAAAGTTCGCCTCCAGAACAACTGTGGAGACAGCCACCACTCTTGCTGTACTCTGGTACAACAAAGGCCACAGGGGCTTTGAAGAAGTGCTCGAAGGCATTGGAATTCTCCCCTCACAAGATCTGGCCACACATGGTGACCACTGTGACGTCATGCGCATCAGGAAGATGAACCTGAAGCAAACTGCAGAAGCGAGGGCACACCGTCGCAACACAGCGAAGAGAGCTCGTGTTGAGGACACTGACCGCAAGAGCCGTGAAGGACCAAGCTATGGTGCAGGGGACTTCTAGACACTTGCAGTGCATTCAAGGCAAGGTACTTTTCATTGTGCCCCAATTTGATGCAAAAAGAATGATTTCCTAATAAATGCCAACTTTGCGAACTTTCAAACTTGTTTGTCTCATTTTCATTTTTTCTGACAGTTTCACGTTTTCCGGGCAGCCTTTTAGAAACTTATATTCATTGTATAGTAACGAAACTTGGCACACATATTCTTCAACACATGCAGAATGCAAATATCTACTCTAAATTGCAATGCCTACCAGCATTAGTTGTGAAAATATTAGCTTATTGTTTCAAGGGAGATTGAAAATAATAAGTCATTCAATACAATTTTTTTTTCTTGGTTCCAATATTTCTGTGACATATCTATATAGATATTTGCACTTTTCAATCTACCAAGAGTCAAATAAGATCAGACACAGTGCTTTTACTGAAAGTTTAGTACATAAAAGAGTGCCCGCAAAAAATGTAACTTTTTGCTATTGTTTATGGCATAACTCAATAATTATAGCAGCTACACAAAAAAATGATTGCATATTTGAAATCTGCATGAAAAACTATACTAATAATAAACTTTTCAAGTCTCTATTACTAGAAATAAAAAAAAAACTTTTTCGAGGAGCGTCTCCCCTTAAATGTTTCTACCTTTGTGGCCACTAAAGCACACACACAAACTTGGGAGAGATTTGTGGTATGTAGAGTCGCCAGTTGCAGTAAAACCTCGGTGACACAAATCTCGCAGGGTAACAAAAAATATTTGTATCACCTGAAATTTGTATCACCACAAAAGATGAAAATCAGCATGTGACAACAAAAAGTTGACGTATGTTTTCATATATTGTTTCTCAGGGGCGCAGCAGCATCATGAATAGCCCTGAATGATTGCTGGTAAAGTTTCTAGACGACAATGATTGTACTTGTATTGTAAATATACGGCATGTGCGTGGAACGAGATGCTCAGCGACTCGCGGCAACTAGTAGCCCCCTTCCTAATCTTGGTATCCTTTTCTGCATGACATCAGAGTACTGCGGCAAAAGTGACATAAAGAGCACTTTGCATGCGTTTGGCCAAGGCCAGAAAATATGGGAACCGCTGTCTTGTTGTTATTTTCTTATTGCAGTGGTACAGGGGCTGTTCATTGAAATGTTTTCTCAATGTTTCCCGTGTAAATCAGAGTATTGGCAGGTGTGGGCATCCCGAGAATCGTACATGTTGACGTTGCAAGGCTTTCACTAAGACCGTTCCTTTCCTCTTTGGATCCTTGTTCTCCTTTCATAGTATGTCCGATTGTGAGAACATGGCTTGCATCAACGTGGCAGGCACGTGTAAACGCAGTACATATTGCTGCCTTGAGCACAACAGCACGTGCCACACATTAGGTTGGAGGAGGGAGGTTCTGTAATCGAAGGCACGCAAAGGCACGGAATAGGACCTGCAAGAGTCACATGCACATTTTCGAAGGAAACTGCCTGCCGCTGCAGATGGCTGATCTAGACAAACCGGCAAGGCAGTGCAAATGCCTGCGCCTGGGCTCTTAACCGCGCAATTGTTGCGTCTTCCGCAGCAGAGGGGCAGTGCCTGTTTTGTTTGTACCTGGGCGGTATCGTGCTTTTGTGTCAAACTTCATGGGGTGAAAAAAGGTTCACAACAGCCATACTCTATCACAGTGCAGGCTACTTGGCTTTTGTCAGGACCAGAGAAAAAATTTACGGCATATCCACAGAGTGAATGATGATGAGTGGGGCGGAGCGTCCATCTGTTTGCTTATTCGTCTGTCTCGTCCTTCTGTTTGCTGCTTTCATACTAGAGCATGCATCGGACAAATGGGTGCTTCGTGCCACTCATCATCATTCACTCCGTAAATATGCTGTGTATTTCTTATTATAACAGCGCCATCTATCCTCTTTAATGGTCAACTATATGAAAACCACTAACACCATCTAGTGATATTATTTTCAAATGGATGGATGGATGCTATGAGCGTCCCCTTTATAACGGGGTGGCGACAAGTATGCCACCAGGCTCGACAAAAAAAAAAAAAAACCTTTTTTCTTTTTTTTATGTTGGCCTAATGCCTCTACTTCGATAAATTCTATCTTAATGGAAAAAAAAGGTAAATTTTCAGCTTAAGTTCTCTGCCATTTACGGCACACTGTCCGTATTTTATTTTTCCAATATTTATTTTTGTCCTTTCTCTCTAATTTTCTGCCACCAATACTCTAACCGTCTCTTACTTATTTCAATCGCGGGTGTGTTCAGCTTTCCATTGTTGTCCCTAAAACCCAAGGCTTCCTGTAGGCTCGTGCCCAAACGTACACCTGGGTGGATATCTCCACATTCAATCAGAACATGCTCCGCCGTTTCCTTATCTTTCCCACAGCATGTGCATTGTTCTTCTTCTTTACTGAATCTTGCTTTATAACTACGCGTTCTAAGGCAGCCCGATCTCGCTTCAAACAGTAAAGCGCTTCCCCTTGAATTATCGTAAAATGCCTCCCTCCTTATTTCATTTTTGCCCTTTCGGTAGTTACTCAAAGCCGGTTTTTTCTCCATAGCTGCCATCCAGTAAATCCTCTCCGCCTCCCTGACTTTTCCCTTAACGCTCTTTGTTGACATATGGCTCACAATACCAGCCGTATATTTACTAGTGAGTCTTCTAGTTCTTTTTCTCCACTGTGTGTCCACGCTCTTCCTATACAAATAACGGAACACCTTCTCTGCCCATCTACTCTCCTTCATATTTCTTAGCCTTTCTTCGAACCTTATTTTGCTCTGCGCTTCCCTCGCCTCAAAACCTGCCCACCCCATATCGCCCTTTACAGCCTCGTTTGTCGTCTTCCCGTGAGCACCCAACGCAAGGCGTCCCACAGTCCTTTGATTTACATCCATTCCCGATTGCACCTCTGCCCTCATGCACACCACTGAGTTCCCAAAAGTAAGCCCTGGAACCATTACACCCTTCCACAGACCTCGAAGCACCTCATACCTATTGTATCCCCACAACGCTCTGTGCTTCATTATTGCCGCATTCCTCTTTCCTTTTGCTGCCGAGGCTTTTTCCTGTACCTCCATGTATCTATCACTCTCATTTACCCATACTCCAAGGTACTTGTATTCACTTACCCTCGGTATTTCTTGGCCTTGTATGGACACCGTCTGATCACAGGGATCATTGAATACCATCAATCCACACTTCGTTACACTGAATCCTAGTCCAAGAGCTTCATCTTCCCTTCCGCATATATTCGCCAGCTGCTGTATATCATCTCGACTGTCCGCAAATAAGACGATATCGTCCGCATAAAATAAACCTGGAAGCTTCTGCTCAATCATCATGCCGCCCTGTTTGTGTGACAGATTAAAACCAATGTTGCTACCTTCTAGCGCTTTTTCCATACTCACCATGTACAGCATAAATAACAGCGGGGACAAAGGACATCCCTGTCTCAGACCCCTGCTAACCTCAACGTTCTCTTTGCTACGCATTCCTTCCCACTCTATGCAAACTGTATTTTCTCGGTATATCTCCCTCAAAAGCTGTATACAGTCGTCGCCCATGCCCATTCCTTTCAATATATCCCACAAAATTTCCTGATTAACGTTGTCGTATGCCCCAGTGATGTCTAGATAAGCCACGTACAAGGGCCTATTCTCTATTTTAGATATTTCTATACACTGAGTGAGAACAAACAGGTTATCGTCTAACCGCCTGTCGACTCGAAATTCGTTCTGAAGTTCTCCCAAAATATCGTTATGTTCGGCCCATGTTTCTATTTTCATTTTTACTGCTTGCATCGCCAACCTGTATAGTACCGATGTAATGGTTAGTGGTCTATACGAGCGAATCTTGTCCTTTTCTCCCTTGCCTTTATAGATTAAGTTCATTCTACTTTGTCGCCAACTGTCCGGTATTTGTGCGTCCTTTAAGCTTTTTTTCTACTGCTTTTAACAATGCTTCTTTAGTGTTATGTCCTAGTTCGTTAATGAGGCTAACGGGAATCCCATCTAAACCCGCGGCAGTGCGCTTTGGAATTTTTCCTTCGGCCTTTTTCCAGTTGAAATTATCAAGTACTAGCTCTTCCTCTGTTGCTTTCTCCGCCACACTTTTACTCACCGGGGAGATCCCCTGGACGCTCTTTTGAAACGAATCGGCTGTTACCTTTTGGATGTAACCTAGCGCTTCGTACCCTTCCAATTGATTTCCTCCTTCATCTAGAATATGTTGTTGCGTTGTGACAGACTTCCTACCTAGCGCCTTTATGTGGCTCCAAAAAATCCTAGGCGCGGCCTCCTTTTTTTCGTGTATCTCTGTCATCCAGCGTTCACTTTCACCTTTAATTTTTGCCTCTACCAATTTCTGTACATGGGATTTTTTCTCTAAATATATTTCCCATATTTTTTTGACTTCGTCCTGCGGCCGCTTCTCCTTTTTTGCCTTTCTATGCTCCCGTGATGCTTCGCGTCGCTTCTCGATCGCCTCCCGGATTTCCTTGTTCCACCAACTTTTTCATCAAAGACATATACACACAACGCTACCTAGTGAGCAATTCATAAAGTAGAGGTGGCTACATACATACCACATACAAATGGAGGAGGGGACGACCCACACCCTAAGGAGCTTCGCTCCTGAAATTCTTATCTCCTCAAAATTCATACGAGCTGTGATTGTATCACTGAGGTTCTGATAATGATGATATGTGGGGTTTAACGTCCCAAAACCACTATATGATTATGAGAGACGCCGTAGTGGAGGGCTCCGGAAATTTAGACCACCTGGGGTTCTTTAACGTGCACCCAAATCTGAGTACACGGGCCTACAACATTTCCGCCTCCATCGGAAATGCAGCCGCCGCAGCCGGGATTTGAACCCGCGACTTCCGGGTCAGCAGCCGAGTACCTTAGCCACTAGACCACCGCGGTGGGGCTATCACTGAGGTTCTGCTGTAACCACTTGCTGACCTAAACTCTGCTTCATGTGCGATACTGTGAGGCCATCTTAAGGGACAGGATAGGCTCACTAAAACTGGATACACACTGAAGAATGTCAACTTTTTTATATTGTAATCGTATCATCTCACTATTTCATTGATACAGCTGAAAATGCATGCTCCCATTTTCGGACTTTAGATACTGTACTATATTCTGCATTCTGTTGCATTGAAAAATATTTTTGTGTTGTACCTTTCTTATGTGGCTCACAGTGCTCAACTGAATTTTTGCAGGCACTTTTTCTTTGCACAATGAGCAAGCCAGATATCAAAGAGACTCCGTCATCAGTGACTGTGGGCCGTGTTGTGTTGCAACGGCAAAAATCTCAAGCAAGAGGCTCGTTGTCAACAGCTACAAAACGAAGCACATTTGCTGGGACACGCCATGCCTTGGTGTTGATGGAGCAGTTGGCAGCTGCAGTAGCCAGTGAGGAGCCAGTGTTGCTCGTTGGCGAGACAGGTGTTGGAAAGACGGCAGCTGTTCAGCACCTAGCCGAGCTCACAGGTGGGCACTGGAAGCAGAGGCTCTTTATTTATTTATTTACAGGTACCTTACAGGCCCTTGGTTAGGGCATTGAGTAAGGGGGGCTAATAAAGACATGTACAACAGGTAAAAGGGCGAAAGGTGCCAAAACGTAAGCTCGAGACATGAGTAACAAATAAACAAGAAATAAGTAAGTATAAATTGACATCAAACATCGTTACCAAAAAACAAGAAAGATGCAGTTCATGGCACGCAGCAGTTGGGAAGTGTACAATACGTGTAAGTTAAATTGGCACAGATTGTGGTATAATACACTGGGAAAATCATGAAAGCGCTTACAGGAAGGGTGAACAGTTCGTCCTAAGCAAACAAAAATAAAGCACAAAAAATAAGGGGGCAATAAGCGCATTAGAAAAAAAACTTTTTGCACAGCATTATGAATGTCATATACATACAGGAACGAAGCTATGAACATGAAATTATCAACCAAAATGTAAGACCAATTTGTTGCGGAAGGAAACAGGGTTAGTGTCAGTTACCAAGTTATCGGGAAGATCATTCCACAACGTGATGGCACGAGGCAAAGCGGAAGCGTTAAAAGAGTTTGTTTTGCCGTACATGCGCGAGAAACTAAGCCGGTTGTGTAGTCTGGTTGATAAATAGGAGGGTCGTTCAATTGGAAGTCTGGTCATTTTAGTGCTATTGACGTATTTATGAAAGAGGCATAAAAGAGAAATGTTGCGGCGAGTGGATAATAATTGAAGTGAATAATCCATTTTAAGTTGTGTTACGCTGCAGCAGAAATTATAATTACGAGAAATGAATCGGACTGCCCTATTTTGAACTGCCTCGATCATGTTGGTTAAGTAATTTTGGTGGGGGGACCAGATTGGTGAGGCAAATTCAAGTTGAGGTCGAACAAAAGTTTCGTAAGCTAGTTTTCGGACGTTAGCGGGGGAGGAATGTAAGTTACGGCGTAGGTATCCCAGTGATCTCGAGGCATTTGCGCAGATGTTAGTGATGTGAGAGGACCATGAAAGATTTTGTGTGAAGTGTAGGCCCAAATATTTGTATGTGGAAACATGCGAGAGGGGGTCATTATTTATACGGTATGAAAAAATGGAGGGGTCATGCTTACGGCTAAATGAGATAGTTTTGCATTTTGATGCGTTTAGAACCATTTGCCACGTCTCACACCATTTCATAATTACATCAAGGTTTTTCTGTAGTGCGTAATGATCGTTAACATTTTTGATAGGGTGGTAGATTATGCAGTCATCGGCAAATATTCGTATGAATGATGTGACGCCATCAGGCAAGTCGTTTATAAATATAAGAAATAGCAGTGGGGCGAGCACGCTGCCCTGTGGCACCCCGGAAGTTACATCGCATATTGACGACGAATTGGTATTGATGACAGTGAACTGTTTCCGGAGAGAAAGAAAATTTCGAAGCCATGATAAGGTTAGTGAGTCTAATTGAAGAGCAGATAGCTTTGAGATTAGGCGGCAGTGGGGCACACGGTCAAACGCTTTCGAAAAGTCAAGAAAAATGCAGTCTATTTGGAGATTATTATTCATGTTCGAGTGAAGGTCAGTCGTGAATTCTAGCAGTTGTGTCTCGCATGACCAACCTTTCCTAAACCCATGTTGGTTGCGGAAAAAGAACTGGTTAGACTCAAGATGGTTGTAAATGTGCGAAGCGATAATGTGTTCTAATAACTTGCAGCAAATGGATGTAAGTGAGATTGGACGGTAATTTTGGGGTAGATGTTGGTCTCCAGACTTGAACAATGGGGTAACTTTTGCAACTTTCCAGTCGTCAGGTATCTGCCCAGACTCTAACGATTGTTGAAAAATATAGCACAGAATGTTACTGGTAATGGAAATTGTGTTTTTTAGTACTTTTGAGTTAATATTATCAGCCCCAGCGGAGCTAGACAGCTTCAGCTTAGTTATCAGACATTATATACCTTTAGCTGTAATTTCGATAGGTTTCAAGTACTGGTAATCATAATCGGGCACGTTAGGTAATGTGGATTGGTCTTCCCGAGTAAACATTGAGGCAAAAAAAGTGTTAAAAGCAGAACAACACTGGCTGTTAGAAAGAGGTTCGTGATTCTCATCATGTAAGGTAATGTGGTTAGCATCCCGATTGCGAGATATTTCACGCCAGAATTTTTTTGGGTTAGTTTTTAGGAGGGAGCCCAGGTCTGTTGAAAAATATTTAAGTTTAGCAGAGCGTATAGCTGCGCAGTAGGTGTTTAAACACTGCTTATACTTATCCCACGCACTGGCTGTGCGCAGGCGTTTAGCATTTCGGTAGAGACGTTTCTTTTTATTTCTTAGTTGGTTGAGTGGCTTAGCGAACCAGGCATTACACTTGTCATTAGATATCGAAATCAAGGGAATGTATTCATTAATCAAGATGGTCATTTTGTCACGGAAAAGTAACCAGTTGTCGTGGACCGAGCGATTGCTAAACGAGGTCAAGAATACCTGGTTAAAGAATATTTCAAGTTCATTGTTGATTTCGGCATAGTTAGCTTTATTATAGTCGCGAATGTTTTTGGTAGTTTTGCCGGAAAACGTTACAGGAAGATCAAGGGTTACTTCAAGAAGTCTGTGATCGCTAAGACCTTCTCGGTAAAGGACTTGCACGACTGTATCAGGGGCTGAGGTCAGTATTAAATCTAAAATATTGTTTCCGCGGGTGGGTTTATTGACCACCTGTACAAGATTAAAGTCAAGCGTTAGGCTGATAAACTGGGCTGATGTGTTACAAGGGGAGAATAGAAGGTTCCAATCAATCTGGGGAAGGTTGAAGTCTCCAAAAAGAAAGACAGTTTTAGTATGGCACAAGTTAATGGCATCCGTAATACTTTCCCTCAATTCAGCTATGAAACAACTATTGGAATCAGGAGGGCGAGGGCGGTAACAGTTTCCTATCAGAACAACGTTAGTAGGGCTTGTTTTGCAAGCAACCCAAATTATCTCAAGGGCCGATTTTGTGTCGACAACGTAAGAACAAACTGTTTTTCTGATGCCCAAAAGAACACCACCACCTCTTTTATTAGCGCGGTCTTTACGATAGATATTAAAGGTGTTAAAATTTGGTAAAATCTCGTCATCGTTAATATCAGGTTGCAACCACGTCTCAGTAAGCACGAGGACGTCAGATTCGTTGTCGTCTAGCAGCGAACCTATTTCTTCTTTTTTAGGCAGTAAGCTACGTATGTTTGTAAACGTAAGAGATAATGAAGTTTTGTTAGAAAGGGGGTTATCTTGGAGACACTCTTCCGCGCACGTGTAGCTGCGGTTTTTGATATAGCGCCTTGTAAGAGGCGGATGATATAAGAGCTATCTTGTCATCAACGGTGTTGTGTAGTTAGTCCTTTAACTTATACATTAGTTATCACATGGAGTGCTCTGAAGCAGGAGACGAAGTGAGTTGATTATTAAGTGATCATGTGCAAAAAAACATTGCAAGAAAAACAATTAGTGAGTGCTGCATCCATGCTGTTTCTAGTTCCTTTCACATGCCTTCTCTTTTACACCGTCTTTTTTTCAAACATAGAAACCTAAAACATTTACTGTGCGATATAGATATCTATAAAAGTTTATCTTTAGTAGAGTAGTCCTCTTAAATAATGTATGCTGTTTCTTAAGAATACCATGCTGGTAGGTCACAATGCCTTTGCGTCTTTTTATTGATGATTTCTCAGATTGCATTGAGCACCATTGCTGTGTTTTGTCCTAAATATAACACAGAATTATGTCAACCAGGAAGGGCAGATTTTCAATCCAGCAGGCCCTTATGTGCTTGCTTATGTTTCTGTCATGCAGGTCATCCTTTAGTGGTTCTTAACATGAGCCAGCAAAGCGACAGCAGTGACCTGCTTGGTGGATTCAAGCCTGTTGACATCAAGCTTCTGTTGTCCCCAGTTCGGAAGAAATTTGAGAAGCTCTTTAGCTGCACATTCTCGCAGACTCGAAACGCGAAATTCCTCAGTCACATCACTGTAAGTGCTGTCAGCTAGCGGTTGTGGGTCTCATCCCATGTGGCCTTAACGTTATCATTGTGTGTTAATGCATGAAGCTTGTACGAATATTACAGTATGCAAAATTTGTTTAAGCTGGAATTTTAGGTTACTGATATTTTTGAGTGTTTGAAACAAACGAATAGATGTATTTTTTTCCTCTGTAACTTACCTGGAAAGGTGGTTTCTCTTACACAAAGGGCCACTTTTTTGTGAAATATTCAGGGAAATTTTCACTGGTGTGAAGCCCCAGTGAAAGTGTTGTTATTGCCTGCACCCCTACTAAATACTGTTAAACCTGCTTATAACGAACCTTCACTCAACGAATTCATGGATATAACGAAGTTTTTCTATTCCCCGCCATCACCCTGTAAAAGCACACGTATTTGCGACCTCTATGTAACAAAGTAACTGCGGGAGACAACCTTGATAAAACGAATTTTCCTCACGGACAATCTTGGAATTTTGCTCCGCATTTCAGCATTTTGGTACGAGCATGCATCTTCCGCCGCTGCCCCGCTAAAGTGTGAAGTGAGGGCGCCGAGCACGCGGGCCCCGTCCGCGTGAGGCGGGCAGGCGGGCCTGCACCTTAAGAGCTGGCGTTTCCCCCTTTCTCGCCGCCGCGATCGCATGCGCGGGTGTGCCCCCCCCTCACTTCGAACAACAACAAAAAAAAACCTACTTTTGCGCGTTGGGAGCCATGCATTTAGTTAGTGTCACATATGTGGCGCCGCGCTGCATACGGAGGGCGTTTTACCCAATAGTTTTTGCGGTAACTGTGTCTGTGTCCGTGTCGTTCGCTCTTTGTTTTCGACGCCGTGCGCCTGCATACTTTCACTGCACGTGCTTGGTGTGTCCCCCGACGACGTTCAGCTTTGCTTTTTTTTTATCAATTATGTGTATGGGCAGTTTCGGCTGGGTTTTTGCCGCCGCCTTCAGTCACGATATATGTATATTATATGTATACATACCTATATATTTATGGAAACTCAAGAAAAAGGGAAAAAAAATCTGCCCGCCCTCGGCGCTCAGCTTGTCACGATTTGCCGACAGGCGCTTATCTCCCACGCGTACTTTACCCCGTAAGGGGGGGGGGGGGAAAGGATTGTGCGCCTGTGCTTATCCTTCAATGGGGAGAAACGCGCGCCTTCGACCGCCCTTAAAATCCAAGCGTGCCAGCGATCGCGACTGCCCTTAAAATCCAAGTTCATTATTGCTACTCGAGCGATCCCCCCCTCCCCACGTTGTTTCATGCTCGTTTCATGCTTGTTTAAAACGGGTGGTTTACTTTCTGTTTGAGCATTTGATGGCAGTTCTAACTCGCGGGAGATGTTATGCACTTTCCAGGCGATAGGGATGGGCCGACTCATGTGATCTCTGCTTCAGCAGCGCTCGCGCGCTTTTACCCGCTTGTGAAAGTTACAACGCGCGGGGGCATGTTGTCAATTTGGACTTGTTGCGGAACATGGCGGTGACAGCAAGAACCTGCCGAGAGTGTCCATATAATTGCTATCGCAATAGTAACACAGTTTTTACTGTGAAATGAGTGTTTTGGTTTAGCTCTGCCTTTAGTCCCCCTTTTGTTTAATTTGCGTGTTTATTTTCCAAATTTTTGTATCGAACCTGCATATAACGAAAACCTCTTTATAACGAAATTTCCCGGGAATTTATCAATTTCGTTATATCCAGGTTTAACTGTAGTCTCAAAAGTCTTACAAACAGTTTTTGGGCAAAGTTTAAAGAATCGTAAAGCATAAGGTGCAGTTTATGTGTAAAATGTAACTTTTACTGCTGATTACAACATACCAGAAAAAAGAGATGCATGCCCATGGCTTGCTAAAGTAGGTGCATATAGCTATGTTGCAGGTGCTGTATCGAGCCAGATTGTTCTGACATATCTTTGCACTGTAATCTTAAAGACGGTCATCGTTTGAGTACCATCATTCAGCTGGACTGCATTTCATGCTATTGCTTCGCCCAGCTTGATTTTTTGGAAGTTGTACAACCATGGCAGCATTTGCATTGACACAGCACTACTTGGCAACTTTGGTGACAGGCATTCAGCTAAGCAATGCCGGTTAGGTTCAATAAGCTTAACATAATATAGTGGTACATGGCAGGTTATCGCAGGATGTGTACCACTTATTGGTGGTTGAGCCCGAGATCGTGCACACAGGCTTGACTGTGGACCACAGGTGGCCTACCAAGTTTGTGCACTTAGAGAAAGGAACAGGTTTAGTTGAACCATGTTAAAATAAGAGTTTTTAAAAAATCTGAACATATTGCTGTAAAGCTGCCTTCTTTTTATTCATTGCGGCTATGTCATGAAATGACATTGCATGCCAAAATCCGCTTATAACCCTATTCTGGCTTCAGCACCGAATTTTCTGTATATATCTTGTGCACGTTATAGTTCTTGAGAAAATGCGTTACGTTAGATGTATGTTAATGCATGTCTGGATAATTTATTGCTTTATATAATCTATCCATTCCAGCACTATAATTTGAGCATAATATATATACGGGACTTAGATTTTTGTTACATTTTGATTCAACAGACTTGCTTTGCTGGGCGTCGATGGCGTGACTTAATCGATCTGATGTCTCACAGCCGGAAGTCTGCTTGTCAAGGCTTTCAGGTAAGATCATTTTGTTCAAATATAAATTGCAGTGAATGGATCCTGTTAGCTTAGTCATTGCTGTAGCTAGAATTTGGGTTCTTTAGTAGTTTTGGAGCCATCCAAATGTTTACAATGACAAATGTCTCTAAAATGTTTGTGCATCCTAGTTAGATGACCTCTTTAAAACAACTTATGACTTTGAAATTAATAATATTGAATTAAACATACTGCTTCGACTAATGCAAACACCTTCTTGCTCTTTACTGTTGCGTACTGATTGTGCATACCTGTTTGCACACCATTTTGTCATTTCTTTGTTTTGCGAAATGCTTAGCCAAGAAGTCTCCAATTTCGCTATTGTTTAACTTTTGCACTTGAATATTATGTTTACTTGCATAATAGGTGCACTTTTTTTCCAGAAAATCTGGCTCCAAGTTTAGGCTGCATCTATTACACGGGGCAAAATTTCTGAAATTTTTTTTCCAACTACAGCATAGACCACTGGGATAACGTAAGTCGCCGAAGTGATGCATATCTGCACTACAGCCGAAACAACTTTCTTCATAGGCTACAAAACCTGTTAAGCATGCAGTGTCATGTGTTTGGTCGGGAAACCATCGTGGCGAAACGTCGTGGTGTCGTGGCCGGGAAACCAGTGTCGTGGCCGGGAAACCATTGACGCCAAACGTCCACCGAGCTTGTGCAAGTCCGCGTTGTGGCATCAAAGGCTTAAGCTTGCGTCGGAAAGCCAAAAAGCTTTTACATTTGTGAACGAGGTAGCAAACGCTATAACACCAATGCTTTTTCCTGACAGGAAACTCAAAACGCTTTTGATAAGGACGCGATCGCAGTGCATGTTCTCTGCGGAGCACGCGCGACCGGCAAGTGGCCGGAGCCGCCGCTGCAAAAGTTACTCCGGCACACATACAACGCCCCTTTTTTTACACAGCTGGCCCAGTGTTGGGGTGATCTTTTTTTTTTTTTTATCCTCGCTCCAGTTAATATAATTGCAACTGCACAAACACGGCACAGAACTACTGATTGTGGCCAAGTTCGGGGTGTGTTTATTATGCACGGAAATAAAAATAATCTGATTTCTTGCGACCAAACTTGGAATGGTCCTATTATGCGAGTAAATACAATACTAGGTGTTATAGTAGCCAAATTTTTTTATATATATATAGATAATCTACCTCAAGACTGACTTCGTTAACAGAAGTGGACTCAATCATGTGAGAGAAGTTGTATCACCAGTGCTTGTCGGATACCCTGCTGACGTTCTACAGTCGAACCTCGATATATCGAACGGCGCGGCGAGCGCGAAATAGTTCGATATATCCCGAATTCGATATTAAAAAATCATGAAAAAAATGCGTCAACACCTGCTGAAAACAACCAAAAAACCGTTCAAGCGTGGTGCAGTAAAGACTCACTTGAAGATTCAAACATAGTATTTATTGTGTTGGTTTAAAATATTGAAAAAGAGTAGCCTGCTTTTTGTTGGCCATGGCGTGTTTGACGACTGCGTCCTCAATATAGTCCAGGCGATCCATAAGTTATAGGCCAGTGCCTTCAATCGTGCCGCAGTGGCGGCGCACAAGGGCCAAGGCAGCTACGACCGCAGCTGATGTCGGGAGCGGGGCACCATCAGCACTTGCGGGATCCATCACGGCAGAGTCTTCATTTGGCTGGTCAGCAGTAGCTTCGGCGACAATCTCCACATCTGTGAGCTCCCCCTTCCGGAGTTAGGCCTGTCGCGCACCACAGCGCGCGACAGGCCTAACTCCGAAACGCACGAACACTGCGAGCACAACGACCGATGCCTGCCGATGCTACGGGGGAGGAGCTTGCAACAAGTGCGCAGTGTGCCGTTGACACCATAGAGACTGCAACGACTGCAAGCTGCAAGGCTGCGGTGTGAGTCCGGGTGTAAAGCGCGCACATGGCGTGCCCATGACGGCTCGCCTGACTGCTTTTTCTTTCCCGGAGGCAGCGCGGGCCGCGTCCGAGACAGTCGTCTGCGTCCTTTCCCTCCTATACTTTCCTCCTCAATCTTTACTTCCCCCTTCCCCCGCGCGAAGCCGTGTCGGTGCCTTCGTATTGAAAGAAAATAACAGCTCCGCGCTTTTCTCTTCACTTTCCTCATTCAAGAACCTCTACCGCAAGGCTGCGGCGCGCGTACGCCGCTACGTTATAGTGGCGCTCTCGGCGCCATCGATGTGTGCAGCATTCGTAAACGCCCGCCGCTCTACCACTACTTTCAAGAGTTGCGGGAAAGCTCGCCGCCTGTCAATGGAGCGCGGGCGGTATGGGGTGGCTGAGTTTGATATATCCATTATATGTCAAACTGTGTTCGAAATAAAAAATTAATAATGCATACGATTTTCCGCGTGATATAGGAACCGTTTGACATAGGTAATAATTCGATATATCCGTGTTCGATATATTGAGGTTTGACTGTATATAATTCCAGTTAAAGTTCCTGCATAAGAAAGCAGTTTTTAGTTAACATTGATTCTAAAAGATACTGCAGCAGCTGCAAGGGTGATTTACTTCTATCATTGCATGTCCTGCAGAGCCGGGCCGTGACAAGGGTCAGTTGGAGCGCTGGCGGGCATTTGGGGAGCAGTTGCGGAAAGCCGAGGCTCAAGCACGTCAGGCTGAGAACAAGTTGACATTTGCTTTTGTTGAGGTGAGTAACAACTAGAGTGTGGAAGCAGTTAACGCAGGCGGTTGGCTGCTGTTCTGCATGTAGCCTTTGTACTGCTTTTTTTTCTTACCAAGTACAGCTTATTAGTTTACCTCAAGATTAATGTATCCTGTATAAGTATAGACTCCCTGTGGAGAGTATCATATTCCAGACAAATATGATCAATGGAACTTGAGCTTAGAGGCAGTCTGTTGGTTTCTTATGTGCAGGGTGCCCTTGTACGAGCTCTGAAGAAAGGTTCATGGGTTCTCTTGGATGAAATCAACCTGGCCGAAGGAGAAGCCCTAGAGAGCTTGGCTCCCGTGTTAGATGGTGGCTCACCGGTGCTATTCGAGCGAGGGTACAGTTACAGTTATGCTTTGTCTGACGCTTTCTGTTATAATCTTTGGTTTCATTAATAAAAAATAATAGCTGCTTGTACAACATCGTAACTTTATACTGCTGGAACTGACACTATAGGCTTCAATTCTCATGAGAGAACAAAAATGAATCTTGTCAATTCTAGGCTTGTGCAAATATTCGAATGCTTTGAATATTCGGACAAATAATGCAGTATTTGAATTGGCTTGGAATAGAATCTAATTTATTGAAAATTTTGAATTATTCGAAACGAACAAATAGGTGCATATTAATCCATATATGGCATTTTGTAAAGGCAATTTCACTGCAGTATAGTGGTGCTAAGCCATGAAAGCATCTTTTCAAATGTATATTAATTTGTACGTGACATCTTGTAAAGGTAGTGTCACTGCAGTGACACAGTGTTAAGCCGTGAAAGCACCTATTCAAACGTATTTTAGTTCGCATTTAGCCTTTTCGTAAAAGTGGTTTCTCTGCAGTGAACTGGTGCTAAGCAGTGAAAACACATATTCAGGGCAAATTTGCATTGTTGCGAAGTTTCACTTTAAAGTGAAATGAGGATATTTCTCTTACATAGATTCATTTTTAAAGTTTAAAAGCTTGCTATACCAACTTATATACTCCAAGTATAGCAAATTTTAAATAGTAACATATTTCACTGGCTATCACATACTGAAAGTCAAGTCCTGCTAGTAGTGATTAAATTTTTTCCCGCTTTCTTTGATGTGAGGAAATGTCATTTGCTCAGGCCTTGTTTAAAAAAAAATATTATGCTAGTTAATGAGTCCATAACAAATGTGCACATTTTTTGTTATAATATGTCAAATATATACTATTCGAATTCGATTTGAAATTATTCACCCAAATTTATTATTTGCTTCGAATTTGCTAAAGCTGTCGCGAAGTGCTCACTCTCTCTCAAATGCCAATCTGCAATGCGCCGATGCCACGCTTCTCCTTTCCCATCCCTGCCACTTTTCTCCTTTCAACACTGCGCATGAAGAGAGCAAAAAAGAAAAAAAGCTGCCATGGAGTGTTGGTTCTCTCTCAAATAGCGATCTGCTTCTCTACACGTGGAGACGTTTTTCCTCGTCACGTGCTGGCCACGCTACGGCTGCAGAGTGTAGCAGCGGAGATGCAGTATCGTCTCTTTAGGGAGTGTTGGCGCTAAAAATTGCTGCGCGGAACTTCTCTTGCCAGGAGAATGCTGAAGCCGAAGTAGAAATGCTTTGCAAGCTGCATGCGAAATTGATTGACTCGCTGCGAGGCAAACGTATGCAGACGCTGTAGTGTACACGTATTTCGAAAGAGTACGACCACCAGCTTGGGTCCAGTCTTAGCGAGCCGCAGGGCACGCGTTAACCGTCGCCGTAGCGAGAACACGATATTGCTCAAAGTCGCATAACTTTATTGTGGCAACACCAAACACAGTACAGCCCGTTGCAAAGGTGCGGCGGGAAAGCAAATAGGCTTATCCACGCCACGGGCATAAAGTACTACACAGGGTGCTACGAGCACGTCTCCGCGCTAAAGGTGATCCACGGAGACACCGGGACCAAGGCCCGGTTTCTCGAGCGAGGGCAAAGGCGCTCGCATTGGCTTCGGAGGGAGACGAGTCGGCGTAGCTAGACCATGCACTAGGACACCGTACCGCCCTTCGGCCGTGCGTACGCAGTGGGGCAACAAAAAGTGAACGTTCGCCTCGGGCGCGAGGCGCCGTCAGCGAAGTCTGACGAGCCCTGAGTGACGGGAGTCGACGGACGAAATAGATTGCGTGGCTCATCGTTTGCAGTCACGGAAAGTATCTGCCTGCCTGCTCCCAACACAGGGCGCGAAAACCTCTCGGGAAGACTTCGCACGCGGCGTCACAGTCAACATTCGCTACCGGGTGAGGGGGTTAAACGGCACTCCGCTCTCCCAGCGCGGCAGACAGCAAAGGAGGGCAGACGTGTTGGGACATGAGAACGGCAGAAAATGCGGCAAAGCCCGCGCAAAGGCAGCGGGCTAGCCTCAATTCCCACAACGCACATCATCGATTACTTCAATTAATGACGGATGTCCTGTGATTTGTGAATAAATGTAAGTCTCCTGAGACTTCCCCCTCGTGCGCCACTGCATGGTGAGCCAATTAGCTTCATTAAATTCAACTAGCTTCATTAAAGCGAACTTCTTTTAATTTGAACAAATTTTTGGGCACCTTCGTGTTCGAATTATCGAGGTTCACCTGTATCAGATGGGATATGTGCAACAGACGTTGATAATAAGGGTGAGAAAGCTGTCAATTTTCGAACATGATTGAAAATGGGCACACGCTTTTATGGGGCTGCTACCATTTCCGTAGAGCCAATGTGATATGATGTCTGGAGTTTGGGACACTGAAAGTCTTCCAAGCCTGAACAATTGAGTACTCAAATTGTGTGTCCGAAAGTGTATGAATAGTAGCCACCTACCACTGCTCCATCGCTACAGCGTATCTTGAAAGTTAGCCTTGCCTCAATGTCATAATGCTATGCGTTGTGAGATGTCAGGGTTATGGGTGGGCGTTCAGTAGATTAATTTTTTTGTTTTCTTTCTTTCGAAGATTTCAAGTTTACAACCTTTTGGCAAAGATACCCAACAGTTAGAATTCATTGTTGTAACCGATAATGCGGCGTGCGGGCATTTCTGTAAGTGGGTTATTCACCATAGAAAACATACAAATGTTGATAACGGTGCACCAGCTTCTTGTTGTTGTATCTGATATATTGTTAAAACTGGCATCGTTGTTAGTGGGTTCGAGTGTGTGTTCATTCAACCTTAATGTAAGACTTCGTGGCTCTCTAGATTTCTCCTGGATAGGTGTTTTCACGGCACAGCACCTCTTTACTCTAGTGAAATTATCTTTACAAGGGGTTACGGAAGACTAATATATTATATATACTCGCATACTTTGCGCACCCCTAGCATTTAGCCAACTTTACAAAAAAAAAAAATTACTCGCATATTTTGCACTCCCCAACTCGCCCGAGTCAGCTTTTTGGTGCATACTTGTAGTGACTTTAGACCTTTTGATGCGCTGGGTGGGTGCACCGCTTGCCAAGCAGGCAAGCGCACTCATACATAAAACGGGCTGTGAGTGCAAAGTTCCTTCTTTTGAGAACTTCCCCTAAACTGTGGTCCCTGAAATACGGTACATAAACACCCAAACCTCTTGACGAGTATTGAAAGGGAAGCATTTGCTTCCCTTTATTTTCTCATCTCTTCTAACATGCATAGAGCAAACATGGAGCCCTTTTTTAATGCTCTCCCACTGTCTGTGCGAGCTTACCACCTTTATCATACAAATTTGATAGCTTTTTTTCATGTGATTCACTTGTAAGCAGTTCTAGGTTGCCTGTCTAGTAAACAAGAAAATTAGTGCCCCAAATGATAACTTTCACAGTTCAAATGTCTAAATGGTGATACTGTTGCATATGCATCATACTTTCCTGAATAGATGGTATTCCTAACTGGTTTATTAAGTTAGTTTTTGTACTCACAGTTACATTTTCATGCTCTTTTCAGGGACCAAGAGCCTTTAAAAAGACACCCCGAATTCAGACTGTTTGCATGCATGAACCCTGCCACAGACGTGGGTAAAAAGGACTTGCCTGCAGGCATTCGAAGCCGGTAAGTGAAAGATCCTGGATATTGCTTCTTAAACCTTGGACACATGCATGGGCATCAGATTTGTGCAGATAATGAAATTATGTGGCTAGTGTTATTATGGGCAATAACAGCACACAAACTCTCGGACAAAGAGACGAGACACAAACAAGCGCCGACTTTCAACTGAAGAATTTATTGAAATATACAAATCATCTCGACACATAAGTCAGCGCTTGTTTGTGTCTCTTCTCTTCGTCCCGTGAGTTTGTGCTCTGTTACTGCCCATAATGTATCACCAACTAGCGCTACTATCAGTCCTGCTAGTGGCTATTGAGAATGAGTACTTCTTTTAAACCTCGATGTAATGAAGTTGGTAAAAAAAATAGCACCTTGCTATATGAAACTTTGTTATACTGAAATCGATCCTACTACATGTGGCATGGTTGCTGAGAGCTGTTGTTTTTACGCGCAAGAGGCTGCAGAAAAGGTTGGAAGTACTAATTGTGAAGTCTGCGAAGAGAAACATCAATTTAAAAGAAATAATTCTTTGAAATCTAGTTGCCATATTTATGGTCAGATGACATTCTGATGTTATCTCGCGACTATGATGCACTGGGATTATAGGCATAAAGTGTATCTTTTTACACCCATCCCGCCCTGTCGCTTGCTGCCTCAGGTGCTCATCAGTGCGCCTCAACACTGAACTATGCATGCTGAACAAGACCACTGTCATCAGCAATGCAGCATCACACGCATGGGGCACCATGAGAAGCGCTGCATCTCATGGTAGTGAGGTGACTAAAACAAATAAACTGGCTTCGGAACTGGTGCAGCTAACGTGGTGTTAAAACTTAAGGCTAGAAACAGGTTGAGATGGTAAACAGAAGTGCCACATGTGCAAAATGTGAGAATTGAAAAATCCAAATGAGAATGATAAGGCAGTGTTCTTGCTTGTCAGTTTCACGGAGGTGTACCTGGAGGAGCCTTTGGAGGAGAGTGATCTGGAGCTGGTGGCAGCTGCCTATCTGGGTGGCAGTGGGTCACCACCACTGCGAACTTGCGTGTCCCTCTACTTGAGCCTGAGGAAAGCTGCTCAGGAGGGCCTCACCGATGGCACGGGCAGCCGGCCCCACTACAGCCTTCGCACCCTGTGCCGCGCCCTGCACCATGCTGCCTCCGACCCCTGCAACAGTTGGCCACACTCACTGTACCAGGTCTGTGCATGCTGCAGAATATGTGGTCACATGCTTCCATGACAATTCTCATTCTCGCAAAACGCTAGTTACGCATAGCTAGAGGCATTGAACTATGTAGCACATGCAATATAAGCTATGCAATGTAAATTTCACTGTATCCTGTTTTACTGCGCAGGGATTCTGCCTGAGCTTTCTTACGTCCCTAGACCGCAGCTCTCATGCTGCAGTGGAGTGCATGATTCGCAAGACTTTACTTGGCTCCAAGGTGCCTCGGAACCCGCTAGCCCCTTGTGGCATAAAGGCCGTGGAGCTTGAGGGCTACTGGGTGCCCACTGGTCCACTGGAGCTTCAAGATTCTCCGGGCTATGTGCTGACGTCCACCGTACGAAACAATCTGCGTGACTTGGCCAGGGCAGCAGCCTGTGGTCGTCACCCTGTGCTCTTGCAGGGGGAGACTTCTGCTGGAAAGACCAGTCTTGTGCGCTGGCTTGCAGCTCGCACAGGTCACGTCTGCGTCCGTGTCAACAACCACGAGCATACGGATCTTGAGGTGAGCTGGAGTAAAGTAGGATTGACAGCTCAATTACCTGGTACAGTACTGAAAGATTCCAATAAAACTTGACAAGCATGTGTTATATCTCGAGGTAACCATATCATGTGAAGAGGAATCTGGTTTCTAAGGGTAATGTTGGCTCTGGTCTACGCATCTGAGAAGGCGTTGTTAAGTCGATATGCCCCTAACTGAAGAGACTGGAAACAAAAATACGGATAAATCGGGGCATAATGAAATTAGAAAATTTCCCCCAAATTTATCATGAACAGGTTTTCGTTATTTGCTGTTTTAGCACAAAAATTTTAAAAGGAATGCACGAATTAAGAAAAGGAAAACTAAAGTCAGAGTTCACTCGAAACACTTATTTAGCGGTAATAAGCTGCTTTATTATTGCGATAGCAATTATATGGACACCGTTGACAGGGTTTTGCCGTCTCCTGCCATGTTCTGTATAAAGTCCAAATTGATGACAAGCCCACCCGCGCATCGTAAGTTTTACCTTTGAGTAAAAGCACGTGAGTAGGGGCCAAGACTGCTGCCGAAGCAGAGGTCTAACGAGCCGGCCCCTCTCTATCGCCTAGAGGGGCATGCGATAACATCGCCCCGTGTGCCAGACCTGTCTAAGGTGCAAGCAGAAAGGAAACACCCCATTTGTCTTGAACGAGCATAAAAAGACGCAGAGTGTTTGGGGGCGGTGGTAGCTTGAGCAGCAACAGTGCACTTTTATTTTAAGGGTGCGATTGTGATCGCATGTGCCCGCTCAGTCTCGGCAAGCATCAGTGCATGGCTTGTATACCTTTGCACATCCTGTGCTCTTAGCCAGAAGAGACTTTGCGAAAAGAGCACTTCTCCGTGGTGTGGCCATACTTTATTACGTCAGTGTTTTATAGAGCTTGTGGTCTCTAGAAATGAGGCACGCTGAGCGAACGAACCCAGCAGATGCGGTCGAAGCAAGCCAGTAAACACAATAATTTAACTGCTTTTACAACAACGATATCGTCAGCTGTATCAATACATAACTCAACACACTAAAACAACCTTACACAGTATTCTAATACGGTCGAGCCCACGTATAACTGGCCCTTTTTAACACGAACTTTCGCTTAAAATGAACAATATCCCCGTGATCGTGAAAATATACATTGGTTCAATGGCACGAAATCGCACTTACAACGAACGTCTCTGAGCACCACTGATCGATTACAGCGAACAAAGTCAGTGATCTGCCGAATTCTCAGGAAACCAATTTCGACCATCGATCAGGCATCGGCGAGGTGCCCATACATTCTTATTATTAAACGCCGACCCTGCCTCTGCAATCCTCTAGTTGCCGCTCTCCCCAAACCATGGAGGAAGGAAAGTTGTTTCCTTCCTCCATGCCCCGACTGCTTTTTTATAATCACCGCGGACCTTTCAAGCAAGCTACCCAACCTGCCTCTTTCCCGTGTGTTTAGCTTTTCAAGGTCGCCCTTCCGCCGCATCCTTCCTCTCTTTATCGCTACTCCTTGCCCTTCTCTCGCAAGTCTCTTCCATCTTGACCACAACCCCTTCGCCCGTCTCCACTGCTCCGCGACGCCCGCCACGCTGGCTCGAATTAGTTTCGTTGTCTGATTGCAAACGGGCCTAGAGCTGTTCTACACGTTCTGGCAGTGTGTCGCGTGTATGTGTTTTGCTTGCTCTTGGTGTGCGTGTGTGGTCATGATGGCCGACGGGAGGACTGGCACACTTTTTTCTGCCGCTCATCAAAACGTCGAAAGCGTAATCCGCGTGTTAGGTGCCGCGTTGGGGAGCGCTTGCTCATAGCTGTTGACCACCTGGCAGCCAACTTGCCGCTTCGGGAATCTCCATATTCAGCTGTGGAGATGGTGAATATTTCGTGGGCGGCGGTGATGACGACATGCGCGCGAAACTGTTTTCGCGAGGCCGACTTCGTCGACATCGAGCTCGATCCCGAGCCTGAAGCTTCCGAACTGCGGCGGCGATTTGTGGCAGCGCGTTGTCGACTCCGACCTGGGAGAGCTGGTGGGACATCTGTTGCGATGGTTTAATTACGGCCGATGATGATGCTGACACTGCGGAACCGTGCACGGATTGGGGCATTGTGAGTGAAGTAAGTGACGAGAGCGATTTGGAGGAATCGGATTGCAAGAACGAAGAAACTTTGGAGCCGGTGCCTCATGGAGCTTATGCCACGGGCCTCGGCGAACGAGCACCCTGCCGTTTTAAAGGAACTCGAGACTGCCCTTATCACTCCTGCTCTTCGAAAAACGCGCATCACGGACTTTTTGGGGCAAAAAAAGTTTGTGTTTTCACTCGCAACATTTTTTAAAGCTGTGTTTCATTTACTATGAACTTCGGGATTCAGCGAATAGATGCCATGTCGCGCTCAGGTTCGTTATAAGCAGGCTCGACTGTATATCTTTATTCGTTTGTGCCAAGTACCTCGAAATTTTCAATAATATAAATTTGACTTAAAGCAAATTTCAGTACTGTATTATTCGTTTGAATATTTGAAGTGTTCGAATATTCGCACAAGCCTTGTGAAATGCAATTTGTTTTGAAAAGAATTCTGTAATCTTCATTTGGACTGGTGCCCTTAAATTGCAATAATAAGCAAGGCTGTCCAGAGAGTCCACATTTCTGTGCATTGCCTCTTGCATAACTTGTTGCTGCGACATGAAGTCTTGTAACTTTGTAATATATGCTACAGCCTCGGCTAGAGATACAGGCCGGTCTCAGCCATTAAAACTTTTTGGTTGCACTCTTCCTTCGGATTTGTACAAACAGAGGAAACACTTTCCAAATCTGACAGCTCTGCTTTAGGGCTGAAGCACAAGTTGCTTGTTTTTGTCTTCTGCACGGCTGCTTTGCTTCGGTGACACTGTATGTACAGTACCATCCACTGTTAAAGGGAACACACGAATGCACACCAATAATATTGCTGGCCCTCTAACAGCAAGTGGTTATGAAAACAATCTGCATGTTCATCACTGGTCTGTCGAGAGGAGTCAGAACTTTCAACCACCAGTAGTCTTATGCATATCTAAGCTATTATGCTTCCATAAAATAGAGAAATCTAAACATGCAATGTGCTCAGGTGTTCCCTTTAACATTGAACGCGTCAGTACATGGGATATTGTGTATCGCCGACGTATGGCAATTCGGGGGCGGCATGCATTGACCATGCCAGTACTGCCAGATTGAAAAAATTTATTGAATTGGTCTAAAAAATGAGCCCTAATACACAGATCAAGTTCATTCTACTGAAATATTCGCTATTCAGAAGCTCATTTAACTGAAAGATTTTGGCATGGAATGCATAGGGAAATTACGGTACCAGGGATTTTGTAAAAGTTCGCTACTTAGAAATATTTGTTAAACCAACATTCGTAGAAGTGAGAGTTCTAAATTTTTGTCAAAGCGAGTTTTGAATCTTGCAATATTTGTACGAATATTTGCCCATCCTTTGTTTTCAGGTACAGTGCATTTGATGTGGTACGGTGCTCATGAAAATGTGTCAATTTTAAGAGTGCATATCTTATTTTTTCTGCAGGAGTATCTTGGCAGCTATGGGGCTGAAGCTGGCACAGGCCGGTTGACTTACAGAGAAGGTATACTTGTGGAAGCCATGCGCCAAGGTCACTGGATCATCTTGGATGAGCTGAATTTGGCATGCTCAGAAATTCTGGAGGCTCTGAACCGGGTCAGTGCATGGTGGAAGAATTTTTGTCTTAGCTATTAGATGACATAAACTTTACGTAATTGTGTGCCATGTATGCAGGCTAATGCTAAACCACCTGCAGAGCTTGCAGTATAACTTGAGCTCATAAAAAAATTGCGAATGTAATGTTAACCTTATAGACAAGCTGTGTGTGTGTGTCATGTGATATAGATTATGCTGTGTGTGTCTTGCTAGAAAAAAAAAAGGCAATGGAATATATGGCTTTACTGTTCAGAAACATCATTTCTTTATGTATGTGCAATTTCACTTGAAGAGCTCCTAAGTGAATCAGTAGTCTGAAAAAAATGAATAGGAGGAAGTATGTTATTGCCTTTTACTCTGCTTATTACTAGGACGGCTGCCTATTAAGGCGAAATAAAAAGCTTGTCGTAGAAACTGCAGTCTCAGTGGCATTGGTTCGAGAGTTAAAAATTATCATTTCCCATGAGAGAGAAATCCTGATGGATCCCAAGGTGTTTTGTATAGCAGTTTTTTTGCTATTCTTCCTCATAGCCATGCCAGTGCTTGAATAGCTTTGGCAGAAGAGCCTTTACAGTTATAATTATAACTTAGAAACTTAGAGGATACGTAGACTTCGCATAGTTAAAACAGTGCAAAGACAAGCAAACAAACAAACAAAAAACGGCAACATGCCTTCCACATAACCAGTCGGTTGTCCTCTGTGATCTGGCCTGTTCGCGGGAAACTATAGCACGAGAACTCATACCCATTAGTCACATCTTGACAGCATATTAAATGAAAAATTCCTGAACATGGAGTGTCGCTGCAAAAGCCAGCATTTCAAATAGCAGACTTATCTTCAAGGCTGCCTTGAAGAAGAGCATCCCTCCCCTTTATTCTCGGATTGACCTTGCCACCTTCATAGCAGTTTATTTCATACCAGTTTTATTTTTAAAGGACTTATTCAAAATACTATTAGAAAAACGGGGAGTAAGTACTCAACCCAGAGTCCATGCAAGTCAAGGGAGAATGCTATTTGGGGCTCATGCCTCTAAAAACAATGGAACATCATCCGTTGTGAGTTGTGGTGACTACTGAATGCAGGCAATTTCAAACAGTATGTTCTCATTTGCAACGAGTTTTCTCCATCTTCCTTCATTGTTAGACTACTAGTTTTCTGGTGAGGTCTTTCTAATTTTTTTTCTTTTTGGAATGGCCTTATCATACCTGTCATTCGCAGAAATTGTATGTGCATGCTTGCTTTGTCACTGATGCTTCACTTCAACGCAAATATTTTGCAGTGCAGTGAAGCCAAAGAATGGCACTCTTTCGTGCTAAGACTTTGATTTGATTGCTGATCTCTGGATGTTGGCCTTGTCTCCTGGCTTACATTGCAGCAGCATTTCTAGTCGGCACACTAAGAAAAATATTCGCCAAAAAGTTAGACATGTTCTAATCCAAGTGGTCCTAAATTCTGTTTTGTCTGCGCCAAAACACACTTCCCCCTGCTGATATGCCCGGGGAGGGGTTGAGGCTGCCACCCAGGATCCGGCGAAGGACGACTCTTGCGACGCGTCTCACGAACAAGTAGAAGATGCGTTTAATTTACATACTTGCAAGAGAAGTACATTGCAACGAGAGCGTACAGACGTGCCTTTCCATCACAAGGGCCCAGAGCTCACTCGAGACGAGCGAGCCAGCGAAGTCCAGAGAGAGAGAGCCCCGACCGCACACGTGACGCGCTTTTTATACCCCTCGTCCGTGCACGTGCATCTTCTCAGACGCAGGCTGTGTGTCCCAGCGACGCTGATGTGCGTTTCCTGCGGCGCACACAGACGCCTCCTGCGTTCCTGCAGGACGCGGACAGTGTTTGACCGTTACGCCGATGAGCGTCCCTTGCAAGCCACCTCCTTGCTGTGCCGGTCAAACAGCCCGTCCGCCGCCCGAAGAGGTCACGGAAGGGCTGCAGTGGTGCTGCTCCCTGAAGTGGCCGTTGTGCTTCTTCTCGGGTGTTTCACTGATTGTCAACCACTACCCATACACACACACCACACAGCACAGCACACCTTTGCATAGCACAGCACAAAGCAGATCGCCCAACAAGCGCATTTCGGCGTCGCCACGATCCACCGCACACCCACACCTTGGAATGGCAACCCCACTTGGCGCGCTACGCCCACTTGGTCACAGCATGGGACCGTCAACATTTGCAGAGTCCCAGTCGCCGTTGCCTGGTTTCACCATAGTCGGTCGTGTCACACGGCGCTAAATGAAGGTTGCCGTCCTCAGAGGCTGTTTTTTTTTTTCTGGGCCAGTAGCTGCCCGACTTTAGTGGGGGAGGGTGCACACAAACAGAACACTGACACTGCGAGCACTCAGCCCTCCTAAGATTCGCCAGGTTCAAGTTAGGGCGAAGCTCCTTTCATTGTTTATTGCCGAACAGAAGACTACACTGAGGTGGTGACCAAGTGAACTCGAAGAAAAACTAATTTCAGGCAGTCGGCAGACTGATGCGGGCCACTGCTTCCGCATATCAACTTAACTGAAAACGCTTACAATGCTTACAAATACGAGAAGTGAAATCTGTAGCTAAACAAACTAACCGTGGAGATGACACAGGCATACTACTGTAAAATCAAAATTAAACAAACATGCATGCTTCTAATAAAACCACTGTGTCCGACTCTCCAGCTTACAGCTGTCCCTCACTTCAATCGTACACGTGGCGGTCGAGGTCTTGGCGGATTTCAAGAATGCCCGAGGCAACGACGCGCACGTGCTTCCAGCTGAACGGCACAGTCACGCCTCATTCGCGATTTCGGCGGGCTTCGGTCAGCCCGGCGGAGGGGATTCGAGCAACGCGTGGGAAAGGGTGGCGATGTCCTCTTTGGGCTCACTCCCGTGTGGTGTTTAGCTATTGTGGCCTTTTTCTCAGGACCCCTTCGACACTCTTGTCCGCGGAAAGCTCTAAACCTCTGCCGCGAATTCGGTCGCAAGGATGCGCGCTGTGGCCTGCCCTTTTTCCGCTGGCGCCTTCCACTTGATTGCATTTGCGAAGAACCCGCTGTTCTTTTACTTGTTGTCCGCTGGCTCGGACTCATGCAGGGCAACTTTGACGCCGATGCGAAACGCCTAATTTTGCCTGCTACGCTCAAATTTTGCGAGCTTTCTTCAACACGCGTAGTGCCTTTTGTCTCGCTCGCGGCTCTTCGACGTCTCTTGCGTCTGCGCCGCTTCTTGCGTCTCGTTTCCGAGCCTCCTGATTGCATCTCTAGCTCGTCAGCCCTCATACACCTTGCGTCAGCTGTCTCAGTCGCGCGGTCTAAATTATTTTCGACCAAATTATCTTTATTCTCACCCTCTAGACCGGCGGACTCGTTAACACACTGAGGAACAATGCAGTTGCTTCCCTTCGAAAAATCTTGCTCGCATTCCTGAGAGCTGTTTGCAACTACACTTACGGATGGCTGAATTTTCCGTCTCATTGCCTCGTTTTTCTGTTCCAGATCACTAGCGCCTTTTGCCTCTGCAATCTTATGCTAAAGCCGCAAGCGCTCAAGCTCCCTTTCTTGGCTTTCCGCTTCTTCTTTGCGCCTGACGGTTTCTCTTTCAAACATAAGGCGCTCTTGCTCTTCGACTTCTTGTGCCCTTTTCATCATCTCCTGAATTAGCTCCCAGCACTCGGCGAGCTCCTCCGAATCCGCGCCAGAATCCTTAACCGCCTGTATTAAAAGTGGCTTTCTATGTATAGTCGCCACCTCAATCCCCAGCTCCTGGCACAACAGCACTAAATCCGGTTTCCTCAATTTGTTCAAGTCCATGGTCACCCAGTGCAGACTTCCGTTGCTCAAACTGCCGTGAAGGTACCTCTAATAAACCCAATCCTTCACAAAGCAGCAACTAATCTACTCTTTTGGATAAACATCACCATCTATCCAAAACACCTGGCAGAATTTCTACGGAAAGTGAGCACTCACCAGCATCGGTACCAGGAAAGAACACGAACCGATCCCACCGCTGCCAACCAGTTGATATGCCCGGGGAGGGGTTGAGGCTGCCACCCAGGATCCGGCGAAGGACGACTCTTGCGACGCGTCTCACGAACAAGTAGAAGATGCGTTTAATTTACATATTTGCAAGAGAAGTACATTGCAACGAGAGCGTACAGACGCGCCTTTCCATCACAAGGGCCCAGAGCGCACTCGAGACGAGCGGGCCAGCGAAGTCCAGAGAGAGAGAGCCCCGACCGCACACGCGACGCGCTTTTTATACCCCTCGTCCGTGCACGTGCATCTTCTCAGACGCAGGCTGTGTGTCCCAGCGATGCTGATGTGCATTTCCTGCGGCGCACACAGATGCCTCCCGCGTTCCTGCAGGACGCGGACAGCGTATGACCGTTACGCCGATGAGCGTCCCTTGCAAGCCACCTCCTTGCTGTGCCGGTCGTAACACTGCTCGAAATCTACTCTAGAACAGACTTTTTCTTCACCGAAAATTGCTCCTAATCCTAGCTGGCTGGATCACCATTGACTTTTTTCTAAGGTGCCAGAGACTTGGCATGCCAAGTTTGGTTAGGTTTTGTTAAGTTAATGTGGCTAAAAATACGAAAATATTCTCTGAAATCCTAAATGTCACACTAATAATGAGAACAACCATACAATGATGCCAAGAAAAGTACAGGCAATGGTATTACAAGTAACTGTAATGTAAATGTGAATAAAGAAAAGCAGACGAAAAGATAACCTGCTGCCGGCAGGCTGTGACCTTCAAGTAGCGCATCGAATGCTCTACCGCTGTGCTCCGCTGGCGGACATCTTCCCCGGTCTACTTTATAGGTTATATAGTCGTGCATTAAACGTTGGAGTGTCAATAAGCGCCGCTTGTTGCCTTTGCAGCGAGTATGGACACTCTTTTTGCCTGTTGGAGTCATGTAGCATGTGATTTAATGATCTGGCTGCTGACCAATAATCTCTTGCATACTGCCTGAAGGCATCGAATCTGCCTGAACACGACACTTGCTATGAATGAATAAGCGTAAATTTAAGGAGTGTTCCCTTAAATATACACTTCTTTTGTTCATAGATGTCACACTGACATTCATGTGCAAAAATTTCGGTGTGAAGTTAAAAAATGAAACATTTTGCCTTCATTTTCTCCTTCAATAATGAACTCATATTCACTGAATCAATGGCAGTCAAGAATAGTTTATCAGTCTAAACTGGTTCATTGTTCCATTAAGTGTCCCTTTAAGACACTGTTGCTGCAAATCATTGTTTATGGTGTTGGGGTATCTTCATCTTTTCACAGGTGCTGGATGATAACCGAGAGTTGTTCGTTCCTGAAACGCAAGAAGTTATTCGTGCCCACCCAGCATTTCATGCTGTTTGCAACCCAGAATCCACCTGGTCGCTATGGTGGTAGAAAGGTGAGTGTATAAATGTATAATTCTCAGCGGTACAACAGCCATGAATTTTGCTGAAATTACGCCATGCTGTGCCAAAATGCCCGACCAGCCTCAAAATCTTCTCAGTTTCGCTAATTTTAGCGAGAAATGGAGGCCAAGTTGTCTACCTTCCAGTTTGCCTCCTCAATCAATCCAAACGCGTAGACCCCTAACCCTAAACCATGGTGTTAGATACCGTATTTACTCACGTAATTACCGCACTCCCATAATAAGCACACGCTCGACTTCAGTCATCAAAATTTCAATGTTTTTTTACCCCGCGTAATAAACGCGTCTTTATATTCATCCGCTGCAGTCCCTGCTAACTGGCACCTGGTGCCTCTTCACCCATTGTATCTCTTCCATTTTTTTTTTACTTTGCCGACCCCCCTCAACCACCTCGGCTCCCCCCCCCTTCGCCTGTTGCCGCGTGACTATTGCTTTTCTTAATATCCGCGCGCGGCACATCCCCTGTCTTATCTATGCGGCACAGCGAGGGTTCACGAGCGGTGCGAGTGTAGAGACATCGCAGCTAATAAGCACACAGCGAGCGAAAGTCACCAAACTGCTTGCGCCAACCGACGTTGGTCGCTTGCTGCGACCCCCCTCCTTTCTTTTTCAACCTCTCTTTTTCATCACTATAACTGTCCCTTCATTCCCTGTTCCCCCTTGAGTGCACGCTTTTGGGCGTCCCTCGAGATCACAAGCAGATACCACTGTTGCGGTTGAACGATTGCGAGAAAAGATAGTCGCAAAGCGTTTTTATGGCGTGCGCAGGCGGCGGCTCAGGTTCAGCTTGCAGAAGATAGCACAATCAACCACCGAAAATGAGTAAAGTGCAACAAAGAAGCTGTTTTCAAACAGTGTACGTATATCTAAAATGCAAAAGACTAAGCGACCTAACTTTTTTTTTTGCATTACCACATTTTTTTCTTTCTCCTGAAAAAGTTTTCATAAAATTTACCGCGCGTAATAAACGCACCCCCCAACTTTGCTCCTGATTTTTCGAGAAAAAAAGTGCGTTCATTACGCGAGTAAATACGGTATATATTTCCATTAGGTCAGGGCACTCGCGAGATGCAAACGACCAGATAAAGTAACAAAGCCGTGCACCCGTCGGGCTGCTGACCACAGCAGATACCTATCGGTGGGATAGCACAACCTCAAGACAGAAATGCGTTGCCGTAGCCGCCAACGCCTCCCAAGAAATATGAACTTCCTAGACAGCAAACGTGGCTATGGTATGTTAGCAACCAGAGCTGGAAGCGCATACCGTTTTTTCCGAGCGCAAACTGAGTCGACGTTCTGCGAATGCCGGCGTCTTGGTAACGCCATTGGTCAACATAACGGTACATAGAAAAATTTCCCTGTCTTGAAGTTGCGAGTTGAGTTAGTTCCGTCGTCCTGGCAATAGATATCCGGTGCTGTCGCTGTACCAATGGGCACGCGCCGTCGTTACTTTATCTGGTGGAACGCCCCTTGCAAGTGAGCCGAGTAGTTGTACCTTAAACCTAACTTCATCGAAAAAAGGGGGGGGGGGGGGGTGGCGTAGCGGCGTTAGAAAATTTATTGGCCTTGTTCTAACTCGTACTGAACCCTGCTCAAGCCACCTTTGCCGCAGTACACCAGTACACTGCAGAAAAAGCATGTTATGATTTGAAGGGGCTGTTTGCAGTGCTCACGAGACGTAGCACATTTTGTTCAATTACTCATGCATGTGTACGCCGCATATTTGTGAGCCCTAGTATGATCGCCGACGTCCTGAAAAAGTTACTGACAGTCGTTTGGAGCAGTGTATGACATTTCTGCCACCCTAAACAAGAGAAAAAAAAAAGAACACCTGTAGTGCAATGTTTTTTTTTTGCCACCCCTACTTCTCAGTTTCAGGAGTCCCCCGAATTTCAAGTTCGCCAACTTGGCAGATCTATATGTGAATGCACAAAGTCTGTCAAAGGATTTGACAGACGCGGCAAATGATAATGTGGGCATTATCATTGTTTGCTCAGTGGTGTGGTTCAAAATACTCCCGTAAGATTTCAACCCCACCTGTATAAGCGTGAAGTATCGAGGCTGGAATATTTCAGCTGCCGCTATAGTATACCTAGTGGCTCTTCAAGGGCTGTCATTTTCGCAGCTTTGTGGCTAAATATGGACCGGGTATCCGTATACTGCACCCAGGGTTTTAGAAGTAACCGGACCGGTTCTAACCACTGCTTCCAATTATCTGCTCAAACTGACATTAAAAAATACGGGACCGCTGAAATACTTTGAATTAAGTGGGATTTTGAAATAATCGAGTTCAAAATAATTAAGTTCTTCTATGTAAACAAAACGGTGATCTCTACATGGCTCTGTCATTGTTATTTCATACTAAACCTGTGTTAGTGCCTCATTTCTTGACCTTTGACTAGCTGCTGCCAGTAGCATTAATGCTGGAGGTAAACATTTAATGATACATATTTTTATCGCTTTGCCTTATGAGTGTTCTACTGTTGAACATGATTTTTGCTTGATTTCTACTAGTGTCAACAGCATTCTGATACGTATGCTATACAAAAATGCTTTTGTGCTTTGTTTTAGGCTGACAATGATGACAGTGAAATGGTCGAAATTGATATTTAGCCATCCACTGCAGTATCTGTCAGAGCATATTGTGCAGTTTCGTGACATGGAGAGCCATAGTACAGATTTCCTTCTTTAAAAATGGGCAGCCGTGATAAATCTAGCAAAATGCTGAAATAAACAAGTTTCTATGGGTATATTCTGATGATCTGTAGGTGCTGTCACGTGCCTTTCGCAACCGGTTTCTTGAGCTGCACTTTGAGGAGCTGCCACCGGAGGAACTAGAAGAAATCTTACAGAAGCGGTGCTCTTTGCCCCGCTCACTCAGTGTCAAGATGGTGTCTGTGATGACAGAGCTTCAGCTGCGTCGTCGTGAGACTGGTGTCTTTGCTGGTCGCCATGGTTACATGACTCTCCGCGACCTGTTTCGCTGGGCTGAACGCTACCGCCGGACTCCTGACCCAGGTGGCTTTTTTGACTGGGACCAGTTTTTGGCCAATGAAGGTACCAGCCTTAATTTTTATCCATTGACGCATTTTTTCAAGAAGTGTTCAACTACCGTATTTACTCGTATACTCGTCACACTTTCTTTTCGCGGAAACCTAGTGAAAAGTCAGGGAGTGTGAGAATTACCAGGGAAATATTTTCCACAAAAATGTGCAGAGCGCCAAAAAGAAGAGAAATAAAGCGGCTGCAAGTCGGGGTTATCACACGTGCAACTAACTGCAAGCGTTGAGAAGTACTAATCAAGACTTACCAAAACAATAAAACGACAGGTTCACCACAAAGCAAGTTTTACCATATTTACTCGCGTAATCCTCGCACTCGCATAATTCTCGCACCCCCTACATCGCCCAAGAAAAACAAGATTTTTTTTCCTCGAGTAATTATCGCACCCCCGAAAACTGCCGCAATAAAGTCGTCTGCTCGTTCCAGCCACTGATGATGATAGCGCACGCCATCTGGCACCATCTCTTAAGTATCAAGCGTACTATTCCACGGAGATTCAATCCAATCCAAGCCAAGCCGAAGTGGCCAGTGCGCGTTGCGGCGTGTTTTGTTTGTTGTGTCGGTAAACTTGGCACGTTATGAGGCGATACTGAAGCTACACAGCTGCTTCAAGTTGCAAGTCATGGATCATGCACCAAACAATGGCAAGCAGGGCCACCGGTAGGCCCTTCAGAGCCTACGAGTTTTGTGTTCGCTACTGGTGACGGCAGCTGAAAGCCACCAAGACGCGTTGGGTCTGCCGTGTGCCTAAAACTGAGATTGATCGTAAACTTTATTTCTTCAGAAGGAAACTGCGGACGATTCTGTTAAATAGCCATCAGCCCAATACTGACGTCCTACGCTTACCTTTTGAGGGCTTCTGTTCAGCGACGAACGCTACCGCTACGCCTGCACTGCCCACAGGCTTTGCGTGTGGTATTCTAATTCTCGACTATTTGTTTCCATTTTTTTGTGTCTCAAATAAATCTTGTCTTGTGTTGAACCTCTGCTTTTATTGTTGAGGTAAGTTCTAATTAGTACTTCTTAAAGCTTGCTGTAAGTTGCTGGTGTGAGAATCCCGATTTGCGGCCACTTTGTTGTCTTTTTCGCTCTGTACGTTTCCGTGGAAAGTTTTCCCCGCGTAATTCTCGCACCCCCCAACTTTGCATCGGTTTTCCGGCAAAAAAAGTGTGAGGATTATGCGAGTAAATGCGGTATCTGCAGACACTAAAGCCACTAGCAATTAGTGTCTAAAGAGTCTTCGCGCGGAGACTGTTGACATAATCAAGAAGTGCCGCTTCAACCTGCGGTTAGTATTTTTATGTCTTTTAAGCTCACAGGAAGCTCTGCGTGTCTTGTTGGTGGCTTTCAGCTGCTCGTGCTGCTGTTGCTAGGTGCGACTACAAAACTCGTCTATTCTGAAGTGTCTGCCGATAACACTGTTGCTGTTGTTTGGTGCGATCACTTTCAACTTGAAAGCAGCTATGTAGCTTTTGTATCAACCCATATAACCACAGAACGGACACAATGTGTGCTATATGTGCTAACACAGTGCTAACATGCTGCATCACGCAACATGTATTTGCCACTTGTGGCTTGGATTGTATTGGGGCTCCATGTGTTGACAGTACGCATAGTGCTAGTCTATCGTGCACTGTCATCATCAGTGCTTGAAAGAAGTAGACGGCATTACTGCTGCAATTTTCAGGGTTGTGATGATTCCTCGCAGAAAAAGAAATCTAAATTTTGTTTCGCCGACCAGCAATGGGCCAGTCCAGCAGGCTCACGAAGCGGCCGCCAGGTACCGTAATTACTCGAAGTCTAACGTGCACCTTTTTTCCGGTTAAGCGAGTTCATTAAATTGCATGCGCGTTAGAATCGAGTACGTTAAAAAAAATGAATACGGTCATTCTATTGCCATCGGCATTCCGAAATGGCTGCCCCCTACGTGCGTCGGCTATTTCTGCCTATGTGTTTCCCATGTGCGGCACTTCGTACGTGTGCTGAGGAGTTCGTCATCTTGGTGTGTCATTAGCATCGACGGCATGGAAGGGCCGACTCCAAAAACTCGACAAGTGCACCACGGTGCCACTTTAAAAAAAAAGGTCATCGCGTGTGCCGAAACGGACGTAAATAGGGCTGCATCGCGGTCGTTCGGAGTTCCCGAAACGTGCGTGCGGGACTGGCGGAACAAAAGCGGAAGATTGTCGACAGCAAAGCTTCACGCAAAGGCTTCAGTGGACCACAGCAAGGTTGGTTTCCGCAAATTTAAGAGCTGCTCGGCGAGTATGTGCTTGAGCGGCACGGCGGCCCGTGATGGCAGAACTGCTCCAAGTGCTGGAGCTATGCAATTAGCCTTAGAAAAAGCTGTAATGCTTAGCCAGTTTAAAGCAGCAGGTGCTAACTAACTAACTTTATGAAGAGGAAAGGCTTTTCCCTCCGAAGGGGAACGGGCATATGCGAAAAGTTTTGCGGAGGAGTACGATGAAAAGCTTCACAGTTTTCAGAGGTTCGTCCTAAAGTTGCGGCAGAACAACGGCTACCTGCTTGGGCAAATCGGGAATGCCGATCAGACGCCTCTTTACTTCGACATGCCTGGCACTACAACTGTCGAGAAGAAGGGGGTGAAGCAAGTTCGCGTGCTACATCGGTCCACGGTAAAACTACAGTGACGGCAATGCTCTGTTACACGTCAGATGGGCACAAGCTTCGCCGTACCTCATATTTAAATGGAAGGCGCTCCCGAAAGGAGTCGTTTTTTCGAGTGGTGTGATTGTGCGGGCCAGCGAGAAAAATAGGTGCGCGTTGCAATTGATGTCTTACGTTTTTTTTTTTTTTTTTTCGTCGTGGAAATCGGGTGCGCGTTACAATCGAGGGCGCGGTAGAATTGAGTAAATACGGTACTTCCTGTCGGTCTCTACGTGGGAGACGCTTGCTATGCACTAAGCGCGTTCTGCAGGACTGAAATAAAGTTTTTTTATTCCATTCTATTAGGCATTGTGGGGGGTACGAGAATTATGCAAACATAAGTATTACGCAAGTAAATGCGGTAGTATAACTCGGATACAACTTAAGATGGCACGAGACCTTCTGCCCAGATGGCTGACGTGTGGCAGCTATTGATCTCCATTACTGAAGACATGGTCCCACGTACTCAGTGATGTTCTCTGATGGCGAGGTCATGAACCACATGGCTTATGATGCCACCTAGAGCGTGCACAGAATTGATGCATTGAAAAATAGATGCACTCTAAAGACGTTAGGCAATCTTGCCTAGCCTTGTGGTCTCTATTGCCGTTGTCTTCACAAGTTTTACACCAAAGAATCCACGAGATGAACATAGGCAATTGACAAAGTACAGACATTTGACAGTCAACGGCCATTTCCAACACAGATCATGTGATCATGATCACAATGGTGCCGAGATGTGTACATAATTTATTATTCTTGTGCATTGAATCAGCAAGAGTCATGTTCTAACATGAAACCCTTTTGCAGCCCTCTTCAATATGAGTTTCCTTTGTGTAGACCTGAATACAATTTTTTGGCAAATACTTACGTGTATGCTTACACACAGATAATGGTATAAGGAGGGTATTTTTTCTTTCACGTCTGACGTGACTTAGTTGTCACAAGGCTCAACTGTAATAAAATTTTGCTAATGTTGTGGCAATGGCACTGTTGAACCAGATTTCTGTAATTTCACCCTAAAGTCATACTCAATGACCCCTATACCCCCAAAGCTTTGTTGTAATCCAGCACTACTTCTCTTTCACTGTGTGCGAAATCTACTGTTCAGAAACCACTTTGCAAGCTTCATTGTGAAATTTAAATGTTGTTGCCTTTTGTTAGGATACGCCCTGTTGGCTGGACGAGTTCGCCGACCCCAGGAGGCACAGCTTGTGGCAGAGGTTCTCTGCAAGAAGTTCAAGCGTCAAGTGGACCCAGGAAAGCTGTTCTCTGGTGTGCCATGCACAGTTGCTCCTAAGGGATTTGAGCATCTTGTGTGGACTGCTGATGCTCGACGCATGGCGTACCTTGCTGCAGAGAGCACTTCAGTTTGATGAACCTGTGCTGCTAGTAGGAGACACCGGGTGAGAAGCTGGATGTTCATCATCCTTGGCATCTCAATTAATGTTGATTGTTGTACTGTTTCCGCGAGATATTGAGCCTTTGTGTTTGTGTGGGAGGAAGGTAAAAGAAAGTAAAAAAAATGTATGTGTTGAGGTTCACTGTTGTTTTCAACAATGAATGTTTAATGCCCGGTTGAAGTTCTTGTGGAAATGAAAGGTAAGCACTAGAGGTGGTGTGAATAGCGAATTTTGGAACCAAATCGAATACGAATCGAATGTGAATAGTAATCGAATACTGTTCAAATAGTTTTTGAACATTAAATAGACCATTTTCAGAACAGTCCTAGAACACCTGCAAAATTTATTTGAAACAAATATTCTCGAACTTTTACCAAGAAATGTTAGTTAGTTTTCATGGACTCAAAATTCCACAATTGTGTAAACTAACATTAGCTTGTATACAGCAGGGACTATAGCTTTTGTAATATTTTGTAAATGTAGGTTCAAATGCAGCATTCACTGAGCGTCTCAAGACCCATTCGTCTCGAACTACCAGTACTTCTGAAATTTAAACGACCGATTCATGTTTCTCTTGCATAACCTATCCCATCTTAACTATCTGTGCTACGGAAAAAATAATCCTGCAGTGCTGTTATGTACAGTTGACTCCTCTTAAACGGAACTCGAAGGGGGCACATAAAACTGTTCCATTTATCAGAAATATCACTTAAGCAAAGTACATTAAAACCTTGTTAATTCCAACTCGGTTATATCGAAATTCCGGTTAATTCGAAGGATTTCTGCGGTCCCGTATTTTCCAATGTAAGTTAGAGGGGATAATTTGAAGCGGCGGCAGCTGGCACCAGTCCGGTTAATTCGAAAAATTTGGCTGCCATGTGCCAGTTCCAGATACCGATTTCGCCGCGAATTGTGGAACGACGGCTATTAATAGCCACAAGGCAATGCAATGTATCGATACCAACGAGTGGCAGTCGAAACACCCCAGCCTTGCTACTTCCAGCGCAAAAAAGAAAAAGATGAAAAAAAAAAAAAACAGTCTCTTGGTCATTCAAAACGTGTGCCTGTGGAAAAACGAGCTGTGCTTCACTGCAACACAGGAGTGACACGCGGGCAGCTTATCGCATGTTTCTCGCAACGTCAGCGGGTCATGGTTTACCCATTCTTTCTGGGATTGTAAAGAAATTAATAAAGGACAGTTCAGCAGAAATCGCGATGTATGCGAACCTCTGATTGCCGGTTGCTCCAGCAATTCGTGTCTTTGCACTGCTTGCAGAGTTCTTGCCAGCAACACCTACTTCGAAAGTTTCAAAGATCATTTTTTCTAGCCAAAACACATCGTGAGTTTCGTCATACTGGCCATTAATAAATCCATAATTATAATAGAAAGAATGTGCGAATGGTCGCATCATGACGTGCTGACGAAGCGAGGAGCAGGCAATATGCTGCCCGCATCTCACTACTGTGTTGCAGTGAAGATGTCTTCTGCAGACGCACATTTTAGTTGATCACGACCGCGTTTTTCCTTTTCTTTTCTGGTAGCAGCGAGCCTCAACATTTCTTTATGTTCATGGCAAAATAAAGACCAGGTATTGCTGGAAAACATAACCTTTGGAGCCACAAGCTAGCTGGCACAGCAAGTGATGAGCACTGATTGAATAGTTTTAAGTTCCTTGCATCTCATTCCTTACGTGTTCTTTTAATTCGAAAACCAACTTAATTCAAAGCTTTCTCGCGGCCCCAGTGACTCTGAATTAACGAGATTTTACTGTAGTTCTCAACGAAACACCATAGATACAGCTGAAGATGAAATGAAGCAGATCAACCTGTCATCACAACATAGCTTGCACACTGAAAGCATTGAACAATCAGCATTTAATTCTCCACTTGCATGAACAATTTGCCCAAATGCAACTCTTGCATCTGTTATTAGTCATAAAGCTGCAAGCAGCCCTAGTCCCCACCTTCAGTGATTGCAAGGTGAAGATAGGAGCTGAATAACGTGATACAGCTCCAGCCAATGCCATCTGTAATTTAAAAGAGGAAGGACAAGCACTTGTATTAGGGCCTCCAAACTGGCCATGCAGTGTGCATGGTGTGCATGCGATTGCCTTAACATCTGTGGCTTCTGAGCGTGGCAGCTCTTCTTATTCGTATCTGCAGGGCAATTGTGGTGTGAAAATTGGTTCGCAACCACCGTACTCTAGCACATTGTAGTCTAAAAAAGGTCCTTGGGTATAAACACAGACTAATTCATATCGACCCGAAATTCATACGAGCTGTGATCTTTCATACTCTGTGTTTCTTTCATACCTCTGTGTTCCTTCCTTGAGCCTTCCTCTGATCTTACTATGTAGCTAAATGGGCACAAATTACAAGATATAGTATAAGAATTATAAAGACACACTGTATGGTTGGCAAACTTGTCATTATGTGTGCAGGGTTATTAAACATTGTCAGTGGCTGTAAATAATAGGGGACAGTCATTGAAATGTAAGGGCTTTTATTATACGTCAGTGGCCATTGTTAACACTGGTGGACCTTCAAACGACCATGTGTAAACTGCCGCTGCTCATGTGCCTCATTAGCTCTCTCGAACCTTCATCTCACGTGCTTGTTGATAGGTGTGGAAAAACGACAGTCTGTCAACTCCTTGCCTTGCTGGGAGGCCAAAAGCTTCGTACTGTAAGCTGTCACCTACACTCCGAGGCAGGCGACCTGCTCGGAAGCTTGCGTCCAGGGAGGGAGCCTGGGGGTCCCCTTTTCCAGTGGGTGGACGGCCCCTTGGTGGAAGCAATGCTTGATGGTGAACCTTTTCTGATTGATGAGATCTCCCTCGCCGAAGATGCTGTGCTCGAACGTCTGAACAGTCTGCTGGAGCCCGAGCGCACTCTGCTCCTACCAGACTGTGGGCGGGAGCTGGTGGCCAGTTCAGGGTTTCGTCTCCTGGCAACCATGAACCCTGGGGGTGATTTCGGCAAACGAGAGGTGAGATGCCACTAGGGGCAAATATGGAAGACTTCTTGTTCTGGATTGCTAGTGGAAATGAACAGTAGGCTTGTGCGAATAGTTAACTTTAGGTTAGAAGCGAATTCGAAGCAAATATGTTGTGATTTTTGTTGAATATTTTTTGATAAAATTCGAGTGGTTTATGTCAAATATATATGTATAAAAAAAGAATATTTTTCATGATCTAGCTAATGTGCACAATATTTTTAATAATTGAAGCAAGGCCTCTGCATAGGTAATTTTTCTTCAGTTGTAATGAAGTGAGCTAATGTACACAATATTTTAATAATTGAAGTAAGGCCTGTGCATATGTCATTTTTTTTCAGTTCAAAGGAAGTGAAAACAGCTTTGAGTAGTAGTAGGATCTGACTTCTGGTAGAATGCAAGTCTTCGCATTCTTTGCTTTGTTGCGGGACTATGTCTTTTGTACATGGTTACATGTGCTTGCACAGTCTATTTGCTGTTCCAAGCATGTAGTGGTCCCCACTTTATGTTTTAAAATCAAAAGTAAGCCGATATTCTAAATGAAGATTAACCTTGGAATGAAGCAGTGTGCTTGGGTAACTATGTAACTTCTCATTCTTGAATTTATACAAAAGTGTGAATTATGGCAATGATATGAGCAAAGAGTGTGTGCAACTGCTGCTTGCACATGGGCACAAGTGAGAACACGGGGCACTGAGTAGGGCCACAAAAGTTTCGAATCACCGCACCGAACTGAACACTACGTAAAGCAGTATAGGTCAGGCAAATGCACGGTGCCTTTTTTGGTTTTGCAGACCATTTTAGTTCATTATAACTACTGACAGGGCAACTTACTTTGTTAAAAAAAATGTTTGATAATGCATGTATCTCTATGCAGGTTTCTGTGGGAAATTTATTTACCTTGATATATCCATTATATTTTTGTATCCTCTTTCCTTGTTACAATGCTCAAGTATGTATCTCCTGGTATGACACGCCTATAGTTACAACATTTTCAGCACTACATCTTGCATAGAACAGCAGTAGACATGCTTAGCATGATTACTTGGTGAGTTTACTATGTCACGATTAATGGTGTTGTACCATTGCCTGCAGCTTTCACCAGCATTGCGGAACCGCTTCACAGAAATCTGGTGTCCTGGTGTGGCATCGTCAGCCGACTTGGCAGCCATTGCAGACCACAACTTGAGCCCCTCAGTGCACCTTGGTTCTCTGACTTTAGGGGCTGCTATAGCAGAATTTTTGGACTGGCTGCGCTCTGATGATTTAGGGCGACGTTGCGTAGCCACAGCTCGTGACATATTGGCTTGGACGGAGCTCATCAAGCGCACAATGGGCCGCCTAAGCCCTGCAGCAGCCTATGTTCATGGAGCTGTGATGACTTTTCTTGATGGCCTGGGAACAGGTATGCACTGGCAGTATAAGTGAATTTTAAGATCTTTGATCTAAGTTGTCCAGGTAATATGGGAATTCCATAATGTATTCCCATATCTACTGCACATTCGAAATTTTGAAGTATTCGAAGTGAACATACGCAACTTTTAACCACTGTAACTCTTTTGAAAAGAGGGTTTCACTGTAGTGTTAAGCTGCAGTGCTGTGAATCATTTTAACAGGAGAAATTCTCACTGCCATGAAGCCACACTTCAAGATTAAATGTACACTTATACATACCTGCCAAGTCTCCCAGATTGTTCGGGAGGTTCCCGGATTTCGAAAGTTTCTTCCGTTTGTACGGTTGCCATAATAATCTCTCAGAAATCGAAATTTCTGTGCGTGATGTGGCAGCATTGAAAAAAATACAAATCGATCCGCTCCTGGATTTTTCCAAATCCACCACATTTTATTATAAACGAGTTTAGGAGGCGTTCATCGCGGCAGATACGAATTCGTGAAGTTCTTCAGCCAAATTTCACTGTGTGCATTGGATTGAAATTTGAATGTTTCGAACACTTTTCGTAATCGCGGTGGGTGATATGAACTTCAGTACCAGAACAATCAAATCAAGGCTGACAGCAGTGTGCTCGAAGCTTCGGAAGTACGCGTGCTACCAGCACACGCAGTCTTCTACAGTGTGTGTCGTCGTAGCTGCCACAACTGCGCATGATACCGTGGTCGCGGCGATAGAATAGCGAGAGCTCCGAGGGCATGCGGCTCATACAGTGGTGGACCAAAGACTAAAGACTTAAAAAAAAAGGCGTTTGGAGTTCCTGTCAAAGTAATTTAGTTGTGAGCAAAGCTTTGACTTGCGCTTTCGATGCAGCCCCCGTCTGTTCACGTGTGTCTCGGGAAAACGTATGCAACTTGTTTTGACGAAAATAGATTTTGCTAGTTGTTTGTATGAAGCAAAAGTTCAGGAGTATTTGTGCTCTCACCTTAGTGAGAAACCCTACCCTCGTGTGTTTGGCCATTCCGAGCAATTATAAGACTGCAATCACAACGCTGATGTTTGCGCGTGCCATTGAGAGGGCCCCTCCCCCGCCCATTCTCTTCTTTTTAGCGATGCTTTTTTTTGTTGCCATGAAAAAAAATAGGGCAAATAATTCAGCGTGAACTCCCCCCCCCCCCCATGCAAAAATCTGGATTCAGGATCCTTGAACTTGGCAGATATGCTTATATACAATATATATAGTAAATTTTAAAACATGGCGTGCTTTACCAACTGCTACACCATATTACTATTCAAATGTTCCTACTGTTGATTGTTGTACTGTGGTTCGAATTAAAAAAAATGACATGCACACAAGCCTAGTTTTGATTCTCAAAAATATTCTGCGAGTAACTTGGGTCATAATGAAGTGCTCATTTTTCTTTATAATGTGTGATAAGTACTATTTGATTTGAAATACGTTTTACCAGATCACTGTTTGCTTTGAACTTATTTTGAACCTCATATTTAGTATTTGCCCAACTCCAGGGAAGACCTTTTACAGCCTTTGTGCAACAATAAGAGATAGCACCCTGTAAGAACTGTTGGTTTATACAAGCCACCAGGGCTTCGGCAGTCAATAAATGGATGTAGTTTCCTTTTTCCTGCATTTTGATAATGCGTCTGATACGTTTTCCAAGCAAAATTTCTACTTATTGTTTTCTTGCTGTTTACTTTTTGCTCATAATTACTTGTAGATTAGCTTGCAGTTTGTCACCAATGGTCCCATTTTCACACCCACTTTCTTTGTTTTGTATTACTCTTTAATGATAAGAGTTGGCTTTCTCAAGCAAATCAGACAAAAGCATGCATGCAGTACTGCTCTCATCGTTGTCTTTGGTTATGTCTTAGCTTGTCACTGAACTGTCTCACTTGGTACTCGACAAGCTTTGATTGCCGTTCTTGGGTCAGCCATGCCCGTTTTACACCCACGCTTTTTTTTTTTACTTTTTTATCACGTTTGTGTGCTTTTAGGGGCTAAGCTCCTTAGGGCGTGGGCTGTGCGTCCCCTGTAGCCTGTATGTAGCCACCTCTAGTTTAGTTCTTGCAGTGTTCACTAGATGGCGGTACCGTCCCCTGTATGTAGCCACCTCTAGTTTAGTTCTTGCAGTGTTCACTAGATGGCGGTACTGTCTCCTGTATGTAGCCACCTCTCGTTTAGTTCTTGTAGTGTTTACTAGATGGTGGTACTTGTAGCTGATGATGAAAAGATGCAAGATGTTATAAACTAGAAAGCGGTACTTGTAGTTGATGAAAGGCGCGAGATCTTATAAAATAGGAATGATGTCACATATGGCGCGTGTCATTGGTTGAAGGCAATCGTTCGATTTAGTGCGGCGACGTACGCTAGGGGGAGCGTTGTAATAAAATCCGTTCGCTGTTGGCGCGCGCTCGGAGTCGCCGGATGGATAAGGCTGCACAGCGGAGAGCGCAAGGCGGCAGCAGCGCGCGCTCGCAGACAGAATCCCAATGTGCGAGCGCGCGAGGCAAGGGACATCGCAAGCCATCCATCGTCTAAGAACAAATAAAAGTTGATTTGTGTATGTACACACACAGCGTTTCTCACGTCTTTACATGATGATCGACTGGGCGAATTACACGGAAGATTCACAGTTTACCGATGAATCCCTCCGGAGCTTCGCCCATTCATCATCATTCACCCCGTGAATATGCCGTAATTTTTTGGTGACGCTTTTGATTATTTATGCTTATTTTCAGGCACTACAAGCAGTGAAGAAAGCAGCGCAGTGACTGTGTTGCGAAGGAAAGCTATGACCATGCTGGAAAGCCAGCTGAGGCAGCAGTTGTCTGCAATTCCTGATGATGCTCAGGAGGCTATCGAGGAGGCCAGGGTGACTGTATCTCAAGACGCCAGCGGCTTACACGTGGGCCCTTTTCATCTTTCTTCAGGCAAGTGGGCAAGCAGCCATGTTATGTGCAAAAGTTCAAAGCACATAGCGTAAAAACCGAATATACCGTAATTACTCGAATCTAACGCGCACCTTTTTTCCGGTTAAGCGAGTTCTTAAGTCGCATGTGCGTTAGAATCGAGTACGAACAAAAAAATTGCGGTCAATCTATTGCCATCGGCAAATCCAAAATGGCCACCCCCTACATGCGTCGGCATGGCGCGTCGGCCACATCTGCCTACGTGTTTCCCATGTGCGGCACTTCGTACGTGTGCTGAGGAGTTCGTAATCTAGTAGTGCATTAGCATCGACGGCGTGGAAGGGCCAACTCTAAAAACTCGAGCGCACCACGATGCCGCTTTTAAAAGAAAAGTTATCGCGTGTGCAGAAACGGACGGAAATCGGGCCGCATCGCGGTCGTTCGGAGTTCCCGAAACGTGCATGCGGGACCGGCGGAAACAAAAGCAGAAGATTGTCGACAGCAAAGCTTCACGCAAAGGCTTCAGTGGACCACAGCAGGGTCGGTTTCGGCAAATAAACAGCTGCTTGGCGAGTATGTGCTTGAGCAGCGAGCGGCACAGCGGCCCGTGACGACAGAACTGCTCCAAGTGCGGGCTATGCAATTAGTCTTAGAAAAAGGTCTAATGCGGAGCCAGTTTAAAGCGAGCAGGTGCTGGCTAACTAACTTTATGAAGAGGAAAGGCTTTTCCCTCCGAAGGGGAACATGCATATGCGAAAAGTTTTGCGGTGGAGTACGATGAAAAGCTTCACAGTTTTCAGAGGTTCGTCCTAAACTTGCGGCGCAACAACGGCTACCTGCTTGGGCAAATCGGGAATTCCGATCAGACGCCTCTTTACTTCGACATGCCCGGCACCACAACCGTCAAGAAGAAAGGGGCGAAGCAAGTTCGCGTGCTGACATCGGTCCACGGTAAAACTACAGGGACGGCAATGCTCTGTTACACGTCAGATGAGCACAAGCTTCGCCCGTACCTCATATTTAAATGGAAGACGCTCCCGAAAGGAGTCGTTTTTTTGAGTGGTGTGATCGTGCGGGCCAGCGAGAAAAATGGGTGCGCGTTGCAATCGATGTCCTATGTTTTTTTTTTTTTTTTCGTGGTGGAAATCGGGTGCGCGTTACAATCGAGGGCGCGGTAGAATCGAGTAAATACGGTACGTCGACCCCCCCCCCGAACTTTGAATCGCTGAAAAAGAAATCTTTAAAAATCGCAAAGTATCATGATGCACCCTTACCTTGGTAATCATACGGCACAACCAGCTGCACTGTGGTGACATTTCTTTTTATATGGACACTAATTTTTTTATAATTTTTTTATTTGAACATACTGCAGGCTTTTCACGGCCCATGCATGAATGGAGACAAGAAAATACATACTAAGCATCGAAAGAAACATCTTATATAGTTAAACGCCAAAGGCCACAAAGTGCTGTCACTCACACTTGTCCAAACTTGAGTCTGACAACGTCTGTTTTTGACTAGTAACATGCCATAGTGCATCGTCTTCCATTCCATCCAGTGCTTTACTGATGCAGCATTTGCAGAAAGACGGAAGTATGCTGCCTCAGCAAAGCCCTTCCGCTTTCATAAATTGGCGCACCCACGTTGGCAATCTCTTGAATTGCATCCTCGTGAGCCCGGAGTTGCGCGCTATCTCGAGAGCTTTCACGCAGATTCACTCTGCTGTTACGGGTAGCGACCTTGCACGCAGCTCCCGGACGAATTCGGCGAATAGCGTTTCCATTTCAGGGTTCACTGCAGTCCATCCATGGAACGTTGTTTTTTTTTTTGGTTGCTGCAGGATGTGATGTGCTGTTTTTAGCTCCTCCAGCAACGGACGCTTTTCTCCGATACACCGAATACACGTTGTGCCGCCAGGTTGCCGTGCACTTCGGCATACTCGATAACTTTTTTTCTTAAAGCCTATCGTAAGGTGCTGTCGACTACCACTTACTTCTGAAGAAAATAGGAAAAAGAAAACAGAAGATTGACAGCAGATAACAGAGGCAAAATGGCATTGCTAGAACACTGTAGGCCTTGCCTAGCCTTGCCCAACGGCGCCACTGCTTATGCTCACGATGGCAGTGGAGGCTTTCGACTGCCCATTGTTGCGAGACTTACACATTTTTTCTGCCAATGAGTGGTATATAAAGTGAGGGCCGACTTATTGCGTCCTTTTTTTAAAAAAACATTTGACCTAATTTTGGTCTTTGCGGTAGTTTGGCACAAGGTACCAGATTTACACGCTTTGTTGGTTGTATGGTCAATGTGCGGTGGTCCGGTATCACATATTTCAACTGCATTGCTAGCTTTTGACTGCTCATGCTTGTTACAGTCAAACCTCGTTAGTGCGTACCTGTTTTAAGTGTACTAACGGTTAAAACGTAGTTGCGACGAACCCCCTGACCAAGTCTCATAAAGACTAATGCATTCGTGGACTGCTTAAGCCGTAGTGTTCGACCTATGCCTACCAATTAGTGCATATTAACAGCGATAACATTTTGCACGACAAAATTTTACTGCTCCTCTGAACTTTGCAGACACTACAATGGGCCGTGAATGATTTTTCGCCATGTTGATAAGTGCGGAGATCAGCCGATAAGTTATTTCGATTGCTGCGATGACATTGTGAGTAATCATTGGGGAAAAAATGAAGGCGAGGTGGCGACCACTGACAAACAAGCCGGTATGTCTTATCACGAGCGAAAAGCCTTATCTCACTAAACATCCCTGGTTACCTGCTCAGAGACACGCATGTGGCATACCGTCATGTTAGGCCTACTGCACGCTTTTATTAGGCGACTACCTGAACGCGTTGGGCCACCAATCGCTACCACTTCGTTTTGCGGGACCGTGTTCAAGCACGCCCTGCTTTACAGAAACGCAAGCAGTTCACTGTCGCGGAGTTTAGCGTTGTGGATTGTGGGCACCGAGAAACCTTGCTGTATCGTGCCAACACGCGCACCATACAGCGAGCGTAGCGCTACTATAACCATGCTGCACGCTTTTATTTAGCGAAAGCCCAAATGCGGCTCCTTCCGCTCCCAGGACTGCTAGAGCATTGCGGAGAGCACATTGCTTGCAGAAAGCTCTTCGTCGCCGCGTTAAACCAGCAGGCTATTTGCCGAATCTGTGCTTGGCCGTGAAGGGGAGAGGGTGTAAAGGGTGTACTCAACAGCAAGTGGATCGGCAGTCACAGTGTGCGCAGAGTGAGCGAAGCGCTGCACACAACTAGCCACGCAGTAAAAGGTTCGGCTCATGTGACTGTACCGCGTTTTTAAGGAGAAAACTGCATCAGTTTTCGCTTAGAAGCAGGCTGCGGAACAACTGTATCACGTACAGCCGATTGTGTCCGTTCTGTTGCTGTACCACGCTGCATATCCTGGATCCTGGGCAGTTTCGAAATTCTCATCGGTTTCGCCACCGCGTGCTATCGGGCGGTTGTTTGAGAGTCAGAAACTTTTCGGTACTTTGGCTGAAGGAAAAAAATGGCTTTGCGGTGGGCATTTCAGGCAATATTTTCAGTAGCACCGAGTTTCCTTCTTTGTTGGTGGCAATAGTGCATGCCAGGAGATGCGAATTTGTAGCTGGTGGTTAATGCGTGGTACATTTAGTGTGTACTTACGTCGTCGTCCCCGGCAGGTACGTATTAAAGGGGTTTCACTGCACTTGACACACAGTGATTACAAAAATACCAAATCAGGTGTTGTTGACACACGGCACGTGCAGAATGCGAAAATATGCAGTGCGAGCAGATAATAGGGTTCGAAGAGTAATGCCTGATGCAGTGCACCAGCATTCGCGCATGCCACGCATCAGCCACATGCTTTCTCTCTCTGCTGCTCTGAAGACAAGGAGAGCATTGGGTGCACACTTTCTCTTGAAGGCATGGATGGAAAATGGGCTGCTCCGCTTCGGTGGCTTATCTCAATTAAGTGATGCGGGATTTGAAAAATGTGTTCATAGAAAGTGCACGCAACTGAACAATGTGTCTTCCAGCATCAGCAGAAATTTCAATTTCCTGCTTTTGTTTTCGTCCACAGCAGCGAAACTTTGTAAAATCGAAATAACGCAGTGATGTGATAGCTTGCGCCAAACTGTGCCAAGACCAATCCTGCTACATCCTGCTGCATTTACACTATTCTGTGCCAAAGATGCGCCAACTGTGGCATTTCCATATATAGAAAACGAGACTACAATTTCTCTATTTGGAAAAGCCCTATAGCATGCGCCTGTCTTCACGTGCACACTGCACGCTACCGTTATTGCGAGTACGCGTACTTTAGATTAAGGAAAACATGTGCGCTTGTGCAGTGTTAGTCGGATTACTTTTCTATTACACCATAAACCGCTTATATAATGTGTTTCGCCAAAAGAACGGATATACATCATATAAGCAAAACACCTTGTTCTAGTGACTGCTAATGCACAGCATTTATCAAACTGGCAGCCGCGCCATTCCGAGAATTGAGCCATGTGGCAGGGATGTAAACTCTCATCCCCTTAAATTTGCAAATGTTGAAAAGTTAACGTTTGCAGGCCTGCTGTGCTGACAAAATGAACGCAGAAAAAGAAAACTGTTGCATGAAGTCAGCGACTAACTTTTCAGAGCTTCTCATGCATGTGCATTTCCTCACATAACGGCAACTGAATTTCCGCTTGCCATAGGCGCGATGTCCAAAGCATTGGCGACCACAAAACTCAACTCGAATGTTGTACATGCCCCATGCATGCCTTCGTTTTCATGATGTGAATCGCTGCTTTCATAATTGGAAGTTGTTTCCATATACAGTCGAATCTTAATAATTCGAACTCTAGAGGCCCAAAAATTTGTTCGAATTAAAGGAAGTTCGAATGAATGAAAGCTAAATAAACGGAGCGCTCTCCATGCAGTGGCACATGTGCATTGAGCTAACACACGAGGGGGAAGTTTCAGAAGACTTACATTTATTCACAAATCACAGGACATCCGTTATTAATTG